GGAAACGGAGGTGGTGACCTCCTCTAACAAATATATGCATACATACGAATATACGTATGTAATATATGTACATTACTCGGGCCCGGTAGCCGAGTGGTTAACATTGCGTGTTGCCATTCGGAAGGTTCGGGTTCAAACCCTGGTGTCGTACTAACATCCAAAAAGTTTATAGGAACCTAATTTAAATAAAAATTTAAGCTTATTTTCTAATTGCGGTAGCAACATGATATAAAACTCCTAATAAAAAACCATCAGCCGTTCGGAGGCGGCTTAGTATACACTGCGCGACAACCGATTAGCACACTCTCTAACCTATCAGTTTAAAGGAAAATAACTCCCTACTCTGAATATGTTTCATGCGCATTCTATTTTTCCTTTTATTCTGTATCATTTCCGCTCATTCTAAGTATGGCTGTGAGCTCTGGAAGTGTACCGTTATTTTGCTTTACTTTTTTCTTTGAAGTGCGACAAAAATGTATGCATGTTTTTTGCGACAGCCGATTAGCACATCTTCGCTTTCATGTCACTCTTTGCGTGAAAGCTACCTTGATTGGGTGTTTAAGTTTATTATTTATTTATTTGGACTAATTATCAATAAAATAAAGTAATAATGGGCAAAGGAAAACCGTTGGACGAGTCTGAAAAAGGCAAAATAAGGGCTTACAGGGAGTGCGGGCACACTCTTCTTCAAATTTCAAAAAATATTAAGCGCAGCCGTAAAGTTATTACCGCAAATTTAAGCAATGAGGATACATATGGGAAAAACATGAAAGGTCGGCCATCGCATCTAATTCCCACGACTCAGCCGCCAAAATAAAGGAAAAAAATGGTGTTGAAGCGTGCATTCGGACTGTGCAAAAAATTTTCGAATGCTGATCATATGAAGTATCTAAAATTAAAAAAAAAAAACAGCCTCTAAACCAACTTAGAAAGATGCAACGACTCAATTTCTGTCGATCAAATATCACCTGGACTAAGGAGTGGGAGCGTGTAGTCTTTTCAGATGAAAAAAAGTTCAAAGGGTCCTGACGGCTATGTCGGAAGAGCATTCTTTAGATCGATTGCACAGCCGTGTTGGTGGTGTCATGGTGTGGGGAGTTTTAACACACTTTGGCACTACAGTTTCTTACCAGCCGTATGAAAGCCGTTGCGTACAAAAGTGTACTGAATACGGCTTTCCCTGCAATCAAGGATATTTTTGGACCCTTGAAATGGAAGTTCCAGCAGGACAACGCACCTATCCACACAGCCAGGATTGTAAAGTCCCGTTTTGATGATCAAAACGTGGAATTACTGACATGGCTGCCATACTCTCCCGACCTACACATTATAGAAAATGTTTGGGGATGGCTGGCCCGAAAGGTGTACGAGTCCGGCAGGCAGTTTTCAACTGAAGCAGAACTCATTGAAGGAATAAAAAGGTGCTGGGAGGCTGTTTCAATCAATTATATAAAAAAATTATATGACTCCTTACCTCAGCGGATGTACGAAGTCATACTTAACCGTGGAGGATCATTATTAATTTGTTTTCAAAAAAAGTTCAAAATATTTAGATTAATATTAAAAAACAGTTTGAATGAAGTTTGAACCCATTTTCTTATGTTATTTCAAGTTTTCAAGTGACTGTGCTAATCGAAATTTTGTATGTTATGTTTGTTTATATTAATTTAAAATGTTATTAAAAAAGTTAGTATCCTATCTTCTATTAATTTTCGTGTGAAATTGTATATTCTTTTAAGGGAAAAATTTGAAAAGCTTTTTTTGTTTTCCTGATATTAAGTTTCTAAGACGAGCAGGATAGGGTGTGCTAACAAAGAACGTATATTAATAAGAAGGGAAAAGAACTGTGAACCAATTTGAAAAATTTTGCTGAGGTGAATAGTGAGGTGCCACAGCGAGATTACACCTTCCTTCAAATTTCTCGCGATTTTCGTAGCACAGCGGGGCAATTATGACGGCGAAACGAAATTTCGTACCAAAACAAAAATGAGCCGATTGAGTTGGCGAAAATCGTTTTAATATGCGCGCGAAACGATAGACATGCAAAAAAATATGAAAGCAAGCATACATATATACACTAGACAGAATGGAAATCCTGAAGGAATCCGTCTTTTTTCTTTATGTCTCCGAGCGCGCCTCTACTCCCTCTTTGGCCATAGCTTGGGATTCGCACTTCATCCCTAAAATCTAGATTTTTTGCATTTTGCCCAGCTGACTGCTTATATTTACTTGCTTCCCAATATGAGCTAATAGGCAAACAGCAAATTTAACAGCACGATGCCGACTTGCTTTAATTCGGCGGACAATGTCTGAATTTTTGTCAAAGTCCCAAGAATTTGAAGCAATGCTAGTGTATGCCACATACCAATGTATATTGTTGTTGCTTCACATTTCGGGAAGATGTACGATTTGCTAATTTTTGTTACGGGACTTTTTATACCCGGCTGTACTATGTGAACAGAGTGCATTGGATTTGTTCTGCTAACGGTTTTAAAATAATCAAAGTAAGAATATATAAACTATGTAAAAAACTTCATGGAATGGTGAGGTAAATCGATTTAATAATATCTGTTCCTCCGTCTTAATACACGATAGCTCGAGTAAGAACTGAGATGTTTTAAACATATAAATATCAACCGAATATCTCGCTTCCACTCGAATTTAGTGTTCCTTACATGTTTGAGTTTGTGACCGTCCCAAGGAAGCAAATGTTGAGACGGGTAAGCGGAGCCATGTGAACAGTGTTATTATGAATGAACACATTGCGTTGTTGCAGCGCGCATGCGTTTATGAATGAAAATGTTGTATTTTTCATGGTTTCATGTATGTATGGGTCTTTCATATACATACAGTCACCTTTGAATGTGTTTGTTTTTGACTTCAGCTCAACTTGAATTTCTGATTTTTGCAAATTTTGCCATCGTCCCGAAGAAGTCGTTCGTGGATGACGGGGTACAAGGGAAGAGAATTTGCAAGTTTTTGTGCATGTGTCTGTTTTTCGTGTACACATTGGCCTCTTTGAATGTATGTGTCTTTAACTTCAGACCAACTTGAATTTTGATTTTTCTGATATTTTGTCATCGTCGCGAAGAAGAGGTTTGTTGATGACGGGGTGAAAGAAGGAAGGGAATGCGAGCTATTAAGATTGTGTGCGTTTAACGTATACATATTGAATTGCTTGAGTGTATGGGTTCTCACTTTGGCGCAAGCTCAACATCAATTTCTGACTTTTGACAAAATTTCTGACCGAACGGCTTGTTGGTGGAGGGAGCAAGGGAAAGAGATCTCACAATACTTTGTTTGTATTGGTTATTTCTACATGTATATGAAGCTTTCTATGTATGGGTTTGTGATTTTTGCTCAACTTCAATTTCTGGATTTTTGCAAAATTTGACTTCGACTTCATGAAACTGTTTGTCTATGAAGAGTTGAAGGAAAGGGGGTTTGCATGCATTACTTGTTTTTGTTGCTTTTACTACTTTTCTACTTTTCTTCATTGAAATCAAATATTCTAGAATAATCTAGAATCTTCTGGAAGTTTTAGAATATTATAGAAATCCTCGCCACGATTCAACTGTCGACAAGGTGCATGCGGGAAGGCAAGGAAATTGCTTGCTGGGCAATATGAGCTAACAGGCGAACAGAAAATCTAGTAGCACGATGTCGATTTGTGTCATTTCTGCAGGCGATGATTGAATTTTGTCAGTGGCAAGAACTTGAAGCAATGCTTGTGGACGGCTCATGAATGTTACGCGTTGAAGGAAGAAGGGCAGGCTAATGTACGTTGTTGTTGCTTCACTTTTCGCGACCATATTTGCTTCCGATTTTTTGTGATTTTTGTCAACGCAGCGAAGAAGCAACTTTGTTGTAGGGCGCAGGCGTCTATGAATGAAAATCTTATTGTTGTATTTGATTTCAGTTCTGAGCTTTTGGACAAGAGAAGTATTTTGAGGGATGGGGTAATTTGTTTTCACGCAATGTGTGTGTATGTTTTTGCATATGAGTATACGAATATACATACATATGTACATTATTATGCATATATACATGTAATTCTTGAGGCAGGTCATTATTTTGTATTGTGTGTACATACATACGTACGTATATATGTATCTACAAATTGATTTATAAGTTAATAAGATTATTAACCAAACATCTAGTTAATTTATAAAAATTCAATTCATGAATAAATAACCTTTCATATAAAACAACGCTATTTGCGGAATGCCGACGGCAAATCGTCACTTGCTATTGCTATATATAATATATAAATACAATAATGATGTTTATGATTTCACCCTATTTCATTTCATTATGAAAATTAATTTATTTCATCGAATAAATATGGAAACAAAATTATTTAAAATAATTTGAAATAAATTCAAACTGAATTCGCATCATTTGCCTACTTGTCATTTTTGTTATCATCGTCGCCGTAAAAATGCCGAGAGAACATAAGAAGACTACCCCTTCGAGGTGAATTTACAATAATTTGCGAAAGAATGTACAAAGCGGACTCACTCCGTCTGTGAAACCTGAGCCACTTCAATGAACAATTCACAGTTCTTTTCCCTTCTTATTAAATATACGTTCTTTGGTGCTAATCGGTTGTCGCGCAGTGTGAACTGGAAAAACATCAAGACGCAAAACCACAAATTTTCGGTGCGGCTTTTCTCTATTAAACGCTTTTGAACCAATGCGTTCCATATCTTTAATATATAAATTTATTTTAATTTATTTTACTATTTGTACGTGTCAAATTATTTTCTGATTAAGAGCTAATCGCCACTCAATGTTGGCGTTAAGTAAACCACAACTTAATCGACAATAAACGAATTTTATGCTACCTTCCGATGAAGTGAATGATTAAGTGCTTAACCGGAGATGGTAAAAACGGTCTTTAATCTTCTTTTCGAATACCAACAAAGTAATCGGTACCTTTATTGTGAATGGCATTATTCGTTGACATATCGCTATTGCAGAGAACGTTATACGTCATACGTTCTCTGGCTATTGTTTACAGAGAACTTGTTTATTTACTTCTCTTCAAAATGTAAAGAGAACGGACCAGTTGGTGAAATTAAATTAAGGAAACATTTTTTTTTATTTGTTTACTTTTGTGTGAGCTCCTTTAGTGTGGACCAATTTTCGCATCTACCTACTTTTTGCAATCGAAAGATCCTATAGTGAATTTATTATTAAATCAAAGTTAAGCAATTTGTTTTTTGCAACATGTCTGAAATGCGAATCCGTCCGCGACAAGTGCTCATACTTATTATCGTGTTCCTAGTGATTTTGCTTATTGTACATCGCAATGGAAAACACACCTGCCAGGGACCAGAATTTTTGCAAGCAATATATGCTAGAGACAATGAGAAATCGTTACCAAAAATTTACGCGATAACACCAACATACACGCGCCCTTCACAAAAGGCCGAACTAACCAGGTATACAATGATTAGCCACATAAATGTTGCACATTAAATATTTTGTATTTCAATTATGCAGACTATCTCATATATTCATGTTATTATCCAACTTACATTGGGTTATAATTGAGGATGCGAACACAACTACGCCCGTCGTTCGGAACCTGTTGAGGCAAGCAGGTTTATCAGAACGTTCAACTCATCTGAACATAAAAACACCAGTGGGCTATAAATTAAAAAATAAAGATCCCAATTGGTTGAAACCGCGAGGCGTGGAGCAACGTAATTTAGCACTAAACTGGATACGTACAAATGTAAATCCAGAACAGCGTAGTGTGATATTTTTCATGGATGACGATAACAGTTATAGTGTTGAACTGTTTGTAGAAATGATGAAAATAGAACCAGGTCGAGTTGGTGTTTGGCCTGTCGGCCTAGTAGGTGGTCTTATGGTGGAAAAACCAATACTTAATGAGGATAACACACACGTGATTGGATTTAATGCAGCATGGCGGCCGGAAAGACCTTTTCCAATTGATATGGCTGCATTTGCTATTAGCACGGATTTATTATTTAAATATCCACAAGCGCAGTTTGCGTATGAGGTTGAACGCGGCTATCAAGAGAGTGAAATACTACGACATATAACAACTAGGGAAAAACTACAACCATTGGCGAATAACTGCCGTGATGTACTAGTGTGGCATACGCGTACGGAAAAAACAAATTTGGTTTCTGAAGTTAAATTAAATAAAGAAGGAAAACGTTCCGATGAAGGCATGGAGGTTTAACACTAAGTTGCAAAATATAAATTTGTATCTTTTCCGTAGTATTATTTGCCTAATTTGAAAAGTAGCGATAAACCTGTATTATCTTTTGTTATTTAATGTGTACTTTCCATTATTACATTCATAACAATATGTATTTGTTATTTTACTTAAATAACTTGCCATAGGACCAAAATGCTCATATTAAAATAAGATTTCAGAAACATATGTATATCACAGTACTTCCAAAAAATATATGTGTAAATATTTTTATATAAAATTTATGTGCAGACCAAAAAATAAAATTAATTAATATAAATAAATAACTGCTTAGGTAGGTTGTGTCTGCGTACTTCAGGTTGTAATTGAAAAATCAGTAGCAGTAAGAATGGAAATTTTAAACCGTTTTTAAATTTAATTTATATTTTTTTTAAATGTTTAATCAAGATCAAATAGTTTTCCTAACTAAAAAATGACTTATATAATTAAAATTCAAAGCATTTATTCATTTGCGGTAAAATATAGAAAAAAAATAAGAATATAGCAAGTAATGAACATTTTCAATAAGCGGGAGAAAAGTTAGATTCATTAAATCGTAAACAAACGGCAAATATTTTTTATATTCCGGAGAATGACATTAGACAGCACTGAAAAAATCAGCCAGTGCGCAATAAATTCAAAAATGCGCTACAATAATCAAAATTTAGTGTGTGTGACACAGAATTCTCATCGCAATAAGAGCAACAATTGGGTTTAAATATTGATTCTGTTTTCGATTCGCCTAGCGTATGCACAACGCCCATGTAAGTCCCTGGACTACTTATCATCTCGGGTATTCGGTATTAGTTGTCCTGCTAGTGGGTATGATGGACAACGAAACTTTGACCTTACGTTCGATGCTATTTGAGTGAGAATTCCAGTCTATTCTCTTTGTACTAAGATAATTAGGTCACAGTTGCAATATCGCGTTTTAAATTCTGAGCTGAATAATTAGCTAGTGTAATATGCTTCGGATTTGAAAACGTAACAATGTACTCTATTGCTTTAATAGTTTTCTTTATCTATCGTGCTCCTGGAATGGGCAATTATTCTTGAACTCACTCTTCAAATCATTGTTTGATGTTTCCGAAGAGAGATATTCGACAATTGAAGATAAGTTGGAGCTCCTTACTTAATAAGGGCAACAAACATTTTTTTAAGCTTTGGATGACGGGGTAAAAAGGATTTAGTGGCCGTTTTTTATTATCCGATTGAAAGATGTAATCTACAAGAGCTGCAAATCCAGCGGTTGCAATGGAGCAATCAAAACGCACCAATATAGTCGAGTTCTTTTGGCTGAAACCCCAGAAAACAAGGCCTTTCGAAGGGTAAGTGGTTTTAAGTGAATTGGCTTGCAGTATCTTGGGGTTGAATCCAAATACATTGAATTTGAGTCCGCTACAATTTCCAGACCCCAGTGCCATTATTACTTAGGACTCGTTTGGCAGCTTTAGTTTTTCCTATAGGTGGAGATTCAGATTTCATTATTTACAGGGCGAGAATCAAAAATTTCACTGACGGGCTATCCGGATTTAGTTCCTATCGGTAGCTTGTCCTATTCAGCCGCTCTATAAGACCGAGATGAATGGAGTCCATTACATACTCAATTTTTATTGTGCTTGGTTGCAGGATCAGCTTTAAGAAGATGTCTGCACGGATCAGTTCTATGGTAAGTACGGGGGCCTTCCATCTATCACAACATGATCGATCTGGTATTGTGTTTTTCTAAGTAGCTTGATGTATTTTTTTGTGCTGCAATCTAGTCGTACAGACAACAACATTTCGGGCCCTGGCGAAGTCCACCAGCTTCAACCTATTATGGTATATTTCGTTGTGAAGGCTGAATTTTCCAACAGTCGGACCAAAGATACCTTCTTTGCCCACCCTGGTATTAAAATCGCCAAGCACTATATTCTCATCGTGGCAGCGCTCGTAACTATGCTCTAGGCATAAAATGCATCTTTGGTCAAATCGTCCTTTTCTTCCATCGGGGCGTGGACACGAATCAACGAAATGTTGAAAAATTTCACTTTAATGCAGATTGTTGCGAGACGCTCATCTACCGAGGTGAATGCCAGTACTCGACGATGGAGTCTCTCCCCCACCACAAAACCAACATCAAATTTGCGCTCCTTTATGTGGCCGCTGTAGTAAATGTCACATGAACTTTCTTGCTTTCGTCGTTGTCGCGTACATCAAACTTCTTGGACGGCAGTGATGTCAGCCTTTATTCTCACGAGGACTTCAACCAACTGGGCAGCGGCACCTTCCCAATCAAGGGGCCGGACATTCCAGGTACATGTTCTCAAATCATGCGCCTTAATGTGTTTGCGGGGGTCGTCAGCAGAAAGCGGGTATCTCATCCGAGGCATTGTTATATTTTTCATTGGAGCTGGCTTCTACGTGGCGGGTCCCAAACCTCTGGTGAACAGACACTGTAAATAAAATTTCAGCAGACCCTTAAACCGAATAAGTCGGAGTGACTCCACTGAAGCTTCCTCTCTCGCACACATACATACATACATTATTTTGGCCCGTTCATATTTATTCACTATAAAAGTTAAAATAATGACAAACGACATTAAAAAGGGACTGAATAGATGTTTTTCAGACTTTCATTTTGTATATGTAATTGCTGCTGTTTAAGTTACATCTTCAATATAAAAAAATTATACAAATTTTTCGTAATTTAGTACTGAATACTAAAATTTATCGCATTGGAAAGTAACTCTATTATTTCTATCGGCAGTTACAAATAACGAAATACTAAGATATAAAATGTAAGTAAAATTATTGAATTACGTATGTCATTAAAAAAATTCCCATTTCGAAAATTCTTCCATTAAAATATTTTGCAAAAGAAAGTCTGCAGTTTCTTATTGCTATGTGTACTAGCCAAAATTATATATTAAAAAAAATGTTGCTTAGCTTTTTATATGATACACTTTTATTCCCAAGCGAATAATATTTCCTGTTAACCTTTATTCGGCAAATTTCATTTTTTTATTACTTGTACATGTGCTTTGAAAATATCGTTTTTTGGCTAATTGCAGCGCGTGACGAATAGAACGTTCAGGATCAAACGTTTCTACGGCTTCTGTAAAATTTAAAGGAAACATTCTCATATATTTATAGAAATTTGTATTAAATCTAGTCGCAAAAAATAACCTCTGAATGATCCATAAAAATTTTTATAATCCTTCAGCCGACCTTTGCCGTGTGTACCATCCAAATTGAAATCCATAATAAGCTTTTCCGTTAGTACGCTCTTGATATTTTTATTAATTTGATTCCGTATAATTGATTTCATGACTCTTACCTGTAAGAACGTATATGTACATATACGTAAAAAAAATTAATTAAAATAAAAGAAGAAATTAGCAAAGAGGAAAAAACACGACCCACATATGTGTCTCGGTTGTCTTCGTTGATTTTAGCGTCTATTTCTTCTAACTGTTCACGGTTATCGATCGGAAATTCTTCTAGCGCCGAACTTGATACCTCTTCTTGGCGTACAAGACTATGTATCAGCACAGATTGGTGCTGTAATGTTTCTAGCACCGTTTTATTCTGTGTCTGAAGTATTTCTTTTTAATAAAAAAATGATGCAATTAAAAAATACAGCTAGCAAATTAAGAATTTCGATAAGCATACCTTTGAGTTTTAGATATTCACTTGTGGAACGACCACAGAACGTGCATGTTGAGGGAACGTCTTCAACTGTAAAGATGCATATTGCATTTTTATTATTAATTTGGATACAGAATAAGTAATTTAAAGCTTTTATTTAATGTTTGTTGCTTAAGTCTTTAGTTTTCTGCGAACCCTTTAAATTTGTTAGATATTATAAAATACAATATCGATCTATGTATCTATGTATATACAAGAAGACGACGTATATTAGGAAATATTCGTTATTCTGACCGTATCGGTGTATTGATAAGATCTATTTATTTTTCAAGGATATATGATTTAATATTTTTACAACGTATTTTGGATAGTAGCAACCATGTAAATTTACCCATCATCAGCCGATGTATGCTAATAAAGCGCAGCGAACATGTAAACTTACGATTTACAAGTATTCTAAAAATTTTCGTCGTCTTTGCATAATGGGTAGGAAATCGTCAGTGTTACAACCTCAAACATGTTCTTGAGCATTAGCATGAACAGCTTGTCCCACTTCAAAGCTGTTATGGAACACTCTGCTTCAAGAAAATGCAACAGTATACATATATCATATCTCTGACGCCCTTATGCTACTTTGCAATCAGAAAAAATGATTAACTTTTAAGCAGGAGGCCCTTTAAATAACAAAGTATTTCTCTCTGTGGCATACATATTATGTAAAGTTAAATTATCGCGATGTCATAATCATAATATATATAGATTATATTTAAAGGAATTAATCAAAGTATGATGCTGGCGGTTGAACACTTACCTTCTGCGGGTACATTGAAGAGTAATGGCGAGTCAACTCTCATTCCCTCACCATGTTCATTTTTAATGTCATTAATGTTCAATTCGGGCTCAATTAATAAATTGTCCTTATTTACTGAATTTACATGTTCATATGAATTATATTCTACATTCTTTTCTTGTTTAATTTGTGGACAATCTAGTATTGTTTCTAGTGATCGTTGTTTCTCATCTATTCTTAGCCAGAATGTGTGAAAGTTTTGAATATGTTGCCAGCAGTCTAAACATATTTTATTGGACACCTTGTCATTAAACTGAATCTGAAAATTCACATTCATATTTAGATTTGACAAATCAACCCAACGCACTAAATTTACCTTTAATTTTAAATGTTGTTCTAGTGTATCCACGACTACCTTTTTGGCAATATCTCCATTGTCAGTGAAAATAGACAATAAATTATCTGTATTATGCAAGCATAAACGGCACGTCATTTTCTTTTATTTATGATATATTAAAGAGAATGTGTAGTATGAATTGTTCTTTGTTTTTAATAAAATTATTTTATTAAAATAACTGCAATCTACAAATTCACATTAAGATGTTTGTTTATAAAGGTCGCTCAGAGAAAACTGCGATAAAAAACGATAAATGTATGATTATCGAATTTCTGCGAAAAGCTGATACAAGGCGAATTCAAAAAGGTGGTAGCAATCTAGAGAAACGCCACATTATAGTGTGTCGAAAATGCCAAATACGAGGCCGCAAATTCGCGAGTGCTAGTATCGACTATTCTTTATTTCATATATAAAAGAGCAGCCAACACTGCGCTAGTCAATTAAAATTGAACTTTTCAAGAATCATCATTAATCATATATTATTATTAATATACGTTCTTTGGTGTAGGGAAAAATAGCAAAAAAAAAAAAAGTCAATGCGCGCATAAAGATGGGAGTTGGCGCAAAAATTCGATCTGGCATCGGCTTTAGTCAAGGAGAATTTGTAAATTTATTTGTATGCATACAATAATATCAGCTACACAGATAAAGTGATATATTTTTTCCGTACAAAAATTTAAATTTATTCGAGAGGTGATAATTATATCTAATAATACGTCACTGTATATAACGGTTATGTGTAGTGTGTTTAGTGCCTTTTTTGCTAGCAAATTAGGAATATCAAGATCACTTAATATTCAGTGAGTTCACAAATAACAAAACAAGTAATTCATAAATATATAAAAATGGATCCTAGTAATATGCTTTTTCGCTTAGAGGATCTAACGCCAGAAAAACTATATGAAGAGTACCATTTAAGCAAAGAAGATATTCGAAGACATCGTGCGCTGTACAAAGCATATGTTGACGATTTCGTGAGTATATGTACATACAAATATGCAATGGCAATATAAATCATAAACAACTATATGACCTATGGAAATGATTAATTTTTTTGCAGATACCCACACGAGCAGATCTGGAGCGTAAGCTAACCGATGAACAACTTAAAGAGTTATGTCTGCGCCGCTCATGTCGCGTTTTAATGTATCGTTGGAATCCTGTACAAGATTTCATAGACCAGTTTACGCGGCAAGGACGCATACAGCGTTGGACTAAAGAAAAAACTGAAAAGTTAATAATAAAAGGTATCAGTCGGCATAAAGATGTGTGCATGTACAGTGAAGAAGAAATACGAATAGAACGTGAAAGGCAGTGGTGCGAGAGGAAAAAAGAAAATTTGATGCGGTTAGAGTTATGGGAGTACGATCGTATAAAAAAACAGCCGCCTCAACAAGAAAAAATAGACCTATCTTCTACCAAGGAAGATGACGTCCACATTGACGTTACACACAGTGAAGAACTGGCGAACACAGTTATTGTCTCACCTCCTACCGATGTTGAAGCACTTATGGCGGCATTGCATAACTCGCCATTACAATCCAGGCTTTCGGACGTTCTGACAATAACAGAACAATTAGCACATATAGGAGCTTTATCAACGACAACAAATATTTCGTCAAAGAAACAACCGTCTATAACGGACAGTATAATACCACCTTTAACTGAATCACAGTCCACATTAATTCCCAGCACTCAAAATACCGAAGAGTTGGCTGTCCGAGAATATGCAGAAATGGTGGAACAAGTCGATGTTAATGCGAATCCAATACTCGCCGATTATTTGAATGTTAACACTGAATCTATGCAGTTTGAAGACTCAGTAATATTAGATTCAGAAGCTGATTGTGATGGCACACCTCCATATTGTGATTTCAATGATCATATATCATTTACTTCAACCCAATCACCAAGTGTTAAGTGAACTTTCGCCGGATGAGTGTCCATTTCAAATTATCTGTTGCCATTGTTCACGAGTTAATCCTCACCGCTAAAATTTTGAAGCTATTAATTAGTATCAGGTTCAGAAAATATATTCTATTTATTTCTTCAAAAATCTCCAAATAATTATTTATCAGTTGTTATTAACCCTTTCAGACCCTACGCTAAGCTATTAGCAATTTTGTTTTTATTTTATTTATTTTATGTGATTTGAAAGCATGTTAGTTGTTCTTAATTTCCCCAAGTGGTTCAAATTTTATATTTAAATAAAAATAATCATATGTAACTTGCTTGAGTGTTTATATTACTGCATTAATGTTTAAAGTAATCGTTTTTTTTTTAAATAAAAAACAACACCCATTGACTGTTCCACTACCCTTGGACGCACAACTTGAAAGAATTTTCGTGGTTTCTTGCCCCAACAGCGGACTTCGTTACTATGCTGCATCAGAATATAATTTTAGTGACTTGTAACCTGATACGCACAATTGATGCACTTGTTAGCCATGAGGATCACACCACTATGTAATATTAAAATTCATCTTATTTTAAAATAAAATACATATATTCACTTTTTCACAAATAATATTTTAGAAATAAACATAACTTTCGCGACTCATTTCGGTAAAATGGATAAGTACTTTAAAAATTTCATCATAATTCACAAAACAGCAAACCGAGTAAGGGAAATATACAAACATAACTATAAACACAATCGATGTATCTGGGTCTATTGAACGTACAGACAAAACTAGTAAAAAATATAGCTCTGCTCGGTGAGAAACGTCAGCAAGAAATAGCCAGTACTGCTTCCTCGGTGCAAATTTTACTGTCTATATGTTTCACCGAACCCGGTTCAGTAAATATTGGGAAAACTAGTCACTGCTCATCAGCTTCCCGACAGAGCTTATGGCTTCGAAACTTGCCCGTACAATCTGAAAGTGTTAATCTCACCTTAATGCTGCAACTACCCATCTTCCATATCGCACAGCCATAACATCCGACTGTAATAGTATATACAAACACGAGTATTTCCTACGGCGTTGACAAGCGGTGGCGGTGTAATTACAATAAATATTTTGTGAAAGTTCTAAATCTAAAATTTCACGATATACTATATACTATAAGTGCCAACGAGTTGTCGCACCAATATATATTCCTGTTAATCCAAAGAAGATGAAATGTACATTTGCTAGTAAAAGTGAAATTAAACAAAAATTAGGATATTACCTCGGTGACCCAAAAAGTATTAAAACAATGTAACATTCCATACTACAAAGCTTAATAATTTTATACTCGGCTAGGCAATCGTTATTTTATAATTTTTCTTGTGATCATTTTGTTTTACATAAATTTAATAAATCACTTTTTTTTGTCAATTATTGTTTGCATATTGCTAGTTTATCATAATTCTAATAAACTGTATTAAAAGCTAGTTTTTTCATTCTCCTATAAAATTTAGGAGCATATATGACAGTATTTCACGCCAAGCGAAAATATTAATCATTCACAGGAAAGGTCACGTTGAGCTACATAACGTTGCGCATGTACAAACAAAATGATTTTAATTCTAGTTATTTTCATAATTTTTCCATGAATTCCTTAGAAATGAGCTAGAAAACTTCATTCCAACTTCAAATAGTACTTAATACAACAGATTTTAAGTTTTTTGTTGGAAAAATAATTAACAATTTAAAATCGCTGAAGCCTTTTTCGGCCGGGCTTCACCGTATCGTGATAATCGTTTTAATTGTGCAAATGTGCCATGTCACCTCCTATATGACTTTGATTAAAGTTTGGACATACGCGCTAAGTTGAAACTTCATCATTTCACCAACGATATGAGTGTAATTAAATAAAATAAATATATTAATGGGTATATGTATTAGTATATTTGATGTTATGAAGTATTATAGTTAAAAAAAAAAGTGTATATGTATATTTACACATAAACGCATTATTTGTTTCATGATTACGTCTCGGTGTTGCGCGATTTGTTCAATAAACTTTGAGTATACTCATTTGGCTGTGCGTACTTCCGAACCCATTCGTCTGAATGACTGTGTAATTTATGTTTATGCATATTTGCGTGCGATCGAAACGTTTTTGGACAGAAAGGACAGGTATATAAATCCACACCAGTATGTGTCGCTTCATGTTCCTACAAACAATACAAATAATTAGTAGATGTTGTGAGTGAATGATGGTTAGTTAGTATTTCATGTTGTTGTTGTTGTAGCGGTTCTCTAACCCCGCTCAGGTACAGGTTTTACTAATCTAATTCCCCGAGGTCAACTAGTAGGAGGTCGAGGAAATTTGCTGTTTTGACGGGATTGGACCAAAGGGAGAGGGGGTTAGATGAGCCGGTTTAAGGGGGCATGTAAAGAGGTGGTTAGTATCGTTAGGAGACTTCACATGCATGGCATACGTTGGATATGCTAGGTTCGAGCCTGGATAAGTAGGCGTTTAAACTGCTACAGTATCCAGACCTAAGATCACGCGGGTCTCTCGAGGCAGCTCGAGCTCGTTGTCTGCAATGGGTGGCGGTTTCGTCCCCGGCGCCCATAGGTGCAGCATAGTCTACGACCGGCCGGCCAATTGGTTTGTAAGTTCCCAGCAAAGTTTCTTTGTCTTTACCTCAGGTGCTGCCGGCCAGCGCTTTGAGTATTTTATTGCGGCTCTGGAATTTTGCGGCAATTGCGGTCGTATGCGGAGTGAAGGAGTGCAGGCTGTATAGTGTCACTCTTAATATCTTTGGGTTGTTTACAGCCGAAATTCTCATGTCATCGACCTTCACATCTAGTTTAAGCCTGCATTTCTTCGTCCAGCTGGTGAGTTGTCACCTCGGAATTGTCGACCACTTTGGTAATAAAGAATCCTCAATGACCGTTAGTATCATATTTAACTCCCGCTGCGGGTTAGGACCTCAAGAATTTACCCGCGGTAAGGCATTTTTGTCGGAAGGCGATTAAAATCCAATAATTCCTGACCAAGGACTGTCACTCCAACAACTTTCCCCAAAATGTACTTTGGGAATATTTTTGCAGCTACAACAACAACAACAACAACATTAGCATATTTACCTTCAGTGCTATTGGAGTTTTAAATTCCTTCGTGCACACCGTACAAGGGAAAATTCGATTGGAATGATGATATCGTATATGCGACGAAAGCGAATGCCTTGACTTCTTCTCTACACCACATTGCGAGCATTTGAAAATAGTACCAGATTCAACATCACGATGAGATATCATATGCTTCCGTAAACTACGCTCACTTTTCAACCATTTATGGCAAAGGGTACATTCAACCTCCGGACGTGGTTCCGTATTATGAATATTATCCATATGATATTGCAGGTTTGCTGGGTTTCTTAAACGCTTTCCACATATATCGCACACAGATTCAAATTCATTTAGATGGACATTTTTTTGGTGTTGCCGTAAAATTGATACACTGCTAAAACTAGAAGTTTCATAAATGATTATATTGTCCCATTATTCCATTATGTACCAAAACTTACGCCTTATCACATAATTTACATATTTGGTCCTTAGCTGAATGACGAATTTTTATGTGACTATCTAAAATATACTGCTTAGAAAACTTTTTCGAGCATTGGGTACACTCAAATAGGAGATTTTCCTCTGCTGGGTGCAAAGAGTGCATATGATTCGCAAAATTTTTCCGACTTATCAATTGCTTATTGCAGATAGAACATCTAACATTTTTTTTAAAGGAAAATAAAAAGTTTTTACTACTTTTTCTTAAGTTTTGTTCTGAATATAAATTACTTAAAATAATCTGGATCCTTATGTAACTTTATATGGTCTACATATAAAGTGCGTTTGTAAAATCGTAAATCACAACAAACTGTATAGCCGATACATTGATGTTTTTGACGAAAATGTGTTTTTAATTCTCTGAAATCTTTTAAATGCTCCCCACAAATGCTGCAACTTAATTGAGTATTATCAGCTAAAAATTTGTCACTTTCTTCAATAGATTTTAACGTTTCTTGATAACTTTTACGATAACTAGTTTTGTTTTCCTTAATATCTTTTTTCTTTTTTGGCGCTTCGCTTAATCTGGGACGACCTCTTTTTCTCTTTTGTGTTTCTGATGAGGATTTTTCTGATATTTTGCTCCGCTTTGTATATTTACGTTTCTGTCTAATTGTTTCCTCGGCTTCAGCGGTCTCTTTGGATAGATTATCTAAAATAAATTAATTGAAAGTTGTTTATAAACAGCAGCATATAAATATTTTTTTCGGCTACTACAACACCACGTTATAACTTTAATATCACAATTTTCGACATATTATTGAAGAATAATTATAATCATAAAATATATAAAGGTATTATCACTTACCTATATCATCTAGAGACGATGCAAAAACATCGTTATCTATCTCTGACTCTTCATCGTTTTGTTCAATTTTTGCAGCAATAAAAACAGTTTCAACATCATTTATAACTGCACTTCCTATATTCATATCTATCTCCTGCTCACATAATTCCTCATCTACTTTGTTCTGGTTTAAACAATTATTACCAAAATCTCCCGCAGCTATTTCCGGATCTCCTAATTCCACATCTAGTTTGTTTTGGTTTAAAAAATTAATTTCGAAATTGCTAACTTCCGTCTCTACCTCATCGATATCACGTTTTATTTGTGTATATTCTAAATGACTATTAAGCGTCTTTTGTTTTTCTTCAATACTTAACCAATATTTATGAAAGTCGGAGATGCTACCCCAACACTTCAAACAAATCATATTAGACACAGCATCATCGTAACGAATCTAAAATAATGTGAAAACTTTTAGGGCAGATTTTAACAATGCATGTACATATGTATGTATATTATATATAACAACTTGCCTCAATTTGGAAATGTCTCGCTACTATTTTTAAAATATCCCTTTCAGCCATTTCACCTTCATCGGTGTATATTTTTAACACATCATTCGATTCGATTAAACACAATCGGCAAATCATTTTTGTTATATTTCAAATTTTGTTTTTTGCCAATACAAGATATCTTTTATTTACCATTTGTTATTTTCCAATATCTGTTTTATTTATAACTCTTCTTCTTTTTTCAAAATAATTCAACATAGACAAGCATCTAATCGATGTGTGCATTTTTAACCTTCGATGACATAAGAAGCGATATCTTATATCGATTTATTAATCATGAGCACCAAAGAACTTAGATATTATATTCCACGAAATCGTAAATTGAAAAGTTCGCCGAAAAGCACTAATTACCTCTTTCACACCAACTATCACGACAGCCGGTTCTACACAACGGAGTTGACTCGGATTTTATCTGGCCGGTGCAATATCTGGAGTTATCTTAAGGTCTACTTATAGGAAGTGGTCCCCACGCTACGTGGCCACATGCTGCCAGCGCTGCGCTTTCAACACATTTACGGAGCTCCCCGCAGCACGACTTCCACCAATCGTCACCCCCACCATCATCCAGCTCCTTTCCAACTCCCGTTCGGCGGCTACTTGAGAGCTTGTAATCCCAGGCACAGATTGGTCCTTGTGACAGACCATATTGCGCCGGAACAGGACAACAGTTAAATGCAATTCCTGCTCTGGTGTCACTTTCGGACGTGGTTTGGTCTGCGCACCACCCGTGAGTGGAGGAATGCCGTTGCCCCATGCTGAAGAAGTCCGTAGAGGGTTGGAGCCGGCAGAGCAGATAGACGATTCGACTATCTGCACCAGAGTTGTGAAAATATTCCAAAGCTCGCCAGACATAATAATTGCCTACTGGTCTGATAAACAGCATAGCCTGGCGACCTATATATTTTAAGTGAATGGCCCACATTCATGAGATTTACCAAAAACGCTTTCAGTGATGTCTCCACTCCAACTCACGTCACAGTCAGTGAACGTTTATTGTATTGTCATTTCCACTGCCGCCTGCATCTTCCCGGCAAACCGAATTGCGGAAGTCCACCCAAAATTCTGGTCGGAAGGTGATCTCCCAATCAGGCATCTCAATCAGGAGATTTGGCGAATAGTCAAGATTCGTTAGCGGAAAAGTGGGAGAACCCCTAGGATCCTGCAACCCTTCTCTGTGCACGCACTCATTGTCAAAATCGACGAGACTAGATGGCCGGGTGGAACTTTCATTCGGTGACCGCGTCTCGTAGGGCCTGAAGAGACGCGCGAGCTATTTTATCCGGCTTTCTACATTGCACCTTTCGGTAGACAAAATGAAGCGAAAAGTGACCCGCCGTCTGCGCAAAAAATCCAAATCAATCGGCCCCGAACAGTGGGAGCAGGCTACCTTACCAAGATCCTCAACTTGTCTTTGATTATCCTAAAAATACCCGATATGTGAAAATGGCTGCTCCCGCTACTCAAACCGGTGAAACCCGACAAGAAAGGAAGGTCCTATTAGCCGATATCTCGTCTCCCCAGTAGCGGAGACTCGTAAAGCTTTACTGCTCCCGGCTTTAACACCACCGGAGTCCAACAGCATGTTGTCAATCATCGGTAGAGTTTCGAAGTCAAACATCGAATCGAAACTCAGGACGATATTGATGATCTTTGTTCAAAAGTAAACGGCTATCTTGACGGCCTATCCTACTTCTTCACTGCACGACAACTACAAATACAGCCGACCAAGTCCTTTACACCAGCTATACGAAGAAACACAGGCTTGAACTCAATGTGAATGTCGATGGCCTAAAAATTCCTTCACTTAAAGCGCCAGACGCCAACACCTGGGGTAAAGACAAAGAAACTTTTCTGGCAAGCTACAAAGCAATTGACCGGTCGTTAACTATGCTACACTGAGCTGGTCTTGCTAAAATACCGTCGTTAGGCTCACGACATGAAACCTTCTGATGGCGCCTGGGTATCACTTACACAGCGAAGCATCTATGCTACGAGTTAAGAAGCATAATACTTTGCTGTGCAAGCAATTGTACCACAGGGAGCATTCCGCTACGACAACAACAAAAGCAACAGCTTTAGTCGAATAGGTAGAAGCTTGAGCTATTATGCGGAAGATTATGGGTTCGAATTCTGCAAATAAAATAGAGTTTCCGAAATGAAGAAATTTACACAATTTTTTTTACGCAATTCGTTTTTTTTTTTTGCTTTTTGGCGCTAATTGGAGATACCAAGTAGAGCCAAGACCTTCTCCACATAGTATTTCGTTTCCGTATCCGCTCTTGATTCGCTGAACTATGTCAATGTCGCAGTATAACACGAGCAGGTCATCATTCCACCTTCTGCGATATTTGTCATCGCCAATGCGCAAATGACCATAAATCGACCGATAAGCGATTTGTAGAGTTTGGTTTTCGTTCGTCGAGAGAGGACTTTACTTTTCAATTTCTTACTCAGTTCGAAGTAGCACTTGTCGGCAAGAGTGATTCTGCGTTGAATTTCCATGCTGACATTGTTGCTGGTGTTAGTATATAGACGAAATTAACTACGAATTAAAAGACTTCGAAGTTATCTACGACTGTCAACAGTGACGTGGGATGTCATCGGCGTACGCCAGCAGCTGTACATTCTTGTAGAAGATTGTACCTTCTCTAATCAGCTCTGCACCTCGTACCATTTTCTCAAGCATAAAAATAACGAAGTCACATGATAAGAAATCACCCTGCATGAAATCTTGTTTTGTATGGGACGGCCTGGAGAGGTTCTTCCCGATCATGACGGTGATTTTGGTTTTGCTTAAGGTCAGTTTACATATCCGTGTGTTTTGCAGGGGTACCAAATTCAAACATAGCGACGTAACGGCAGCTATCATTCGTGAGTTTGGGACCCATCGAAAAATGGTACGATTTCCACTAATTGAAATTATTTTTGGGAATTACCAATTTATGTTCACTATGCATAAACATATTTATTTTAAATATAAAATGATTCAGCGGTTACAAAGCGCCAATTATATATATATAATACAGAAATATATTTGAGAACGAGACGTTGGCGTTTTCAACTTTGTTCTTCATTTGGTTCCATAATGTTGAGCAAGGTTTTTGTAATCTCATTTGGTTGCGTTCGGCTCCGAACCCATTCATTTGAATGATTGTTAACCTTATGTTTGTGCATATTACCGTGCGATCTAAATGTTTTTGGGCAAAAACAACAAGTGTACAAATGCGTTCCAGTATGTGAAGATTCATGTTCCTGTCAACAAAATAAATGTTACTATTGTAAGTTTTTTCAAAAATATATTTTTTACTTTACTTTCAAGGAGCGTGGGTTTTTAAATTCTTTAGTACACATCGTACATGTAAATACTTTGTCCGAATGATGATAGCGTATATGTGCTGAAAGAGCATGACGTGTACTCTTTTCCATTCCACATTGCGGGCATTTAAACTCCAAGCCAGATGCTTGATCACGATGCAAAATCATGTGCTTTCTAACACATCTAGCGTTCTTCAACCATTTCAAACAAATCTTACATTGTTCTTCAGGACGAGGTTCCGAATTATGTATGGCCTCCATATGAGATAAGAGATTTTGTGCTGTTTTCAAACATTTACCGCAAACTTCACATACCGAATCGTATGTGTTTAAATGAACAGCTTTCTCATGCTGTTTTAAGACGGCAGAATTGATGAATCTTAAAATAGTTAAGTGCATATTACATATTAGGAATACGTGGACTGGGTACAATTATAGAAATAGATTACCCTTTATTGCAGATTTTGCATATAAAATTTCGTGTCCTGGTATGACTGGATTTCACATGATAGTCCAATATGTATTGTTTAGCGAACTTTCGGGGACATAATTTACAAGGATATAATAAACTTTCAGCATCTGGGTGTATCGCATCCATATGATTTTGATAGTTATTCCTGCTGGCTAATTGTTTATTGCATATTGTACATCTGCATTATATATTTAATTTAAAATTTACATTATTAAATAAACAATTTTCAACTTACTTGAAAAAGTCTGGATCCTTATGCAGCCTTAGATGATCTACATACAATGTTCGCTTATTGTAACGGTTATTACAGCAAGGTACATAACCCACACATTGGTGGATTTGTCTAAAATGTTTCTTTAAGTCACTGAAGTCTTTTAATGGTACTGAGCACATGCAACAGGTTAATTGGATATTCTCCGCTATGAATTCATCTAATTCTCTTATTAAAGATTTTGTGTTCCCCTTTTTCTCAATTTTCTTTTTAATTTTATTATGCCCGTTATCCAGAGAATGTTTCCCTTCTTCGTCTGTTTGTAAATTTTTTTCTGATTTTTTTTGGAGTTTAGTTTTTTCTTTATTTTTCTTTGCTGAGCGTAAACTTCGTTCAATATTTGTTATTTCTGGTTTTGTTTTTTTAATATTTCTTTTTGTGTACTTTCTTTTTGCTGTGGTCTTCAATTCAATAAAATGTTCTAAAAGCGGTATAAAAAAAATTGTTAAATATGCATATAGATAGTGAGCATTTGAAATATATATTTACCAGCAGGCGAAGACACTGACATTCTAGAGATATCAGCTGACTCGAATTCCAAGCCATCTGCGCAAACTATGGGTTCTATAACTAACATATCTATTTCTGGCTCACACAACTCATTATTTTTAGTTTCAATTGGAGAATGGATAAGTGTATTTGGTAACTCCTCTGTTTGGAATTCGTCGATATCCTGTTTTATTTGAGTACATACGAAATCTGTTTGAAGCTTCTTTTGTTTTTCCTCTATATTTAACCAAAATTTATGAAAATCTGATGTACACCGCCAGCATTCCGCACAAATCTTGTTGGATACATTATCGTGTGGTTGAACCTGGTATTGATTTGGAACTCATACGGTGAAAGTATATTAATAATATCTAGGCTTACCTCAATGTGAAAATATTTTGAAATGATTTTAGAAATTTCCGTTTCAGAAGTGTCGGAAAGAATGTCGAAAGTGTTATCAGAACCCTCCAAGCAGAGACGACAAAGCATTTTTATTAAACCAAAATAAAGCTTGTTTGTTACATTCACTTCTGCAATTATATTTATTTACATTCTTCCTCTTCTTTAAATAAGTCATTTCATTCACAGTTTGAATGTTGCCAAGCCGTTTTTATACCCAATTTCTCAGCACTTTCGAAACCAGTAGGGCAATTCTCTATCGTATTAAACGATTTTCGCATCGTTATATTGACTTAACGATAATTTTACGATTTTACTATTCTAACTACAGTCAAAGAACGTATATGAATAAGAAGCGTATACGTTCTTTGATAAAACGGAAAATTGCGATGTCACAGAATTGCACTGCAGCTCTGTTCGGTGAGAGATGTCAGTAAGAATAGCTAGTAGCCAAATATGAAAATCGCGCGTCCTCAATATGAATTTTACCAACTTTTTGATTCGCCAAACCCGGTCAAGTAAAATTTTATAACAGTTATTACTGCTCATCGACAAAACATATTTTTGCCAAAATTAAAATTTTTGACCAACAAACCGCCTGGAAATTGAGACATGATGACAATGATCAGAAATATTCATAACAAATTTTAATTTTTTTTTTCATAAAAATTTATTAACTCTGTATAATTATATTTTAATTAAACTTAATCAACAATAATACTTTTACTAATAATATTTACAATCAAATCTTTTGCAAATTTGGCATTCCACCTGCTTAAGCAAAAGTCAACCACAGCCACACAAGCCGTCCAAAAATTTTATTTATGGATGCCCATCTACAGAGAAAGTCAACCGGTATATATGTGACAAGAAGTAAAAGCTATTCGCAAAATGCCATCAGCTATTCCTACTTGTTAGAAAATCAACTACTCATAAATGTGAGTTGTGCTTAAAAAAGTGTTGGTTGATAATGCTCTTTTGTTTACGAATGTGGTTCATTCAGCGGCAATCGACTTAAATAATCAGAAGCCATTTCGTTTGAAGTACTTTCCTGATTTGCAGCACATTCAGTTAGTTGCTGCTGCGAGGCTTCACTATACGTTTGATGCAACTTCTTCTTAGAATGTTCGGTCATATGTTTGCGCATATTACGGATAGATCTGTACTTTTTGGCGCATATCGAACAAGTGTAAAGATGTATACCCGCATGTATGGCTTCATGTTCCTGTCCGTAAATGAATTAATACAAATTAATATAAAAATGACTTTTGAAAAGTTAAATAAACAGAAATTCAATTACCCTCAACGCAATTGGAAGTTTGAATTCTTTATCACAAACAGGACATTTAAAGCTTCTATTCGAATGATGGTAGCGTATGTGTGCCGCTAACGAATGTCTGGAATACTTTATTGTACTGCACTTATCACATGGGTACTCTTTTTCCGCTGGCTCTTCGCTGTGTGCTATTATGTGCTTTTTAAGAGTGTATGCGTTTTTGAGCCACTTGTGACATATATGACATTGTGCTCGTGTACGTGGTTCTTCACTATGTATGGCATCTACATGACGTAAAAGATTGTGTGCCGCTTTGAAGCATTTTCCACATATTTCACATACAGATTCATATTCATTCAAATGAATATTTCTTTCATGTTTCTTCAAAACCCCAGCACTTACAAATCTATGGATTAAGAAAATAATAAAGTTTTTATAGGAATTTAGATAAAGTATTTCAGAGAAACGTATACAGCACCCTTTATTACATGTTTTACATATAAAATCACGGGTAGTAGTATGCTTCGATTTCATATGGTAATCTAAAAGGTATTGTTTAACGAATTTTCGTGGGCACAATTTGCAAAAAAACTGCAAATCACTGATATCGGGATGTTTAGAATCCATATGATTTTGGTAAGTATTGCGACTTGCCAGCTTCTTATTGCAGATATGACATCTATGTATGTAAATATGAAAATAATTAAATAATGAAATTTAAAAATTGTGTTATAAGAATTGCTGATATTTATATTCAAAAGGATTGAATATTTTTATGTGTATCTATCTAATAAATAAATTGAAAAACTGTTGATTTTTACTTGAAAAAGTTTGGATCTCTATGCGATTTGAGGTGGTCAGCCCAAAGAGACCGTTTTATAAATTTGCTGTTGCAACATGTCATATATCCTTCACATTTATGCTTTTCTCTGAAATGCTTTCTCAGATGAAGAAAGTCTGTCACATGTTGCTTACACAAACAACAACTTAATTCACAATTTTTTGCGATGTAGTCATCCATCTCCGCAATCAGAGCCAACTTGGCCATACGCCGTCTAGTGATTTCTTCTTCGCTTGCGACGTCGTTAACATCATTATTAACATTTTTGGCCTTTAACGAATTTTTTCGATACTTCCGCTTAGGTAAATGCTTAACATCCGCAACCTTTTTTCTTCGCTTAGCTAAGTGATATGAAAAAAAACGGATAGTGTATAAATATTAAAAGAAATTGGTAACCCTCACTTTTGTTTGCAAATTTTGGTTCTGGCGATAGTGCTGCATCTTGATCTGTTGAGTTATCATTGTCCAACTCTGCAGCATCAAATTCGACTTCATCTTCAGAGTTCTCTATTTGTACTATTGGCAAATCAATTTGTGGTTCACCTAATTCAATTCCTTTATCGTCATTGGGTGAAATTGTATGAGCTAAAGGGAATTCTTCTGTCTCTATACCTTCTATGCAAAGATTTGATTCAGTGCTTTCTAAATGTGATTTAAGAGTCTTTTGCTTTTCTTCTATATCAAGGTAAAACTTATGAAAATCGTTAATTTGTTTCCAGCATTCGAAACAAATTTCATTAGAAACGGCATCGTCCGAATGTATCTGATAAGAAATGTTAATATGAAATAACACGGCATTACTTATTATATTAAAATACAGTTAAAAAAGTTTTCAATTGCACATCTTATATACACATACATATGTAAGTAGGTACAAATTGTTTACTTACCTCAATACAAAAATACTTTGCAATCATATCGGCAATTTTCCTTTCGCCGTTATCTGTACAAATTTTCTTACCATTATTTATTCCCACTAAACAAAGTCGACAAATCATTTTACAAAACTCGTAAAATTATATCCAAAAAGTGTATCCCATTAGAAAGATAGAGAAGAACGATAGAACTTCTCTTTCGTCTACACAATTTATCGATAAATGTCACTGAGTGACGCGGGTTGGTATTGTTTAGTTAAGCAACCTGTCTAATCATAACATTATTTGGGGCATAAACAAATTATTAAATTTTTATGTGTTGAATGTTTATAATTAATGTGTGAAAGAGATGCAGTAAAAGAATCATATCGTTTGCAAATATTTATTCTCACCACCTTATATTTGCTTGTTAAACCGGCTAAATGCACGCGCAACGAATAATAATAATACATCCTGGTTCCCTTTACTTAAGGATAGGAAGAGCATCTGATCTTAATCCTATTACGCTTCTCCATGCAGTAGCTTATCGAAGACGGAATAATAAAAGTTCTCAAGAGCATAAAGATGCTCTGCTACCCCATGTTCAAAATTCAACTGATACTCTTGCTGAATTTGAGGAGCAACGACTGCAGGTGTCTCATTCCATACAGTCTTATGCGCCTCCCAATGAAACTAATGAACGTAGTGCCAAACGGTTAAGGATTGCTACGCCACCGCAACAAATAGCTACATTCAACAGACGCAGTATTCCAGAGTGTATTGCAGAAGGAGAGAACTGTGAACGCATCAAAAATAAAAGCAATAATTCTATAGAATGTGAAAAGCTTTTCGATAAGGATATATTAATGTTAAGAGAAGAAGAAACCTATGCTTACAACATTCATTTTCCTATGAGGCGTGGTGAACTCAATATTCATAAAGGTGTGGGAGGTTCAACTGCCGCTGTTATATCTAATATGGAAACTATTTGGTCATATGCGCTGAACGAACACTTAAATATTAAAAGAGATTCACTACCTCAATACAGCGCTGTGCTTGTAACATCAGATATCTATAATCGTAGTCATTTACGTGAATTGACTACTTTGCTCTTACAACGCTTGAGGTTTCGCTCATGTTTCTTATTACAAGACCATGTGGCTGCGACTTTTGGTGCTGGTCTCAGTTATGCTTGTGTTGTTGATATTGGTGATCAAAAATGCTCAATATCTTGCGTTGAAGATGGTATTAGCCACCCAGAAACACGAGTACGCCTATCCTATGGTGGTGGGGATGTAACACAAGTATTTTTAAATCTGCTGCGCAAGTGCAGCTTTCCATATAAGGAATGTGACGTCGAGAAGGACTATGCTGATGCCGCGTTATTGATGAATTTAAAAGAACGTTTCTGTCACCTTACGTTGGACGTGTGTGGTGCACAGGAAAGAAGTTTCGAGGTATTAGTATTTGTGTCTGTATATGATTGTACCGACTCTCTATTCTGAATATTGTATATAATTATAGGTAAAGAAATGGAACAAACGTATGAAATATACACTTCAGATTGGTGACGAGTGTGTGGTAGCACCACTATCTCTCTTTCATACAGAACTTTTTAATATTACTGGCAAATTGAAACAGGCATTTGTTCAGTTACGAAGTAGCCAACAGCCGGATCCAGAGGATTGTTTCGATGCCGAATATATCCGAGAAACTGGACGTCGAAATGGTGGGAGAGACCAATTACTTGAAGGCTCGTTACCAGTGACAGGAGAAGCAGCGGAAGATGATTTAGTTGTTGACGATGTCGTAGAACGTGACAATAATATTAAGACTAGTGATAAGGATGAACTTTTGTACATGGTCAATGGTCAGATTATGCCCATTGATCAGGCTATAGTGCGCTGCATCGAACGATGTGCAACAGAAGAGATTAAACGTAAAATGTATAGTTGTATATTACTCGTCGGTGGCAGTACAAAATTTTCAGGTTTTGCAAAATGGTTGGAGCAACGTGTTACGCTGCAGTTGGCGTCTACGTCGACTTCATATTCAGCATTTGAGATTAATGCATTCAGTAAAGAAATGGATGCAGGAATGATAGCTTGGAAAGGGGCAGCAATAATGTCTTGTTTGGAGAGTGCACCCGAGTTATGGATTTATGCTGGAGAATGGGAGAAGTATGGCTTGCGCATCTTGCGTGAAAAAGCTCCGTTTATTTGGTAAATAGAACTGAACTCGGAAAACAACTAATATATTTTGTATTTTTTCTATATATGTACATACACAAAAAATTATTTTATTTTTACCTTATTATTATATATAGGAAAAGAAATATTTTTATAACAATTGTATAGTTTATTAAAACATATAATAAAAATATTAATCCGTATAAATATATATACCCATTAAGTTAATTGAAATTTAAAATTTTGAAACGTGAATAAGTTCATTTAAGGTACTTGGGAGTGCTGGAGCCCATATAGTGATATAAATCTTGTAATGTCGATTGCACCAATTTGGCTTTTATAGATTCGCGATTCAACCGCTTGTATGCTTCGTAGCGATGGCAACCACCAAAGCTGTAGAAGTAATCACCACCCTCTGTACCCTTTATCCATAGTACGTCTATTGGAGGAACATCACCTTCTGCTTCATTCTGCTTGAAGTAAAAATTAAAAATTAAATTAAATTATTCTTAATTAAATAATATATGCCCAAAGTTTTCCATAAATATCTTTTAAATTTCACCCACCTGTATACTATTCATTAGCGACTGAACCTTTGCTTCATCCAATACCGGTGGGATTGGCCTATGTATGACACTCATTGGCACATTATGCACTTCTGTTATGGCAGCGGAGTGTACACTGTTGCCATTTGCGTTAAACGACATTTTCTTCGCGAATCTTGCTAAAATTACTACAAGTAGTTAATGGATATAACGTTTTTTGGAACAATGCCATCAGCCTTTGAATGGAAAGCTGAAAATCCACCTATTTCCAATATTGGTGCTCACTAAACCATTTAAATAACTTACAATGTGCGTATGTATGTACATACCTTCTGTGCTTGATGTTTTCAGCCTGACTAGAGAGTTTTTACGTCTATTCACTTGTAAAGCTATACTGCTAATGAATGACATTGTGCGAAGTTATGTCTAAACGTTACCAAAAATTATTTACTACTACTACAAAGTATATGGATTCGTAAACAATTCAGATAACAGAAAAATACACGAGTAGGTATATAATCAGTGAATTGAAGTATATAAGTAATTACCAGCTGGGGGCAAACTTATATATAATATTGGTAAAAAAAACAATGAATAATAATTATGTGTAAGTATCTGGATTCGCCAATTAAATTCAATGGTTTCAAGAATTTCGGGTAAAAGTGCAGCCGAGGACTTTTTTGCTCTGAATTGTGAAGAACAAAGAAATTTAAATTTAGACTGCGATAAAGGTGCAAGAAAAAAAAACAAATATTTTTGTTGTTCATACGATTACTTAAGTATAATATTTTAACGTTTTTAATAATTAGATAAACTACTTCTGTATAATATATAAGGTTGCCAAATATCGCTTTTTCGCTCTTCATTCAATGCTTTATAAAAAGTGTTACAGTGATCGTATTTAGTTAAAATATGCAGCGTTTTGTTCGATGATCTGTTTCCATCTAGACGGCAACTTCATAATACCTTCCTCGTAGAAGCCCCCTCCTTATTTGCGAAGAATTCGGACAGCCAATTTTCACAAGCCTCGGTTGAGTTCAACTTCACACCACCAAGGGCATTCGCCATGGACAGGAAAAGGTGGTAATCACTTGGCGCTACGTCCGGGCTATATGGTGGATGCGATAAAACCTCCCATTCGAGCTCACGTAGCTTCTGACGAGTCATCAACGAAGTGTGTGGTCTGGCGTTGTCCTGGTGGAACACTACACCCTTCCTGTTGGTCAATTCTGGTCGCTTTAGGTCGATCGCCTGCTTCAAGCGGTCCAGTTGTTCGCAGTAGATGGATGGAATTAAGCGTCTGACCATGTGGGAGCAGCTTGTAGTAGATGATGCCTTGCCAATCCCACCAAACACACAGCAAAACCTTCCTGGCCGTCAATTCGGTCTTGGCCATTGTTTGGGACGATTCACCGGCCTTCGACCACGACCGTTTTCGCTTGATATTGTCGTATGTGATCCATTTTACGTCGCCAGTCACCATCCGCTTCAAGAATAGGTCGAGTTCGTTCTGTTTCAGCAGCATATCGCAGGCGTTGATTCGGTCCAGAAGGTTTTATCACGTTAAATTATGCGGCACCCAAATATCAAACATTTTTTCGTATCCAGCCTTCTGCAGATGGTTCAAAATGGTTTGGTGACTAACTCCCATCCCCTGGGCGATGTCACGAGATGCCATATGCCGGTCTAACTCGATGTGTTCCATGATTTGATCGGTATTCGTCGTCACAGGTCTTCCGCCGGCTGGCTTATCCATGATGTCGTTTTCACCGGCTCTCTTATCCATGGTGTCGTTTTCACCGGCTCTGAATCGTCGAAACCATTCCTTTGCGGTTCGAGGTGATAGAGTACCATCCCCCAAATGACCATTAATCTCACGGAACGTTTCTCTAGCGGATTTGCCTTTAACGAAGGAAAACTTTAAAATAGCACGAATTTCGGCGTTAGTGAAATCCATGTTCACACGTCCATAACTGTTGCAAAGACAAAGATGACTAGATACGAAACTTACTCATAATCACTCAAATTGCAGCTGAGAGCGTTCCCCCATCTCACATTCTAATGTTGGCAGCAGTGTCAGATCAGGGAACATTCAACATCTGATGTGCACCAGTGCCACTATGTCAATAAAAAACCCATTATTTTTGTTTCAAATGAAATTTGCTTCAGCAGTAAATATTAAAGAAATTATTGTAATTTTATCATGAAAACTTCCTTTTCAAATTATGTATAGTGTTGCCAAATACAAGCTCTGTAGCGCTTTGTACATAGCCGCGAAATTCAAAAGACAAAAAAGCGGAAGGGAGATATATATTTGACAACCTTATATTATATTCATATAGTAGGTTTTTTGTAGCAACAGTTCTTCACCGGGAAAATATATCCAGATTTTCCGGCTAACTATATGACCAATTTTTATATATTGTTTATTTATTTAGTAGTTACGTAAAACGGACTAATTTATTATATAAGGGTTGGACCATATTATAATTAATTTATACAGATATAATAAGGTTAGTTTAACTATTTTGATTATAAATTTTTTCTTTTAAATATACGTTCCCTTGTTGAAACCGCACACTTCAATTTGAACGTTTAACATTATCGTTAACGACTTGAAAGCTTTTCGTTTCGAGTAAAAACCGAATAAAATTTATTTTGATAACTGCTTTAACGAAAACTTTTCCAACTGCTTCAAATGAATGGATAGAATTTTTTTTACGTGCAAATTATCGTTGCGATTCCAGGGGCAGTGTAAGCAAAGAACGTATATTAATATACGTTCTTTGGTGTAAGTGTATATGTGTACATATATGTACATACGCATAAAGCTTTGGGTCAAAAGTTAACGTACGAAATCAGATTATATACAGATTTATTTCGTTCAACATGATAACTAGGAATCGCTTCGGTATATAGCGTATGGCTTCACGTTTTCGACATAAGCGCATCCCGATTTACGTTTTACCGGATGTAAGCAGGGCGTAATGATTCAAACATGAATGCTGTCAAATGTGGCAACTATGTTTTGTGACTTTTCATACCAACAAAAAATAATATGCGAATGGTGGTGGTAACAGGATAGAAGAAAAATTATTGGAAAATAATTAAAATAGTCTATATTTGCGAAAACACGTATATATTAAAGAATATATATTGTTTATAAGATATTGTGGCAGCTGAAAATGAGTGTTTTACCATATCCACCAACAAGCGATGATGACATCCTCCGACTTTGTACAAAGGAGTGCGGCATCATCACAGCCACAGAAGATCAGCAATACTTTGCATTGGGTTGTATGTTCTGTCCGGCCAAATTTCTGTTTTTCGATGCGTTTATTGGACATATACAAACAGAACATGGAGCACAAGCAATGGACCAGAAAGGTTTTTTCGGCGGCATGCTAGGGTAAGACATTATAAAGATGTTTGCTGCCATAAATAACCTGCTATTTGCTGCTAATACAACAACAATTATAAGTTTTTTATGCTTGTTTTTGTTTTGCTTGATATATTTTATTGAATTGCATTATTATTATGGTTTTGTAAGCATATAAATTAATTATTAATATATAATTTATTAACGTCCAGTACCTTTAAACAAAAATACACATTAATAAACCCTTATCTTAGTCTTGGATACGACGATTCTTATGGAGAAAATAATAGTGGTCGTAGTGGCGAAGGTACTGAAGACCTCACTGATACCGATCCCTCACTACTGGTGCCACAAACAGTGATGATTAAGGAGGAAGTTGATGATGTAAGCATAAATAGTAAGGAGAAATTTTCTTCTTCTATTAATATTGAATGTTCTTCTCAGGAATCCGTGCAACCGCAACCTAGCAACTCTGTTATGCCTGGATTTCCTAGCGAAAATGATTTAGCAGATTCCTCGAATTCCATTTACCCAGTAAAACAGGAATGTGCCGAACAGAAAACGGAAACGGATACCGACAACTATATGACTGATAACTATGGCAGTTATGAAGATTTTACAAATAATGGAGATGAAGATGATCCAAGCTACCAAGAAGATGATGATGATAATAATTACGATGATTTAGTCGAACAATCGTTGTTGGGTGTGAACAATGGAACGGTATGTTACTCGATATATGTAATGTAAAAAATTGTATTAACAGAAGTTCAATGATGTGTAGGAAACTGGTTTAACGATGCACATAAAAGACCGAAAAATGATTAAATATCTTATCGACGCATATCGGCGTAACACCTTTCTTTGGGATCATCGTCATCCACAATTTCGTGATCGTGTCAAACGGCAGCAATTTCTCGATTGGATGGTAATGGAATTCAAAAGGCGTTTCAACTTGTCATTAGCTAAAGATGCAGTTACTCGAAAGTGGGACAATTTACGAACAGTGTATAAAAGGGAATGTAATCGAATGTCGATTGAAGGAACCAATATCAGCACACTATGGTATTTTAAAGATTTGCATTTCCTTAATCGTTTATATGGTGGCAATCTTAAGATACCTGAAGCTATTGTAAAGGTAATTAATTTTAAATCAGAAAAAGATATTAAAAAATATGTACTGTGCAGTTTTAACAAAAATATTTTTTCCTAATTCAAATGAAAAATATTTTTAGATTATGATAAACCGAACATAGATCTGTTATATCTATGAAACATAATGTACTAAGTATATAACATATTTCATTCCAGGAGACGGTCTACCGTAGACGGTACTCAGCCCTTTGGAATGATGTCTCCACAACGAAACTCTTATCAATGGTTGAACAATTCCCATGCTTTTACAATAAATATAACGTAGACTATCGTAGTAAGGAGAAACGCGGAGAGGCTTTACAGAAAATGGCGAGCGAATTACAAAAAATGATTGACGTCAGCACCATTCAAATCTCTAAACGAATCTCACAATTACGTTTCGATTATTCTAAACAGAAACAGGAACGCCTATTGTGTGAACAAAGCAATAAAATGTTTTCCCCTAGTTATACTTATTACGATCAAATGCAATTTATGGATGCAGACATAGCCCCATTTAAATGTGACTATTGTCCAGTCATAGTACAATCACCGAGAGAGCTTGATTCTCATCTTACTACCCATCAGCCCGAAGGCAGCTTTGATTGCAATGTTTGTTCACTTACCTTCTTAGATGTTGATCAGCTAAACCAACACAAACAGGTACATAACACTCCACCAAATAAGGAAGTAAAGTATTGGTGCGATTTATGTACAGCTAGTTTCCGAACAAAAGAGGTATACGATGAACACATGCGGCGTCACAACGATGAGCTTCTTTTACCAGCATTGGCCAATATGCCGCAGTCAGGAAATGATATGGATACAAGTGAAAATAGTAATCCACTAATGGACAATAGCGATTATGATGATGGCTATTCGTGTGACATATGCGGGAAAGCATTTACCAATATGGTATATCTCAATGCGCATCGAGCACAGCATGCCAGCGCAAATGACCGGTCATTCCATTGCGATTATGCTAATTGTTACCGCGCATTTTCTTCGAGGCAATCCCTACTGGATCATACAAGGCAGCATTACAGTGATGATGATTTTAAATGCGATTTTTGTGGGAAAACCTTTAAATCACTTAAAAATCTACAAAATCACAAGCAAATACATGATGCTATTAAAAAATATGTATGTAAGATATGTGGCTCCGCATTCGCTCAGGCGGCTGGTTTATATTTACATAAGCGACGACATAATCGGCCTAATTCACGCATACATCAAGGCTATTGATCCACTTATATAAACCTATAAAAGGTATGATTGTAATCAACGGCATATATATACTAAATATAATAATAAAAGAAAACACTCGAGCATTATAACCACAACAATAATAATCGGAATACTTATCTAACTATGCATGATATAGAACTTATTCATGTTTTAATCTATTACGCAGCATAGGATATTGGATATCTATTGAAAGTAATTCAAAGGAAAACTTAATAATTATTATGTAAAATAATGTTTTAAATGAAGTAGAGGGACTTCAACTATTTAAGACTTATTAATTTTAGTTAAATTATTTTTCTACACAGTTACCATGAAAGAGATTGTCTACAATTCTTAATACATATTTCTTTATGATCAAATATTATGTAACAGGTTGTAAAAAACACTTCTCAAGTATTAATACACAATTTTGCATTAATTAATGATATTTTATTTTATGTGCACTTTTAGGTGCAAGTCGATTATTTTATATTAGTTAATTTCAAAGATTGTGGAATTGTACTTAAAATTTTTCTTATTGAAAAATATAACCTTAAGAAGAATAAAAGTAAATAATTTTCCTTGGTGTTGGTATATATTAAACTTAATCTAATATTTAATAACACTACTCATAAAATTAATTGTACTAATTTAATAAATAATTGAAACAAAACAAATTATTGTATTTTACGCGCTTAATGAATATCTCAAGAATTACGAATATTCGCAAACTTTACAATAACTACATATGTATGTATATGTAAAGAAGAAAACATGAAACAGTCAACAACTTTTTAATATGTATGCACATATGTACATACATATATTATATTATATAATAGCAGCGGAAAAGGGTAAATACAATATTATTGTATAATGCAGTGTCACCATAAGTCGCCCGACTTGAACGAATCCCATAATCCATAAGCAGCCTAATTTATTATATTAAAAACACTATGTTTTGAAATCAATTAAGAGTTTATAAAATTCAACAGCATATAGGTATGTATACATACCTACATAAGTACATGTATTTGTTGGAGTAATAAATTTTTACCTAACTTTAGTCGAAAATTTCTCGTCGTCTGTTTATTAAAATTTTACTCCGTTCTTTTAAGAAGTTCAAAAAAATGCACAATGGCAAACAAATGGTTATTAATAAACGTCGCTTTTTCATGAATATCGTCTATCTTGGGAATAGAAAATAGTCGTAGAGGATTAAACTAATGAAAATTTAGGATGAGGCATAATAAAGTTAAAAAAGCAATTTATAAAGGTAATCCAGGTTGAATGATGCGAAAATTGAATTTTTTCAGAAGCTTTTTATGATTGCTGCCCGCAAACAGCACTTAACCTAAAAATGTATAATTTGTTTAATGAACTTCATTGGCAAAAGCTTCAAACTTCGACTTTTACGTGCCATTAGCTAAACCGATATGCTGACATCCTCAGCAACTCTTCTGCTTAGCTGCTGAGCAGGTCAATAAAGTTTTTTCGAACTTATTGTTCATCCTCTGGTATGAATGGTCGGATGGACAATGAAAATGAGCTGTCGCCTATGTTAATTAGCCGATTGGTAACTCGAAGGGTAACTTCACCGGATATATTGAAAAAGATCCTTCTCGAAATGGAACATTCGGTTTACTACGGCAAGAGGCGCTGCCGCGGCGAACCGTGCTAGCAATCGTAAGAACAAAACAAAGCCATCTAAAAACAATAAGAACAATAACAAAAAGGAAAACATTAATCAGAAAGAATGTACTTCGTTCTTTCCACATGAAGTACAGAAGGGAAGAGGACAGAGCACGGTATCAGACGTTCTCACTCACATGACAGCCGGTTCTACGCCACGGTGAGTGGAGTGATGCGTACGTTGCCCCTGCTTATATATGCAACACCGCTGCCCACCAGTACCAACTTGTGGCACCCAATCCAGCAGATATTACAGCAGCAACACACCAGGCAGACGTTTCACTTCCTTACCCCCCCCCCCCCCCCACATCACAGCAAAAAGGCTTAGCGTTCATCGTACACAACACCGTGCAAAATGGTCTCACCGATGGCGACATCGACCGCAGGGATAAAACCCTAGATTGTCAGGATATAACCATCCGATCACGCGGTGTAGAGCTCGAAATTTTTTATATATACACTCCTTCAATTACAAGTTGCCCACATAGGTGCGCTACTCAGATGAATAGGTAATTGCCAAAGCTCACCAGGCATAACAATTGCGTGCACTGGTCTGATATATAACGACATATGCTGACGTTAGCATCGGACAACTTACGAATATTATTCTCGACTTCGTTACCATGGACCCCCGGACGTACTTTAACTTAAAAAAAGTTAGCTGGCCCGGATTCACGGAATTTACCGAGAACTCCTTTTGTGATTTCCCCACTCCAACTAACTTCACAGCCGGTAAACGTTCTTTACGCAGGATACGCGATGACCGGTGGAAATTTTATTTCGGTTAAGAAACTGAAGCAACAGGATTTCTCTAGTCGAAAAAACTCAAGAAGCAACAGAAGAGACTACAAACAACAAAAAAAACCAGCGTAGAGCATAGCTTGCCCGTAACCTCGCTTCTAAAAGGAAGAACAGAGCAGAAAAAAAACATGGAGAACAATGCGCATCTTTCTGTGCCATGTTACATCACCGACAAAGGTAAACGGAGCGGATAAATATTTTTTGCAAATGATATTGGAATCTGTAATAACATTTCATAAAACCTGAACTAACTCTTAGATTATTTTCAGCCGCATCCTCATAAAAATCCGTCGGTCACCCGGAGGCGCCTTAGAGTAAACTCTCCCTCTATTGATAGGATAGTGGCGCCAATAATATAAACTATATAAGATCAACTATATAAATATTTTCGTATCGTAACCGCCTATAGATAAGTTGCTTAGCCTTTTTTGGGCCAGCGAATACTATATATACTTCTCGTATAATCTCAACTCCTGAATGTGCCCAATGACGAACCTGAGAATTAACCTGAGAGTGACCCCTGCGGGTTAGGGGTTCAAAAAATTTACCCGCGATAAGGCATGTCTGAGGTAAGAGGCGACTAAAGTCCAATAGTTCGCGGGACAGTCGGGTCTTTATACCAGAACGACCCGGATTTTTTATCCGGCCAAGGACTGGCACTCCCGTAACATTTCCCGTTACTTTCTTCAGCTCTGCTGATTGAGTTAAATTGCAGGATTCGAATGGCCGATAGACTGGCTAGAAAGTTGCCGTAAAATGTTTGGTAGTTAAATGAAGATATTGCAGTAATCCTATTCGAGAAGATTCAGGAACTAAAACTATATTGACTAGTGGATGCCATTGCTCGGTGACGGAGAGACGACCCTGCAGTAAAGGGCTGATGGGTTCACCAATACACTCATACGATTTCGGACAGTACTAACACATATGCACATTTTTCTGTTTATCTTTCTCTTCTGAGTACATACAAACTGAAAGAGTATGCGTTGAACGGGTTATCCGATTTTCACTGCAGCAGATAGAAGTGAAAAATATATGATGAGGATCCTGTGGTAATAACATATTGTCGATTAATTACCTACTTCATTTTTCATAACTCTTTACATTGTTTTTATTTAAGGGCACTGCATATTGTACGGAAAATTTAGCTAATGAAGCAGATTCTCACTTCTTATTGCACCAACAGCAGATTTTAAAATATTCAATAAAACTGTGCGAAGTATTGTACAACTGCATTTTGATATTAATATTATTCTGATTCGAATATTCATTTTTTTTTTATTTTACTTAAGCATCTTTACACAAAGGACCCGTGATTATGACGGTGGCGTTCGTGGAGCTGAGGAGTTGCGTCACCAACGCATGGCGCTAGTAAATACTTCCGTATATGTGGAAGCTTTCTTGCAGGGATATGTTGGCTCAAATGATCGGAAGCGTTCTTATATATACGTTCTCTGTATGTACTCAGAAGAGAAAGATAAACAGAAAAATGTGCATATGTGTTAGTGCGGCGCGAAATCTTGTGAGTGTATTGGTGAACCTATCAGTCCGTTCTTGCAGGGAAGGTTTATTTATAAAAACTAACATATGCGTCTCGTACAATTCACAATTAGATCCCAATTGTATTGGAGTTTACTTAAATTTTTGAATACCTTTTCCTATCTTATCACTAATTAGTTGTACCCAAGGATCCTCTGATAGTATTACACAATAACAATTTACTCCATTAATAATTATAATTGGAAATCATGATGATAATCGAAAATACTTTTTGCAAAGTAGATCATACATAGATATGTGTGTGTACATTCATGTATACAACAACATAAATGTACGTTAATATTTTTAATTAAATCATCTAATTGTTTCATCACTTTAAGCTCGAAGCTACGAAAACAATGTATTTACATATTCTCGAATGTGCCCATATATACATATGTATGTACATATATTCACACAAATACATATAATACATACATATTTATAAAGGACACGTGCTTTATTGTGAAATAAAAAATCATTGTTTATATAATACTTTCTACAACATTTTAGTAATATTTTTGTAGAACTGGTTATTTTTATTGCTGCCGTTTACACACAATTTCGTTTTTTAATTCATTCAAAGTAGGAACCCAAATATGAATATACGTACATATGTCTGAACAAATACAAATTAATTACTGTATAAAAGCCGATTATCACATTTTTTGTTTACAATTTAAGTTTCTATATCTTTAGTATGGCAGAGTAGAAGCTCAGCTAATTTGAAATCAGCTTTTATCCCTACTTAGTGTTTCGAAATCGTCATAGGCATAAATAAATGAAGTGTGCCTCCGACGATGAGACTGTTATATCTTGTCTGTTGTTGATTTTATTTGTGTATGATTTGCAGTTGACTGTAGAATTAAGAACATCTCTGTCGCATCCTTTACAATTAAATTAATTCTCCTTTTTCGTTTACTTTGACGACCTTAACACGATCACCTTTTTCGGCTAGAACTTGATCGAAGCTTTTGCCTTGGGTATTGGCAAACCATCCCGAATGGTCGGCTATTAAATGATTCACTGAACAGCCATCACATTGGAGTATTACTACACCGTTCCTGTATGCAGCTTCTGACACCAGTTTACTATTACGTGTATTGCACAGTTTACAGCGATAAACTAACTCAACCTTACGCTCCATGCAACGTAAACGTTTTAGAGTTGTCGGTGAAATCGAACCAGATGTGGACGATTCGCAAAACTTCTGACCCGCAAATTTAGTTGCATCGAGAATCGATATAGGAATTTTCAACGGTTGACAGCCCACTTTATCGGACCCCTCCTTGAAGTCTGCAATCGGTGCTGCAGTTGAAGCTCCATCAACCGGCTGTGTAATATTAAATAGGACATTCTGGCCATGTTGCCTTACACAGTTAAGTGTCCTAGAGCTGAAGAGGTTACGCAACGCGTTCATTTCACAAGCTCATCACGACGTATTTATTTATACGTAAAAATTAAGATAAATAAACAAACAGTCTTACTTTCTAAAACGTATGTGTATGCTATTTGGATTTGCTTGGAAATCTATTCTTAGATGTACCGACAAAAATGTTACTTTACTCCACAGCCCGACGCGAATTGCAAAATTGAGCTTTTTCCGAATTTAGTGGCAGAATCGGACAGCTGTTTACAGAAGTTTCGTTGAAATTGATAAGGAAAATTAACGAAGCCAAACACAGTGTCGGCAAAAATTAATGACCCCTTGGCGCCATGGAAAATAACTAAATTTTATAAAATTTAATAACATTTTATCGAGTGTCCATTAACCACGTAGCGGGGCCAACAGGGTGTAGGGGTTGGTTCGAATACTACAATATAGCCATGTAACTGGGAGGAGGTTAAGACAAACCTATGATGTTTTCTGGCGATGAAACCACTATTTTATAGTCGTAAGATTTTAGAAAAAACTACTTACTATGTAAATATATTTATAATATTACAATATTATCACCCATTAAATTAAAACGGTATCGTCAAACAAAATCACGTTTTATTGGCCAAGTGAGGCAGTGGCCTAAAGTCCTATAATATGGCTCCCTGACGGATTGTTTTTTTCGAAAAGTTACTTCTTTCGTCATGAAAATATAAAATTGCAAAGTATTTCAATTCAAAAATTTGCATTTATTTATAGTTCTCTGATCTCTCTCAAATCTACTCAAAGTATTTTGCTGTTCTAGCGGTTCGGTTAAATATCAAATGATGTTCATTTTCCTTGAAACTAACCAGATTTCAAGTTATACAGTTGGTTCACCAAAACATTGGCTGGTAATATACGGCTCAGCTGCCGTATAAAAAGACGATGTCCTTCTCCCAAATCGTACAATGTTATAATAAATACTTCTTCGGAAACAAAATACAAAATATATGTTTTCCTTTAACTTTATTAAACATATAAGTCGTAAAATATGTATTTTGATAACTTTGCGAACGCTTAACTGCATCTACGTAATGTTAAAGCAAAGCTATTATTGATATAGTACATATTTATGTATATAATAGAGTATTATAGTCATTTATTCAAAATAATATGTATCGTATTATGCAATAAATAGTTAAGAGAAAAAAGAAAAAGATTTCATTAAGCTTCACAAAGGGTTTTTACAAATTAAAATGAAAAAAAATTAACTGGCTGAGTTAAAATTCCTTATATATTTTTATTTGCAAAACTAAAACTTATTGCAGCAACCAAATGAATTATTCGTTTAAACGAAAAGCTCTTAACCCTGGCCGTTACTTGCTGATAAAAATTCAGGTATTGAAAAAACGAATGCTAAACAACCGAAACGTATTAAAGAGCCATGTGTAAGTATGGCTGTTCCCTCCCAAGCACCAGGAAGCATTGGAGGTTCTTGCACCATAGCGCATTTACATTCAGATTTCATTGGCGGAGCCATTCTAAATTAAGATAAATAGTTTTAGCAGTTCATCAAATTATTTTTATTCAATTTTTGCTTACCTTGAATTTTTGTCTATTATATAATGCTGTCGTTGTATACCTCGACGTTTGTCTAAAATCTCTTGAACGCGTTTCTGTAACTCGACATCTTCATTTTTCAGTTTTTTCGCTGGCGTGGGTCCGTGATCAGTAAAATCGCAAGAATACAATTGTCCATTAACTTCAGTGCCGAATTCTGAGTAGTTAATAAGTTCGTACGTTTTTGTAAAATCATCATAAAATATGGTTGCATGCTTAGGCGAAATCCGACTACAGTGTCCAATAAGTGAGAGATTCACATCAGCAGAAGTTTGCCCAGAACCGATGTTTATATTGCGGTAACGCATAAAAAATGACGAATGCAACTCGACATTACTAAACCAACGATTGTCTTCCAAAATATCACCTAATGGCGTAAGTACGGCACGAGCCCGCACTTTACTACGCATCAACTTCAATTCAAGCCGCGTTGCTGTTTCATAGGCCTTTTCGCCGTCCGTACGTATGCGTGGTTTGTACTTTTGTTCTTCTTCGTCGGCAGCAACAATAGCAGCAGCGGTGGCCAAAGCTGGATGTAATTGCGGCATATCATTATCGCTAACAGTCTGATGTGCTGCAAGAATGGACGATGTCTCACCGGTGAACATTATCGATAAACGTCTTACATCCTCGGGTGAGAGTATCTGTGATGGCAAAACTTGTGGTGTTTCGTTTCGTGAGAGTTCACGTATGCGCTTAGCTGCTGTACGATTTTGATATTGCACCACAATCTCTGGATGTTCCTGTACAAGTTGTTGCAAACGTTGAAATGCTAATTTCTTTATTAAATCGACATCCAAATAACGAAGCTCAGCATCTATTTCGGCATTATATTTAGTTTCATCGTCGGTTTCCACATCATCCTCACCTTTTATTTTGTCTATACCGTGCTGTTGTTCTTCATTCGTACATACTGCGTCTGGGTCTGGTTTTTCTTCTTCTTCATCTTTAACTTGCGTATCAGTTATAGTTTTGGTGGCATCTCCACGTTTATTACGTTTTTTAATAGTTTTTGACTTGTGATTTTTATCGTCATCTTCGACCTTTTCTTTACCAGCAATATCATTGTCAGTTTTTGACTCATCCTTTTGGGTTTTCTTTTCCTCGGTACTTTCTGTAGTGTTATCAGCTTCCTCATCACTGCTACTCAAATCATCTATTTGACCGAGCTCTTTCTGAATTTCACGTAATTTAGCTTTGGCACTTTGAAGTGCTTCTAAATCTTTAAAAACTGATTCAGCTACAGTCTCTTTCGATATTATTTCTGGAGAACTAGGTAGACATTTACGTCGTTTAACTATATCGTAACGTAATGTTTCACGTAAAGAAGGTAATAATGGAGGCGGATTTTCGTAATGATATTTCACCATTGGTGGTATTTCTATCGTTTCACGTGATTTTCTTTGCACTTTGATACGGAAAGGGGGATTTCGCATGTGTACGCGCCTAAAAAATTCCATTTTTACAGTTTCGTGATCGAAAGGTTGTGCGAATTTATCCCACAAACGTACACGCTCCGTAGCGGAAATGCTATTTACGAGATGATTATCCTGAAAGAAAATAATGATAATAGAAACTAATTCAAAGTATTATTTGGTGCCGAGTTTTATTATCTTACAATAAAATTTTCCACATGGTTCGGACACATCCACAAACCAGTTGGTAAAGCAGTCATTGGTGGATTTAGACAATCTTGATGGAAGTATAACGGACAGTAATCGCAAGCCACAAGAGGCGCTTTTCTACAAGACTTGTGACAGTAGAAACAAGTTTTTGCTGGCAATGGCACCATACCTTGAGAGTCCAGCTCATATGGTTTAGAATTTCTCCTTATGTTGCTTGGTTTTTTATTCCCATTACCATTTTTGCGAATAGGTTCCACTAAAAAAGAGGCATAAATAAATAAAAATTAAATAAATCATACTCATATTATTATTGTAGCACTAACCTTTATCATTCCCTGGAAATTGAGAATGTATCTCTAGCTCACGCGGCAACTCAAACTGTTTTGGATTTAATATACTTGCCGCTTTTATCAACTCATCTAATGGTGTTGGTTTTTTGTTTGGATCCAATGCTCTTTGTATTCCTACAGGCAATTTGGACAAATATTTCTCAGTACTACTAAGGTCGCTGCAAAATGATGCACGACTACTACTTCGTTTTCGTAGATTACGAAATTTAAACGGGGGTGCTTCTGCCTCAGTGGCACCCGAAGGTGTACTGGGACGAGAGTTATCCGCACGACTTGCAACTGCAACTCCAGACGCACTGCGCTCAACAGAACTCGATTTTGATGATGACGTAGGCTTCAGAGTCATGCGGCAGCTGTGACAAAGCCACTGTCCACTTGGTATATCTTCTTCCGTAAGCGGTGGATCGCTGAGAGGAATGAACACATTTTCTTAAAAAATCCCTCTATATACATATAAATGTGTTAACACGTGTACTTACTGACACTGCAAATGGAAACTTGATGGACAACGATCACAACAGAGCAAGTCACCGCCTTCTTCACATGCATCACAAAGATCATGGTTATGTCCTCGCCCCGGTCGTTTGTAATATGGATGCTTGGTATTAACTGGGCGCAATGTCACTTTTTCCTCTTCCGATGGCGGTGGTTTAATGAGATTTTTAATTTGCTGTTGAAAAATTAAATAATGAACATTGTTAACTGTTCTTTGATCTCAATTTTAAAACTTTATCGTTTGTGATAGAAAGCATTCCAGCCAGGAAGCATATAACGATTTTGGGATTAACAAAAACTTTCACTGAATCTGAATTATATGAATTTATAAATACCTCCATTATAGGAACATTTGGATCTATTTCCACTTTAGACATGTCTGCTTTAGACTAATGATATTTTTAGAAAAAAATAATTATCTTTCCCTGAACTACCAATTTATTCCAAAGGACCTTTAGCTGCAGTTAAAATGTTTGACAATTATTCAATTCGATCAGATTCGATGCTGTAGAATGTGTTCAGTGGATTCTTCATTCGCTTCATGAGTGTTGAATGTCGCATTTTGAAAATCAACCATTAGTAAACTCAAGGTGCTATCAGACAAAGTAACCACATTAGTTATGTGAGCTGTGGTGGAATTCTTTATTGTATTAAAAAAATTTCGAATCGCTAAAAACTTCCCGGTCATTTTAAAGATTTTAATATTCAGCAAAGAACGTATATATACGCGGGTTGCAACGCAATAAGATTATTATCTTCTACAGAAGTGCCTACGTAGCTGGACTACAAAACCTCCAGTGTATACTTCGATAATATTTTCTCCACAATAATCCCAAACATGGAGGCCGCGGAATGGTTGCACAAACCTACAGCAGCAGGTCAATCAGTAACAATCTACTCCGATAGTCAGGCTGCAATCAAATCTCTTCAATGCAACGGTACTAAGTCAAAAGTGGCCATAAACTGTAGAAACACTCCCAACGAAGTACAGTACTGCCGTGGTCCTGGACGCAGGGACGTCCCAGACAATTGCATGATAGACGAACTCGCAAGAGGAGGAACCCTTCTATCTACCTTCTAAATACGCATATGATTCGGGTTTAAGTCTGTCTACGGCTAAGTATAAGCTTAAACTGGTTTTCACCAGGGAAGCTGACTAGCGATGGTTGAACGAGATTGATCCGGACGGCTATGGCCGTATAGGGACGAAGAAGAGTAGGAGACCATCGAGACCTACCTCTGCCACTGTCCAGCCTTGGCATCCGCGCGACACAAGTGGAAATAATATTAATTATAAGGCATACAACATGGTTCGATCATTTGAGAAGATGAAGACAGGAGCCTCAGCGGTATCACAACGAGTCTATTGGTCTAAGTGTGCTGGGGTTTGACCAACAGCCTCATCAACTCAACTCAACGGTTATGTGCATGTAAAAAATCATTATTGCAATCAATAGTTTTTAAACACAGTCAATGCTTGAAAAGGTCATATAATTGCCAATTTTATTAAAATTCGTAGGAGAATACTTAATAGCAGAAAATAATAATTTGAGAAATATGACAACAATTAAAAACAGTTTGAAAATTTAAATTTTGATAGCGCTTTATATGATGAAGCTAGGTATGAAGCAGAAAATAAACTGGCAAAGAGGGAGGGAGGAGCGAGGTAAATTTTACTTTTGCAAATAAGATGACAAATATTCACTGAAAAATTAATTTAGCTGGTGGAGGCACACCTATGCCAGCCGATAATGAAAATTAATCAGGTTATTGAATCATTAAATGAAGTTATAATTGGAGTTACCCTTGTTCGAATTCGCCTTGATGTCATTATACATTCAAGAATTGATTTATGAACTTGGCAGCTCTATGTCTGAGTCAACAAAAGAATTAGAACAAAAACAATACAGCCATTGGAAACGCAAAATAATTTACTATTCAAAACATTCTGTAGAGAAAAAATTTGCAACCAATTAAATTTTTAGAGCTTGCCTAAGAAAATGCTTTCATTTTTTTATAAGAAAAAACAGGGTTCAGACACCCCGCCGGAAGAAGCAATACAGGGTCCTCCAGACCCAGCACAAGTCAGAGAAGGTGGGGATGATTTTATTTTTATCGAACGAAAAACAACAGACAATGATCCGGTTAAGCCACAAACGCAATCTATGGGAGTATATCCGCCAATGCCCTCTACATTTGGAATAGGTGGATTTACTGGACATCCAGTTTATCCACCAGTCGGAAATGCTGGTGGTGGCAATGTAGCTCCCGTGCCATATGTGCAAGGAGTACCTTTCGAGTTAGCCCCACATTTGAATACGAAATCTGATTTTGAAGTGATACAATTGCAAGTGGACAGTATTTTAGCTTTGTTAACGCGTCAAATGTCGGTGGACGAAAGTGAGGAATATAATTTTGCTTTGGAGCGTTCCATACAGAACGAGTGTTACTAATACTTTTAATTTTTGCACGCTTATATTCTAAGAAAATTACAGAATAAATATATATAATAAAGTAATAAAAAAGGTGAAATTTTATTCAATTGTTAATACTCGTTTGCATTTTGGTTTATTTTGTGCAAATTACACATTCACACTTAATCTAACATTAAAATAAAAAAATTTAAACAAAAATATTTGGCTTTAAATAGAATTGACTTATTTACCAGCTGATTTTGACGTTTGAGGCCTTCTAAGCGAATAAAAAATGATTTGTGATTTCATTCATTCAATTCATTCGCAACAAAAACAATACCCCGTGCTTTGGTTAGCATTCGTATCTTGTTTGCGCACTTTTGCAATTGGGAAAATTACTCACCCCATTTTAGTATAGTGTTCACTTAGTGTATCGTGATATTGACGGAAATTTATTCAACAAGCGTATAAATAAATATTGCAGGTAAGTTTTTACAATATTGTGTGCGCTGTTGAAACAAAATATAAGTACTAATATTTTAATCATCTCGGTTGTCGTAGTGCAATGACTTCCAGCTCAATTTCTCAGGGCGGTTCTTCACAATGCAAATCATCGTCATTGCAACAGCTGTCACAACCTCAGCAGTTATGTGTGGAAACTTTTTCTGTATATGTGGTGACATGGAATGTCGGCAGCCGTTTTCCTGACAATATCTCTTTACGCGCACTTCTGGGTCTTCAAGGTGTTGATGAGAAACAACCCATAGGTTTGCCTGATATATATGCTATTGGTTTGCAGGAGGTAAATGTTCAGCCTCAACAACAAATGCTTGGCCTATTCAAAGAAGATCCATGGACGCACAAAGTTAAAAAATTACTCCGAGACTACGACTATGTGGTAATAAAAACCGAACAAATGCAGGGTTTAGTGCTCTCGCTGTTGGTGCGCCGTGCTCATGTTGAACATATGCGTGACATAGAGCCAGAGTTCACCCGTACAGGTTTTGGAGGAATTTGGGGTAACAAAGGTGCAGTGAGTATTCGTTTCTCTTTGTATGGTTGCGCTTTGACTTTTGTCGTCGCACACTTGGCAGCTCATGATCAAAATTTAGACGAAAGGATTGAGGATTACGAACAAATTATGGAGAATCATCATTACCATGTGCCACACTATCGTGAAATTTATGACCATGATTATGTTTTTTGGTTCGGTGATTTAAATTTTCGTTTAATGGGTGATGATAGTCCGGCTGAGGTATTAGCAGCTATCAAAAAAGAGGAACTATCGGAGCTCATTCAACGCGATCAATTGCTGCACGTACGAACTAAATTGCAAAAAGCGTTTCATTTAATGCACGAACGACTACCAGCTTTCCCGCCAACCTTTAAATTCCACGAAGGCACTTCAAATTACGATTTAAAGCGTCGACCAGCATGGACAGATCGTATATTATATGCTTTGCAACCACTCAATAAACGCCCCGACGAACGGCTGGCCATTGAACAACGATCATATAAATCATTTCCAGCTTACAATATTAGTGATCATAAACCAGTTACGAGCGAGTTCAGCATTAAACTTTATCCAAATTACCGAGCAGCGTGTGTAATCTTCAAAGAAATCCCTGAATGGCAGATTGGGGAAGAGAACACAATTGAATATTTAAAGCCAAATGACTTTGAGGAACGCAAACACGACTGGATCGGAGTTTACCGTGAAGGCTTTGCAAGTTTCAACGAACATATTGGCTATGAATATGTCAATCAAGCTGAGTCACCACCGTCATCCCCCGAAACAACATTAGATCCATTTTTCGATACACCCGGTACACATCGCTCTGGCCGCCACCATCATCGTAATCGTGAGCGGTTGCGCCGTCAACAGTTGCAAGATCAGGAAAATATTAGGCTAGATTTCTCTGATGACATCAATATGCGAGACGGTGGACGTTATTTGTTAATATATTTTCAAAATACTGGTTTGCGTGGCGTAACCAGCGTAACTGGTATGAGTAACGTTTTTCGTGCTGTTAATCCAAGCAGGAATGCTAATTAGTATTTAAAAAAATACTACATGTGCAAATATTTATTTTTTCGAGTCTAATTTTAAACACGTTATTAATTTTATTACAATAAAGACATGTACATAGAATATATATCAAAACAAATTTATATATGTTCATATTACTAAGAGTAAAATTTGAATATAAATAGCATTTAGACAAGTTCTTCAGAAACATTCAAAAGTGCACGATTAGTTTTAAAACAAAATACTAACAAATGTTTAAAATAATAAATTTTAATGAAAAGTTATACAGTTTACATAATATACCCAATTTGTAAAAATATACAATTTAACGGATATAAGTGATATATATATGCACATATGTACAAATGTGTAAATAACTTTTTATACACAATTATAAATTTTTATTGTGTAAAGCTTTAATTTTTAACACCCAATGTATAAAAAACATAATACATCATTATTGTTCTACTATTTAAATTCAGATTAATAAAGTGATGTTGAATACACAAAATCGTTATTACGTTATAACAAAAGATTAACAAAATTCTGTCGCACTTTTATCTGTTTACATTTACTTTGATAACAACTGGGTAGATAAGTTGATTTGTTCATACATATGTACACACATGTATATGGTTATATGTCTTATGAATACAAGTCATGATAACAGAAAAGAAGGAACAGGTTTGCACAAAAAATTTATGCAAATTTGCTGATACATACATATTAATATTCAATGTTGAATAATAACGGAGGCATGCCTACTTAAGATTGCAAAAATTGTGCAAAAAATGAAAGAGTTAAGGTCTCTCTCTAGTATTAGCTTATTCTCTTGAAAAACTAGCCAAAAATAAAAGTCTTATCAGACCAAGTAACTTATAGTATTTATTATTTTTTACTGATTCAAAAAAAAAAAAACTCAACTGTTAGGAGGGAGAAATATGAATAAAATTTCAAGAAATTAGAAACTAATGCAAAACGAGCGCAAATTAAATAGAATCAGAAGCGGTGGACTTTTTTAACTTCAACTTCAATTCGTTTCGATCTGACATAAGAAGAAGTTTTTCACATATCGCAATGTATAGTATCCAATGTTCTAGAAGTGAGTGCACTTCGAGGATGAAGAAGGGAAGCAATACACATTTACACTCACAAAAAGCTTTAAAATCTAGTCTAAAACGACCAAGGAACCAAGGAGATATTCTAGTGAGCAATATTTATAATGAGTTTATTAGAAGGAACACTTTTCTAGTCTGCTGATTTGCAGTGAAAATGAAACGCTATGAGACGTTGAACTCAAATCTTCAGTCGATGATGATGGAAAATGGACGACGGCAAAGAACTTACATATTGCCTGTTTTTTTGCGGAATGTGGCCGAACGACTGGAATGTAAAAAAAAAACCTGCATACCTACTAAACTCGTTCACTTTACAGTTCTCCTCGATCTCACTATGTCCAGGAGTGAATCATCCTCCTTACTATACCTGAAGTAGAGGGCATGTTGTTGTTGTTGTAGTGGTTCGCTAACCCCGCTTAGGCACAGGTTTGATCAGCCTAATTCGCCGAGGTCATCTAATGGTAGGTCCAGGAAACGAGCTGTTTTGACGGGGTTGGACCAGAGGGAGAGGGGGGTTAGATGAGTTGGTTTGAAAGGGCATGTGAAGAGGTGGTTAGTACCGTGCGGAGGCTCTCCACATGCAGGGCATACGTTGGGTATGCTGGGGTCTAGTCTGGATAAGTAGGAGTTTAACCTGCTACAATGTCCAGACCTAAGTTGTGTCAGGGTCAAGCGGGTCTCTCGAGGCAGCAAGAGCTCGCTGTCTGCTATAGGTGGTGGTTTTTCCCCGAGTGCGCCATTCACTGGAAAGGAGTCCTTGAAGGTGTTGACTTACTCCTGGTGAATGGCGTTCAGTGCTTGTCGGTACGCCGTTCTGTCCAGCGGTTGTTGTACATGTTGCTGGATTGTGTCCTTTAAGTCTAGTACTTCCTTTCTGATGTGCCTAGGTGGAGGTTCAGCTTCTATTAGGTGCTACCGCAGGGAGCATCCCAATAGGAACTGCTTGCACAGCAAAGCATTATGCTTCTTAACTCGTAGCATAGATGCTTCTTTGTGCAAGTGATGCTCCGGCGACATCAGGACGTTTCCTGTCGCTGTCCTGAGGGCGGTGTTCTGGCAAGCCTGTAGCTTCTCCATCTGCGTCTCGTTCGTCCCAGGAGCCCAGATCAGTGCAGCATAGTTTACGACCGGCCGACCAAATGCTTTATAAGTAGCCAGCAATCTTTCTTTGTCTATACCCCAGGTGCTGCCGACTAGCGCTTTGAGTATTTAGTTGCGGCTCTGGAGTTTCGCGGCAATTGCGGTCGTATGCGGAGTGAAGGAGTGCAGGCTGTCTAGGGTTACTTTCTATATTATTGGGTTATTAACCGTCGGAATTTTTGTGTTATCGACCTTCACATCTTTTTCAAGCCTGAACTCCTTCGTCCAGCAGGTGAAGGGAGTAGCCGAGGATTTCGTCTATTGAATTCTTAGCTGCCTTGCAGTGAAGAAGTGGGAGAGATCAGCGAGGTAGACGTTCACTTTCGAACAGAGGTCATCAATATCCTGGCCAGACGCCATTATCGTACAATCATCGGTATAAGAGGTAAGGGAAACTCCTTCTGGTGGTGAAGGGAGTTTCGAGATATAAAAATTAAACAGTAGCGGGGAGAGGACACCACCCTGCGGAACCCCCTGTTTAATTTTCCTGGGCTTAGATGTTGCACCTTGGAATATTACCGATGATTGTCGACCACTCAGGTAGCCCATGACCCACCTCTGCGACCCCGGCGGTAATGAGGATTCCTCAATGCCCGTTAGTAGCACTGAGTGATTGACTGTGTCAAAAACTTTTGACAAGTTCAGTGCTGCCAGGACAGTTCGCGCGCAGGGTCGGTTTTGGTTAAGGCCGTGGACTATCTGGGTGTTTATGGCGTTAAGTGCTGTTGTGGTACTGTACAGGGGCATCCTTTTCTTCAATGACCTTACCATCTTCATCATACCAGGTTTGAAAAACACTATAATGAAACAGTACTTTTAATGAGAAAGAAAGTAGTATAGTGATTATTGTTCGTCTATGCTGGGAAAGTGTGAAGCTTGAACATTTTGTGTCAAATTAATAAATATACTGCCAACGAACTGAAAAGATCAGAAAAATCACCTTTATTTTATCAAAAAAAAAACACTCAATGCACTTGGGTCTTCGATCCCAAGCCACCATTTACACCCAGCTTTGTTAGTTATTTTATTTTGTCAATTATTTCGAATGTGACGAAAGATAATGGAGAGACTCTCGAAGTTGCCTGATATCCTTCTTCATAGCTATAATAGTGTTCCTATTTAGCAATTCGGATAGCTCCAGCTTCTGTTTCTCCTCCTCCTCCTCATTCTTATGCATCTTTGCATCTTTTTTTTAATTTCAGTGCGTGGTTTTTTCAATGCATTTTGTTGTTTCTCCACGGATCAATGTCATTTCCAGAAGGGGCGTCATACTTCTGCAGTAGAGCCTGTTGTACTTTTTTTGTTTTAAATATAATCAAAATCCAACCAGTAGGAAAGCTTTCCAACTGCCTTACCTCGGGACAGTGACTTAGTTTTTGTTCTGGCACGTCTTAGATGATATAATTTCTGCACACTTGCTACATGTGACAACTCAGAACAGTACACGATACCACTGTTCTTGTGCAAGTCGACTTCCAGTAAGATTTGTGGAAGCGATATCAATGGCCAATACCATCAATTTCATCACGACGAGCTCAGATCTTACTATGAGCCTTTACCCGTTCTTAATGGGCGTTTTGGAACTCGCTCATCTTTTCAATAGTTTTATAGTGTTGTTGCTACCCTTTATGACAACCAAAAATTTCCCAAAGTTTTGTTTCATTACGTTTAGAGAAGAAGTCACCTTTGCATTACATGTATGTGTAACCACTTTAAGAAACATAAAATAACAAAACAAATTTTAATACGATTTAGCATAAAATATTATTACATTTATTCATCGTTGTATTTGTTTTAAAACTATCTACAGTATAATAAATATATCGTGCAAGCACGTTTTCCAATTTGTATATGTATGATTAATTTTTATTTATAATAATACAGAATTATTTTGTACAGTATGCATACTATATAGATGCATACGTATATGTATGCAACAGTACATGCGTCTTATTCCAATAATTTTTGTTATTGTTTTCGTATGTAAATAAAATACATACATATAATGAGTTTCAAACAAAATGAAAATGAAAATTTTATGCTTTTTTTTCTAAAGCAATAACTACAAACGATTTCTTCTTCTCCATTTGGCAGATTTATTATTTAAAAAGTCCTTGTAAATACTCATAAGTTATATGCATTTAATTCATTGTTTAAGTTAGACCTAAGTTTAAAACTTTTAAAAAATGTGTGAAAACTCTTATAGCTTTTATATATGTATATATATATTAATATTATTAATTTTTTTTGTTTATGAAATTACAAAATGTTAACTTTCTTTGCCAGAAATAGTTTGCTTGTTGCTGCTCATGTTTGTAAATCGCTACAAATCTATGCATGTATGTATGTATAAGTTGTTCTTATTCTGTAGTTCTTTTTCGAAAGTACGTTTATTGTCATGTTTAAAGTTTATGAAATAAGTTAATAGTGAAATGTGGTTTAATTTGTGCAAATTTGAATACTCAATCTCAAAACTTAATTAAGATGTTGTTCTTAGTGGCCAAAACAATAATGACATGACACACTTTTGCATTCACTTAACTAATTTTTCTCTTACATCTAAGTATTTATGTATATACATATGTAGGTACATAAGTTTAAATGTACTTTCGTATGTGTGTAAAAAAAAGTATATTAATGCATGTTTTTAGTATGTTTGTATGTATGTATATATAAATGTATATTATGGAGTAAATTTATAGCAGCAATATTCGTTGTTTTCATTTATTCGAGTATATATGTAATTTAATGCAACGTGAGCTCAACTTATAAAATAAAAATAAAAAAAAAAACAAAATATAATACATTTTTAACAAATTTTAAACGCATGAAGAGGAGATTATACAATTCATTATAGTAGCTGCGCGCATTCAGTCATTAAAGTTACAATATCTTATTAAACAAACATTAAACACACGCGTATTTTTTCTTTATTATACATAAGTATGTACTTTTATATGCATTGTTTATATATGAACATATAATAATTAACTAAAGTTAAAAAAAAAATATAGCAAGTTTTTAAAACTTATGGATGTAGTTTGAAATAGTAGATTAAAATGAGTTTTATGAGCAAATTCAACACGATTATTTAGGTTTAAAATTATAACAGTATTTTTTTTAAATACATTTTATAATTTTTGAAAATACTACCGCATACAAATATATATTTTTTTTGTCAATAGTAATTCATTTAATTGTAATTTATAGGAAATAAATATAAAGTAATAAAAATTAAAAATTAATTAAAATTTAGTCTGATGTAAACACTGTGTTGGGATCGCTCGCTTGACATACGTACTATGTTCGTAATATCGTTGTTCCACTGTGTTGCATAAAAGCGACTCTTCAACGCAGCGCAAGATATGAAAGTGTAAAGAAACCACTGTGCAAATAATAAGAGCATATACGATCGACCCGCATGTTAAATCCCCAAAACAGCTGTAAATTGTGTAACTAGCTTAGCCACAAACATGTTGTTATTTTTGGTAGAGATGTTATAAGTACTTTTATAATCTGCAATGAAAAAAGAAACAAAATTATTATTAGTCACTTTTGTTGATGTTATTTAAGGTAGTCTTAAAAGGTGTGTGTTTGCTACACCAAAACAATTGTTAAAAAAAATTTTTTAGGCCTAAATATTAACTCCCGAATCAGAAAAACTGGTTATATTTGTAGCATGAAGTTTTCCATTTTGATGTTTATTTTTTTATACCAAATATCTCGATCTTAGATAATTTTATGACGAATTCCGGACCCCAAATCTCTCTTGATTTCGGGAGACTAGATATATTGTATTTGTACAATAGATATCAATGCATAACTCCAAATTTCATACTCCTAAATGCTCTTGTTTTCGGCGGAAAATCGCTTCAGCGGTTACAAAGCGCCAATTATATATAAATGCTCTTTTTTCTGACCAAAAGCCCATTCGAAAAAAGATCGGAGTATGGGAGCTATATTTTATAATCTTCCGATTTCAAAAATTTCGGGCTTCTTAATGTTTTCTTACCGGATTTACGGCCCAAAAACTTAGGGACTCGTTTCCGCACAAGCAGATGGACAGACGATCATTCCTAAATCAACTCAATTCGTAATTTGTTCCTTACATACTTCGGATAAAAGTTAATATACTACTTTATGTATAAGAAATGTATGCAAATTTCAAATAATTGGAGTTTCTTGAAAAATATTTCGCATTAATGCTTTCTTATATATCTTTAGTTTGATACCCATATTGTAATATTTCAGATGGTACCTCTGCTAAATAGTAATTCAGAGTCATTCATGAGCTAACGTTCACCTAAGAAACTGGTACAATTCAATATGGCATTCGATTCGTTCAGAAATGAATGATAGACTGCACCTATACGTGCAATGGAACAGCAACAAGACACTTGCAAAAAATATGTTAGGATTAGAAAAATGTAATTTTTTTCAAGATGAAAAAAGCACCCGTCAGCCAGTTCTTGTTTGACTTTTCGCAATCATGAGGGGGTTCTCTCGATCTCTAGCAAATTTTCATAAGAAATTTTTGCATAAATATTTTATTTATTTATTTGTTGAAAATATAATTACAAATAACTACATTACAAGATTAGGGCAACTGACAACCGAGGCTATCAGAACCAAATACAGGAATAGTGGTGAAAGACAGAAAACAATAATTCCAAGAGGTTGGAATCTACCCACTTCCGAACCTGACTTCCGGAAAGCTGCTGATTAAAATCGGATAGAGCAAAAGAGTCGATTTTGTAGGCAATTAGCATATCTGTTCAAATGGTTATATGATGAATGACGTAGTGGGGGCTGCTGTTAATTGCAGCTGAAGAAGTACGAATAGCAATGACTAGCCTGGAAAACAACAAAACGGCTTCGCCACGCAAACATGACAAGCCTGAGTGTGCTTTGCCAAATTCATAAGTACGGCAATACCACAGCTCACCGTTAACGAATTATTCTGATCTTATCAGTATGTCTTCAGACTTGGTAGATTCACCGTAAAGCATGGGTGAAAGATCTACACATGCTGATTCTTCTTAAAGACGTCTTCGAAAGATATTGATATACAAAGATGAAAATCTACTCCTCATTCACGTTCTGCCACGTATGATGCGGAGATTGGGATTTTGGAGATAAAAATTTCATGAACGATTTATGGCGGCTACGCTGGTCAGGTCTTGTGGTCCGGATGGATAAGAATGATCCAGCTTTGAAATTTTTCGATGCAGTAACCGCTGGTGGTAGCAGAATAAGAGAAAGATCTCCACTCAGCTGGAGACATCAAATGGAGAACCCTTTGCTTGATATTTTGAATAAACGAGATCTGCGAGAAGCGGTACGATTAAGGGGGGAAGGTGGTCTAGAGCGCAAAAAATGGGCATATTGTGTGACTTTAGCACAGAAAGTCACAATTTTCACTAGAAGAAACGACATAAAATTGTAGATTAAAAATAAACTATGTAACATAAAAACAAATCCTACGTACGGCTCTGAAGAACGGTACTGTCAAAATTTCGTAAGAATCGGTGAAGATATGTTTAAAAAAGGTGATTTCGAGAGAAACGCGTCGGACATTTGGGCATTTAGACATTTTTGCCGGCATTTATCTTTTGATGTTATTTCTAAGAACCTAAAGCGCCTTTTAAGGAAAATATTTTTTTCGACTTTTTTTGAAATTAACTTCATTTGGAATCACCATACCCACTGTTCTAATACATATGTGAGGAATTTAATTTTGGACATGTTGACAACACAATACGATCGGGTCGCGATCAGCACCAAAGATAACAAGATACAAACTCACACAAATTACAGATAAATGCTTTGCTCGATTATTTTCTTGGGCTGGCCACACAGGCCTCAGTACCACTTAATTAATAATGAATCGCACAGTTTTTCTTTGGAAAAGCAATCACGTTATCAATAAAATTTCATTCAGCGCAATAAATTAATGTGTCAAAATTTAGAAAAGACTATTTTTTAAGTTTGTTAAAGCCAACTTTTGGTTAGCAAAAAAAAAAAGGAAAATCTCCAAAAATTCTGCATTACAAAATTTTATAAAAAAAATTTGGATTTTTAGAGCGCTCTCACGAGAAAAAGAGTTTCATAACATGTTACCTTTGTTAGCACGTTGAGAAATTTCGACGTCAAAGAAAACATGATACAAAACTCTTTGCCTCGTGAGAGCGCTCTAGTGCCACTTTGATGAAAATTTCCGTTTGGGATTTTCGGAGAATTTTTGGCCTTTTTTTCTAATAAAAAGTTGTACAAATTAATAAAAAGAAACTGGTGTGCCAATGAAAATTTATTAATAACATGAATTGATTTTCCGACGAAAAACTGTGCGTTTTATTATTGATTAAGTCGAACTAAAGGCTTCTTAACGATCTGCTCTTCAAAGCTCATTCATTTGGCTTTGTTACCAGCCAAGAAACAATAGTCGAGGAACGCATATATTTGTAATTTGTGAGAGTTTCGTATACTAACATATCTTGATCGACGTGACCACACATTTCGTGGCGTCATCCCTTATCTCGTTTAAAAGGAGAAAACCTTCGTTTGACATTTATAATGAGGTGAAAACTACAAATGGTGATAAAGCTATGGAAACGTACGAATTGTGTAGCAAGTTTGAACGCGGTAGTACGTCTGTGCATGAGGAACAGAGGCATACTCTTTATCTCGGGAGAGCTCCCAAAAATGTGCTTTTTTATAACATTTTCAAACCTTAACACTAGGGTAAAACTATAGTTGGGTATATTAAATAAGAAATTTGAGTAAAGTTTCTGCTCTTATAATCAATTATTAAATTTACTTTGATCACTCTTAAAACCCAACTTTAATGAAAATACTTAAAAAAAATTCTATCCGACCAGCTAGACCTTAACTTAATAGATATATTTTAATCCACTATTATTATTGTCACATCACTACATAGAATTTTTTCAATAAAAAAGTTAAGTCTCGCAAGAAATGTTAATGTTTACTAAGTTGTATTTTTTTGTGTTATTAAATATTTTTCGAAACTCAACTCAGCTCAACCTCATATTTTTTGAAAGAATTTAAACCATATGCGTGCTTGGGTTATTCTTAAAGTCATCTTCTGCCGAAAACTAATAAAAAATGCACTAACTTTAATGAATGTGTATGGCATCACATTTGGAAAATTCACAGCTGGCAGTTGGGCATCGATCTTGTAGTTGGAGCTGGCAACAAAACCTAATCGAGGCCCAAAGATAATGGATAAGTGTGAGTAAGTTTCATACCTTTGATAGGGGAGCGAAGGACCTTCAATTGTGAATGACGAAATGTCTGAAAAATCCAGTCGTGCTCCGAGGTGATCGCAGATTAACCGTATTTTTCCGCAAATTTCCAGATCTCAACATGTAGAGAGAGGAATAGTGACTACGTTCAATACAATATGTACCAACCAACGACTTAATTTTTTTGTTTATATAAAAAAAAAATGTAAAACCTACAAAAATAAGTTACACTCACTTTCTGGATATTCCTCGTACAACGAAACAACAAACAATTTTCAACGCATTTGTAAGAATTTAAATTTAAATTTAAAGCCGAAAGAAGTATTTGCAACATCGGCTCATGTCTACTCCAAAAAAAGAATCAGTAAATCAAGTTAGCTTTTCTGCGTGAAATCTTCATTATTTTGAGCAAAATTAAATGTAAGAAATATTTGCGTCATCGCCAACACTTGAACTGTGATTTATGAATGTATATATGTACATATGTACCTATTTACGTAAACATATATTTATGTACGTAGGCATGTACAATATTACTTATTTATGTATATGCAATAACATTTGTGCCTGCCGACTAATTGGCACTTGACACAAATCTCTGGCAAATCCCAAGAAAATCCATTTCACACCGTTTTCAACACCAACACCAACAACATTTAATTACAACTTCACACCGATTTTTACTATTCTTATGCAGTTTTATTCTGTAGGTATACAAAATTACATATATGTACATATGTATACTATACGCTATACTATGTACGTTTGTTTACATAGGTTTATGTATCTGTTTCACATATTTTCTTTATTAATCAATACATTGTCCATGTGTATGAATGTATGTATGTATGTGCAATACATTTAGTACATCAATTTCATCACTTTCACATCAACAGCAAATTGAAAATATTTTTTCCTCAACATTTTGTTAAAAAAAAAAAACACTATAGAGTCGGCAAACCTTGTCAACTTTTACAGAAAGAACTCAATAAAAAGCGAACTGATTTCCAAATGTCCCTTCAAAGTGCAAAGCAAAGACAATCAGGCGTCTTCGATAGATTTATGAACATTTGTATACATATATATACATACAAACATATACACACATACATATACTACATATGTATTTATGAAATTTAGGTATTTGAAGTGGAATTCCTGTTTTTCTTTTTATTGTTTGTTTACACAATTTTTAAAGCCTGAGGGTTAAATGTTTAGAAGATTTGTATTTACGTGCAGATATCTAGATATTCAAAGTACGTACATACGTAGGTGCAAAGCAGTACAGTATAGAAACAAACAGAAACTGTTTTTTATGTAAACATGAATTTTATTTATTTTTTTTTTAACCGAAATCAATAGAATCTACAACACCTATAGTATATGTATCTACTAGAGCTCTAGATACCTGGGTATCGAGCACTGTGAGCAGCTTCATGCTCGCTCGATACTCGTTCATTACTCAAATGATAGTTTGAAATTTTTAAAATTTTAATTTTGTTTTTCAAGATTTCTTTAGTATTTTAATGAGTTTTACAGTTGTTTTTTTTTGCATAAATAAAATCAAAATTGTAGAAGAAAATTCTGGAAAAATGTCAAATTTTATATTCAAATTGCTCGAAATTTTTCGGCTAATGAGCAATTAACGAGTGTGCGAGTACTCGTTGCTCAAATGATCGAGCAGCTCGAAAATATTCGAACAAAAAGTGAGAAAGACGAAACTCCGGGTGATTAGCACAGCGTACTGCTAATCGGAAGGCCAAATTATTATATTGTAGGAAATTAATTTAAATAAAAAACTAAGTCAAATTTTCTAATTGTGATCGGCCCTTAGCAGGGAATGTCAACCTCTCCGAGTGTAGGCGGCTTAGTATTAAGTGTAGATCCCTCCTTTGGTTGGAAAAACATCAACACGCATACCACAAATTGGCCGAAAATCGTGTCAGCAGTTACAAGGCGCCAATTATATATATATGTACATACATGTATATATATATATATATATTAGTATGGATTTCACAATATTTTTGTAAAGCCAATACACCATTTGTATGTGAGGTCTCCATTTTAGCGCACGGACTCTTTAGCAGGTATTTAAAATTGAATGATAAGTTGATTTACAAAAAAAAAAATTACTAAATGGAATCAATTAATAATTATTCACAATAAAAAGTACGCAAATTACATCCAATGAAACTGAAAAATGTTCAAATAAAATTACTAAAGCTATTATATGCACTTTTAATGGCGCAAATCACTGCACTCCCATCCCAACAACTTAACAATTTTAATTCTACATAAAATTTTATTAGCATTGTTTTTAAATTAATGCACTAAAACTTTAAAATATTAATGCATTTTACTCAACTCTGTTACAGATGCACAGTATACGTGTATGTATGCATGTTCATTTATGTACATAAAAGTCGGTATGTAAGTCAGCGAGGCAAATGTTTATTTTTTTACGCCCACCACCCCAATGGCACATGGCACAGATTAGTATAGTCAAGTGAATATGTGTGTATGAATTTTAGTTTTTATCTGTACATATTTATGTACATATGTACATACATATATGCGTTTGTATTTTATATACATTAAGGATTACAAATGTTTTCTCACATCTAGATTTTACAAATCTCAAGAATCTACCAATTTTTTCTCTAAATGTGGTCGTATTTGTGTGTACGTGCATACATACATACATATGTGTGTGTATACTCGCATGTGGTACATATGTATGTATGCGAAAGTATTTTTGCTAGTTAATATTTACTTAGGCTTGCTTATACTAAATCCAAAGGCGCAAAGTTAATTCTAAAGGTTTTAAAAGTGCTATTTTCGTATGGAAATTATAAACAAATTACTAAAAAATAACTTATCATATTTATTTCAAAACCGAAAATTCAACAACGATGATTCTCAATACCAATATTTATTTGAAATCACTTACATATTTAGAATACCACATTTCATATTCATAGACGACTGTGGATGCTTTTTGACGAGGTTTTTACTCAAACCCGCAAATCTGAACAAATTGGTGGTATGTGCACTACATGATATAGTCTTCCGATTTTGATGACTTTCGGTGTCAATGCTGATTTGTTAACCAGTTTAGATTACCAAATCTGACACTGCCGAGGCTCAAAAGAGTTTTGACCCAAAACCTCATATCTTAACAAATCGGTGTACTGGTGCTATATATTATAGTCGCCTGATTCTGATAATTTTCCTTTCCAATGTGTAATTTATTATATGTACACGTATGTACGTGCGGAGAATACCAAATTTTACGCTCTTTGACGCAGAATCTCTAATATAAAAAATTGGGCGTATATATTATATGTAGGTGTCAGTTGAAGTGGTGCGATCTAGCCGGTTCCGACAAATTATGAATACAGCATAAAAACACAACTGAGGGACTTGATTACGATGAAACAGACAGACGGGCATGGCTAAATCAAAACAGCTCGCCGTTGTAATCTGATCGCTACAAATTTTCTTTTGGTTCTCCCATATATCGGACCAAAGTACCATTACAATATAGTTTGCTTGAAAGGTAAAGATTTTCATCCATAGTTTTGTGTAATGCTGTGGGCAGAAGTAAAGTCCACGACGCTCCGCATGGTAACACGCACTGCCCCAACCAATCTATCAATGTAAGTACACGCCCAGATCAACAACAAAAGCTTAAGGAACAAACAAAAAAACATACCCACATATTTATATAGCCAAACCGTACAACAAACAATTAACTACGTTTCCATATATCTACATTCTAATTATTGCATTGTACAGTGGCTATGCTGGCATATTTGTATCTAACTCAACACCATGTCCATTCATCCATAAGTTTTTCCAAAGCCAAGAAATCATATATTTTACTTTCGAAAAAAAATACTCCAACTTCGCACACACTTTCATCCATACATGCATACATACAAATAATAATTCTTGCTTTGCAATTTCTAAACACCCGTCACACACCTCACCTCTCTACACTTCCTGCCGTGCTGCTGCGTTGATGTGCTGTTGCGTTGTTTCGATTGCTGCGATTTTATGCGCTAATGTTCGCCACGATTTGTTTTTGTTTTTGTTTTTGTTTATTTTCCCTCTTCATTCGGGCAGCTTCATTTTAGCTTTGTCAATTACTTACATACTTGTACGTACATACATAGTATAATTTCTTTTTCACTTATTCGTTGTAGTTGTTTTCTCATTATGCCTTTTTGCAATTCTCTTTTTTTATCCAATTTGGTTTTGCGCTTTTCTATATCTTTTTACAATACTGATACTGATTGTTTGTCTGCTTGTCGAGTATCTTGCTATGTGCGTCGATTTTCTGTGTTTTTATTTTTGCTGTTTGTTGTTTACGTTAATACTATTGTTGTTTTTGTAGTAATTACTTTAGTCATTTGTTGTTGTTATTACTGTTGTTGTGGAATCAGTGCTTTGCAATGATCTGATCTTCGGCATTCGACACGCTCACCGTACTCCACTCCACCGTACTCGTCGTCCATTAGCTGCTGTGGTATGTGTGTGGGTATCGGTGTGAATAAACTGCCGACGTCTGCGAAATGAAATTGTGCTTTCGTTGAAGAAATACTGCAAAGAAACGAAAACAGATTTATACATCGGATATCAAATGTAATGTAGCATACAATACAGATTTTCTGTTCTTTTATTTTCTTTCTGTACGTGTGGCGCTGGTGTGGTGGGGTGATATAGATTTGTTCACTAGGGTTTTCAAAAACATAAAGCAGCGAAGAGGTCTATCTCAGATATCCCGATATTCGAAAGAGTCGTACGATTAGCATTGCATGCTTTCACTCGGAGGGTTATGAATTCGAAATTCCAGATCAGACCAACGTACATATACAAAAAACAAGAAAGAAGAACTGAATTCGGCAATGTCGAAGTCCTTATGAATATAGTCAAATTTTGAGTGGGAAACGGGAGAGTTATGATCAGAAATGATACATTTACATATCTGAATAAGTCGGTTGTATGAGAGCTATATGATATTGTCCACCGATTTTGATGATCTTCGGTGCCAACGTTTTATATACGTGTATATACCATACATGCATACCAAATTTCAAGTTTTTCGATGGTTTTTTTTACCCATGTGCAATTCATTATGTATGGGTAGAATTTCAGATTTTTGCTTTATTGAAGTATTTAGGACCCTAAATTTCATATCTGAATAAAACGAGCACGAGACCTACATGTTATAGTGGCCCGATATGGACGGTGTCGACAGATGATCAATGCAGTATAAAAATAAATCTGCCTAACAAATTTGGTTGAAATATCTCTAGAACTGAGGGACTAGTGTGCGTACAACAGATGAACAGATGGACTGGCTAAATCAACGCAACTCGTAATTGTGATCATATCGGTATACATTTCAGTGGGTCTATCTCTTCTCCTTCTGGTACTTATGTATATACTTTGGATCAAAGGTATAAAAATACAATATACGGCCAGTCTGCGACGTAAAGATAGTAGTAAGGACTCATAAAAACCGGTGAATTAGCCACAAGTAGGAAAATTCCACGTCATGAATCGGAGGGCGAAGTTTGGTAGTTGATGGCATCCGATCCTTCGTCTTGCATCACCACAGGGCCAATGATGCCTTCTACGTACAGAGAGGCTTGTCCCATCCACACCCAACTACATATATAAAAATCGTTAGAATGAACAATAAAGCAATCTTGGCACAATAACCTAAGAAAAAAATAAAGAGAAGAGAACTTCTGAAATATTCTGATGTGAAACGTTTTTGCTAAGGCCTAAAATATAGCTATCTGTAATACCAGTAATACCACAAGAAAGAGCAACCAGGTAAGCTTGTTTATTACCGACAAAAATTGTAAGGTGTTTCCCTCTACAAATATTCTTTATTCTGAAATTTCTTAACTTCTTTTGACTCTAAACCGAAGATCGGCCTGACACAAAAGATGTATTTTTTCTTATAAAAAATGTATAAACTCCGCTCGAAAATGGCCATACCCTACACTTTTTCTTAGCGTAAACAAATTATTCTTTTATTTATTATTTAAAATGCTATTATTTTCTGCATTTGGTATTTCTCTTTTTGTACTTTTTGCTCAGTAAATTAGTATTTAAACGACAAAATGCGAGCAATTTTAATAAAGAGCCACAATTGGCTCCGACTAAGTCATAAAATTGCGACAATATGCACAAACGAAAATACATATGTAAAGTACATACTCGTACACATAAATATAGTGCATGTTTAATTACACAATTATATATGTATGTATATACTTTTATACAAGCTCTTGAATTGGCAGTCTGGCAACCAACTCATTACGCAAGTCTGCTCACGATTTACTAAATATTCCGCTAAGAGAAAGGGCCACACAACACACACACACACACACACCCCACTTTCCGAAGCGACCGAACGCGCAATTTAGGCTGCAAATGTGAGCTGGAAAGGCCCATAATTTGTGTTCAAAGCAAAAGCGTAACGATTGCCAAGAAAATTTTTAATTATGAACAGGATGATACGATTTGGATGAGTATTTATTAATGATATTATAACAAAAAGTCAAGTACATTCGCCTCGGCTAACGACCCGATTGGCAGATTTTTGAATCTTTAACACAACAGATATTGCAGGCATTGTCCCTCTGCCACTCAACCGCGATGAAGAAATAAAAGTAATGAAATAATGATACTCAATTACACCCGGAAAATACCTAAATATCGATCATCACATTTTTGAACCATGCTTATTGCAATTAAAACGCTTAAGTTGACTGATTTGAGCTACAATAGAATGCCACATGACTTACTTATCACTGGAGCTTCAAAAGAATCAATTTTGGAATTTTCACAGCACTCAATCATTGCGAAGTTAAATAACATTTTTTAAAGTACTGTGGCGTCGGTACTCCAAGAACGCCAAGAAACTGAAATAAAATTATATTTCCCTTCCATCAGTTCCCATTGGACGGATATTTGTTATTATGGCTCATCAAATTCTAAAATAAAATAAGGAACCGAATAAAACGAAAAAAGGCACTGGATATGGTGTGTGGCAAGTATATTGATAATCGCTTCTACACTGCACGACAGCTACAACTACCACCAGCGAAATCTTCGCTACCCTCCACGCCGGCTGGCCGAGGTAGTACCGGCTCGAACTGTATATGAATTCCCACTTACTTGCCTGAGTTAAAAATTTAATATATTGCAAACCAAGAGCTCGAGGTACCACGAGCGACTCTAGTGATACTGGCGCAATTATCAAAATATGGACTTGGTTATCGAGTTATTTCCTAGCTATCCAAACTTAGCCTCGACAAAACTCTCGCACAACAAAGAGAATTTAACCTTTTCTCATCGATCAAGAACCAGATCGGTTTGGTCACATTATATGTGCTTTCCCTCGTAAATTCTTCTATTGCAAGCCGGTCTCTTTCTTTTTTTTAAGCTCACTGAAAGTTGATCATATAGGTTCAACGGAAGAAAGCTGAGAAGAAATTGACGGCAGAACTCATTTAATTATGAAGGCCGTCCGCTGAACTTTTCCATTTTACTCTTTGTAATGAGTTTGTCGAGCATCTCATACTAATGGCCACAATGCAAGCTCAAAGTGCACTCCTACTATTGTACTTTTCAACAGATTCCGGCGGCTGGTATGTATACGTAATTTTGAAGTGTCCATTCCGGCTTCACTTGTTGGTAGGTTCGATTCAGGTGATTGTTCCTGAGAAGGTTCACAGGTTGAAACCCGTTTAGTGTTGCCTGTTTCGAGTTGGTAAATATATTCCATTTGGAAAATTTCTATTTCACACTCGTAACCGCTAGACAGTACAAAATAAAATTTTGTCAAATATTAAGGAAGCGATGGTACACAAACGCGGAAGCTCATCAGCATTGCAATTTCTAGGTAACAGTGACAGTTTTGATAACTATTCCACTGCAATCTAGACGTTACCATGAGTGAGTACAGGGCAGAGCGCCCTGAGAAATTGTTACCTGCCTACAAGAAAACGGTATGCTTCATTGGTAGCAGAAGAATACTGTACGCCTAAACCTCGGGTCAATGGATAGGCAAGCGACTTTTTTGTCAAGTTTCGACCACTCTGTGTCTAGTCATCCCATTAAAGAATTACGGTAGACAAGGCTGGATTTGGCGCAAGCTCGGAGATACAATAATGCGAACAACTGGGGCTCTGGGGATATCAGCCTGATAAAGTTGTAGATAATTTCATATATCTAGAGAGCAACATTAACATCAACAAGTAATGTCTGCAACGAGATTCAACACCACATCACTCTTGCCAACAGGTACTTCCTAGATGAGGTAGGCAATTGAAAAGTAAAGTTCTCTCTCGGCAAAGAAAAACCACGCTCTACAACTCCCAAGTCAATCCCGTTCGATTTTATGGTGAGAAGCGTGGACGATAATAACACTCGATGCTCCATTCCTTCCTCACGGAACTCTGTCGGCTTCATTCCACTCGCGAAGGAATTATGGTAGAGGAGCAAGCTCGGAGATGCAGTAATCCGTGCAGCTGAAATCCCTCAGAACAGGTGGTGCCACTTGCTCAAAAATAACATTAACAAGATTATGCAGTTGAAGAGTAAACGAAGAAAAATCGAATAAACTCTACATACACTGCTCATACTTGTCCTACGATGTATATGGAGTTTTCGAGAGAAGGATTTTGTAAACGATTTATGTAAGTACCTTTGCGCATTGGAAACGGTGAATATCGCAGACGATGAAATTTTGAGCTCTACGAGTTATTCAATGACATAGACATATTTCAGCGAATCAGGAGACAGCGGCGACTCGTGTCGTCATCTTTATGAAAAGCAGAGCCTACGTCAACTGGCTTCCTGAATCTATATACACGACTTTTGCAGCGATAGACCCAGCTATAATGTCTACAAGCAGCAATCGAACGTTTTCCAACTGCTTAGCTAAGTGAGATTTTTTACTGGAACTCATAAGACACCAGTCACTCGTTTGAAATGTGTCGTTACAGTTACTTTTACATCTTAAAAAGTCTAAATATAATTTTACAACAAAACATTATAATTATTTGAGTCTGTCTACACTGCAACGACAATTTAGGCACGCAAACACAAAAACAAACAAAACTGTTGTCATAAATTGGCGCCAGCTATGAGAAACAAAAAACAATTAACCCACAACACCACGGAATTACTCTAACCCACTTCAGAGCAATGAAGACCAGTGATTTGAAAAACACTTAACCAAAATGACAACTTCTTTTGATTGAGATTTTTCTATGCATTGTTCTATACGTATTTGTGTATGTATTTAACGCCTCTGAACAGCATATTTACAGCATTCACGTATTGTACGGTGCGTCTGCGTCTTGACACAGCTGACCTCAGACTATGATGATCCGGACTGAGGCCGCCGTGATTGCGAAAACTGAAAGAAACGAGCGAGTATTATAAAAAGCAACGGTATTTTCGGACATACATATGTATATACATATATACATATACATATACATATGTATATGCGAATACCCATATTTTAAAGTCATAAATGCCATGGCCCCCGGCTTTGCCACTATGCCAGGTACATACGTGTTTATACATTTGTACTACATAAATGTACATATGTATATAGAAAATAGCAGCAAATTAAAGAATACAATAGAAAACATGTGCAAATGAAATTTTACAATTACTAACTAGTTAGAAACATATGTACATACACACGTCTAGTGCTAAAAAAAGCAAGCAAGAGCTCAAAGGAAATTCAACCGTGAAAAAGATGTTTTAATGATGTTATGAATACGCGAGCCGCACACACACAGATTTGTATATGGATATATATATATATATATATATATATATATACATTTCTATAGCAATATAGCACACAATATATTTATGTACGTATATACATATATATGTATATATTTATGCATAAGCATATAGATATGTTAGAGAAAATTATGTGGACAGCATGGATTTTTATTAACACAAAAGAAATTAATTAAGAAAAGCTTTCAAATTTAGTTATTCTTCCTCTTCAATTTCTTTATAGTGCTTTGGGCACGCCGCTAGTTCTCCTTTTTGATGTATGTCGGTTTATTTTTAAATAAAATCTCGAACTGTTTCCAATGTCAAACAGAAAGTTCAAGCACAAATTCGAATCCTCTACGATAGCAAAGTGACGATAAATAAGAGTTGAGGGCTAGGACCCTGAATTGCATATCCCTGGTCAGGAGCTTGAGAGCAACTGGTATATTAAATTGATTTAATGGCCCTTCATGTTAGAAGAACGGAATACTTTTCGAATCACTTTCGTCTGAGCTGCTGAGGAAGAGTCTATTGAACACTATCCCACACTAAGTCACTTCTTTGATTGCCTAGCTGATGTCACAGCAGCTTTCATAGGCAATACCACAATGTTTATAAACATACGAAATGGTTCACACAACTGAGAAAGTGATAAGTACACCCCAGCTGTATAACAATGGTCCTTGAGCCTAAATGCGCTGACCGGTTTGATCAGCATCCGCATCAACTAAACACAAATGCTTTTCTCCGACTCAGATTTCTATACCGCCAAGCACTGTTCCTCTCGTAATATTCCCTAAAAATCGATTTGGGTAATAATTTAGCGATTACGACAAATAGAATTTCAACATTATTCTACGGAACCACTGGCTGGTAGCCGGTACTAGATAAAGCTACTTTCATGAGCAAACTAGGCAAAGTTCAGTGGACGGTCCCCATATATATCATCTTCCCTCATCAGACCTGAATGGAAAAATTTGTGCCGCAGGAGCGCTGGATTAAACTTCAGCCGCTAGGCCTATACGAAAATTAAAAACGAGCTCCAACACCAACGCCATAAATCTGAATGCACCTCCACCATGCACTACAGTAGACGACGAACACAGCGTTACCCACCTCCCTTCCAATCAACCGAGGTGCGCATCTGAAAGATCATCGAAAATGCTAATAAATTGTTTTCAACAACCGTGCATTTTTTCTGTTAAAAATCGCCAATTGGCTATTTTCCAGAAGCACTGATAATTTTCGATATACGGAAATTGTTTTCCTTTTAAAAGCTGCAGCATAGCAGCGTTAAGAATATTCCATAGACAAAGAAGTTTTGCGAAAGGAATGTTCAGCTAAATAAGTTTATTTATTTATTTATTTTATTTCCCAGAAATTAATTACAGCGTCTGCTAATTGCCTTTATTGCTTTCTTTTTGCGCACATGGCCCACTAGCCGAACACTGGAGACGGCTACCCGATGCCACCGATGCGGTGTATTGCAGAAATCTCAAGTGTGCTAATTTATTAAAAGCGAACATTTGCGGCTACGGATATGCCATTGTGCATAACGCAAATATTTCAAGTATAGGTAAATAAATGTGTGCATGGCACTTTGAAACATTTCAATTGAATATTATAAAAAAAAAATTAAAAAATAGTATACATAAATAGGGCGTAACCTGGGTATACGTGTATACCGATGTATGTATATAAGGTATACCCAGTAAGAGCGATTTTCACTATAAACAAATCTAGATTAGTAATTAATTTACTTCAATGTTCTTAATTTAGAAAAAATACCCATCTTTTGTATGAACAACACTGAAGTTCTTCTAAAAATGTAATTCTATTTGCACATTTAAATGATAAATATAATAGTATTTTAAAATCAAAGCAAGTATAATGAGCCAGTGTTTTTCAAGTCATGGATATACATATATATTGACGCTTTGTAACCGCTAAAGCGTTTTTCCGCCGAGCTCCTCTTCGAATTTGTAGTTTTGCGTCTCGATATTTTTCAAACAAATGGAGGGCCCTACAGTTTATACTAAGCCGCCTCCCATTCACCAAAGGCAGTCAACACCTTTAAGAACTATCTGCCTGTGAAGGGCGTTATCGAAGTTAAACTACTGCTGTAGCAGGTGAAGAACTCAAACTGCCTCGAGAGTCCCGCGTAATACTAGCACAACTTAGGTCTCGATATTGCAGCAGCAGGTTAAACACCTACTTATCCAGACTCGACACCGACATGCCTAACGTATGTAAAGGAGTTACTCCCAAAAACTTTTAATTATTTGTTGTAGGGAACTCGACTTGGCGACTTTTACATTCAGTTCTAGCTGTCACATCATCATGGTGAAGATGGTCTTCGTGTATTTCTTATTCGTCTTTTGTCTTCCCAATGATAACCTGTTTGCCTAAACGGCGGCTCATTTGCGGTTTCATCTTGCCACCCGAAGAGTGACAGGTGAAAAACCGGTTCAAAAAGCTCGAGCCCTTTTTGGGTCTAACATCATGTTCACCGAATAAAATGTCCACCCTGCTTCGTAAGGTTTGTCAGCGATTTATCAGTGATTTGACGGTGGCCCAAATTTTGGTTGCACCAGAGACGAGGCTACCGAAAATTACCCTGCTTACTGGTTGTGTTTGTTTACCATTTCCCAATCGCTAAATTAAGTTCCCTAGTTTAGGGATCTTCGGAAACGCCTGGATACAGCACATTCTGCTTAGTCCTAAATGAAGCGGAACCTGCGTTAGCCAACAATGTTGTTGTTAAAAGTCCGTAGTTTCGGTATAAAGACCCGACCGTCCCGAAAACAAGTGGAATTTAGTTGCCTCTTACGGCAGACATGTTCGTCAATTATAACGCCAGTTGGCAGATAGGACAATGAAGGCGTGCTGCCCGACCGTGAAGCCGGACCATTCAGCTTCGTTTAAGCCGGTATTTGTTCGGTGTATATCGAATAGCCATACTACAGATTATTATACTAAGCACCATGGTGAAAGTAGAAGTTCCTCAAACCAATTAGTTTTTGCCTCGGGGTAGCATCCCATTAGATAACGTCTAATGTTCTAGGAAATATCCCTGCTAGTGATGTCGAAGCAAAACCTTCTTAATGTCTTACTATCAATGGTATCTTATTGGCCTCAGAAGCTTATCCGTTTGCGCTAATAAGTTGCATACATATAATCTTAAGTATATCTTACCTTAACAAACTGTTTCCATGGGTATTTTTGTTTGCGTTTGCGATGGTCCACCAATAGAAGTTGTGTTCACCGAAGTATTCTGCGTAACTTCCCCACCAGCATATCCGCCCACAGACGGAAGTCCTTGCGATGAACTTGAATGTTGTACGCCATTTGTTGTATTTGTAATCTCTTGACGCGATCGGGGACAGCAAAAACGTTTGCATGCAGCCCAAACTTGTGGTTGACAACCGACTACAACAAATATGAACACACCTTGCAAAGCGTTTATCATATCTGTAAAGAACCACGCAGAATGTGGTCCTCCAACGACCCATGAAATTACGTCAGCAATCCAGGTAACACCCATCACCACGACTAGCTTCAAACACACCTTTCCTAATGCAGTCTTTTCCGTGGTAGATTTTACATCATCTCGTTTCCATAAGCCACATGTCAATTGATGTGTTGTTGATATGAAAAGTACGATGTTGGCACACAATAGAAGACCAATTGGGCCGAAAAAGTAGGCAAATATTGATAAGTGTTCTCCATTGAACCAGCATCCACGTTCCCCAAATCCCGGGCGTAACAATTGAGTTTCTGGTAAGTGATCTACTGTAAGAGCGATAGCGCTTATCAATAATGGTACGCCCCAAGCGTATGCCGAATACAACCGTAAACGTAGCAGCTCTTGATTGCGTTCGAGCGAGCTTGGTCTGAAATCACGAAAAGTCCACCAAATGTTGAAGCACATTGTGTTGAGCCAGAAGAATGCCGATAGAAAAAAGAAATGCATTGCGCTAGCGAACATTAAACAAGTGAATGAACCGTGATCCAGCGACTGTGATAATTGTGTGTAGGCGAGTATTAAATCACCCACGAATAAACAAAAGACATAGTAAATCTGACAACGCCAGTGCAGCATATGATGAATAGAGGGCATCATGTAGCCAGCCACTAATGTAGCAGCAAGAAAAACGACTGAAATCACAATACCGAAATTGAGAGCGGCTACTTGCACCTTATTACTTGTAGTGGTATTGATGGCTGCAATGGCGTTGGCTGGAGGCTCAGATGAAAAGTGATGGAGACAGGTGAATATTTTAATGGAAACTATTACATCCTTTTCGCGATAGTGTTCAAGACAATAATCACTCGCAGATATAAGTTTATGTGTTAATTTTATGTTACCATTTTCATTATCCATTTGGTTTTCATTCCAATCTCCTGCAATTGCGTAGGGCACATCTTTTCTATGACATTTTGGAAATCCATATATTGTATCATATAAACTGGCATTCAAAGGTAGCTCAGGAATATCAATGAGATTAGAATTCGTATTGCTGCCTGTAAAAATGCAAGTCTCATTAGCAGCGTCATATATTCCATTCCAGCCGCAGCATTTTCTAATCTTTATTCGTGGTAGAGCATTTTGATCTTGTGGAAAACAAACAAGTGCCACATTTCTATCCACACAGTACCGTTCAGGATCGATAAATTTTTTTCGTTCCCCCATAAATAATGAGCCATTTGAGAATATTAGCCAATTTCCGCCTGCTGAAAAGAGTTCTAACTCGTCCTCTGTGCATTTCCGCTTTTCATATATTACATGATTTACTTCTGCAGTGTCTTCCATAGACCTATTTGTAACAACATTTGCTACTGGTAAAGTATTTTCGTGGAATGTCATAAATTTGGGCTTAGCACCCTGAGGAGTATGATATCGTCTTAGGTTAATACGATATATCAAAGGAACCCATAATTTAGAATTGCCCATCACACATGTTTTATTCATATCCATGTGTTCATTAAAATGGCAGCATTTATTTAAGTGTACCTGGGGAGGAGGTACACCTGGTAATGCTGTTGTCATTGTAGCTGTTCCATCTTGAAATATTGGAGCTGCATTGTCGTTTGAAGTTGCCTTTATAATTGTATCTCCATCCTCGTCATTTTTTACTGCTGTTGATATTCCATATTGTAACGAAGCACTTATAATAAGAAAAATTAGGAAGCCTCTACAGATTTTGGCTTCCTGAATACTGGTCATTTTTATATAACTTTTAAAGCCAGAAAAATATTTTCAACACCGTCACAGATAATTTGTATTTTAAAAGATAAAGTAATATAAATATTTACACTGCATTATTTACTGCGCGAATGAATTTTTTGACTACAAATTTCTTAAATTTTCACTTTGGGTTGCTCTTACTTTTGCTTTATTATTGCCACCTCCTCCACTATACATAGATTTCATGAATACACAAAACAAATTCCAATATTCCGTAATTGCAACAATTTTACTGCTTCTGTATTACCAATTCGTCAACAAAATAGACGCCTAAAACTCATAAATACCGAAAGGAATAAGGAAAATAATAGAATTAAACGCTTTCGAATAAAAATCACCCAACCGACTCTTGTCCCGAAGATTATAATTGTATCACTTGAAAATTGGAGACTAGACTGAAGAAATAAAAGGGAACAGCCAGTTTTTTTCGCGTCGCTGCTGCATTTTGCTTTTTGTCTGCTTTCACATTATTTCGACATTTATTGGTATTCTCTTATGTGTTATTCTTGTACTTATTTCATGATCAATTTAGTGATGTGAAAATTATGAATAATTATTTGAAGTCGGGTATGCGAGAAATCGGATTCGAAAAATATTTTAACATATTTATTTATGGGCTTTTGTGTTTCAATTTTATTTATGGCATGTATAACGATCGGGTCTAGTAAAAGAGAAAAAAAAAAAATATTTAGTTTGTCTAAAGATGTTATTAAAGAAAATAAGTTAATTTGCCTAATTTTAATTTTTACAGACATTGTGAATACAGTATTTGAAAAGTAATGAATTATAAATAAATAAATTTTTTGACAGTTATATATGGAAATAATTATTTTGTTTACAAATATTATTGTACTTAATAAATGCTATTATCAACTGTCACTAAAAATTTCTTAATTTCTATGATATACATACATAATACAATTGACGCTTTGTAACCGCTGAAGCGATTTTCGACCAAGCTTCTCCTCCAATTTGTGATTTTGCGTCTTGATGCTTTTAAAACAAATGGAGGGACGTAGAGTTTTTACTAAGCCGTCTCTGAACGGCTTTATTTATGTCAGAAATATACTCGGAGGGGTTGACTTTCCCTGCCGAGTGGCGACCGCAATTAGAAATTTTAACTTACATGTTTTTTTTTAAATATAATTTTCTATAGTTTTTCGATGTTGCTGGTCTCAGAAATTGAACCCTGGTTTTTCGAATGGCAGGAAGCAATTCTAACCACTCGGCTACCGCGGCCGAATATGATTATTAGAAAAAACATAATCTATATGCAGTAGAACACGAAAATATCTTGAAACACAGGGAATAGTCTCAGAATATGATCACGTCAGTGCACTCTATTGAAACTTGCTAAGTGCTCTCAAAATAACAATTTGCCACATTATTTATGAATGGCAAATAATTTTAGATAATATGTAACAATATGAAGGCTTATGTATCAAAATGCGTATGCTTGCAACGCACCTATATATGAGCTTCCTATGTATCCGGTTTGGGGTATACGTCATTAAACGTTACGATATTCAAGGAAAATCAAGTTGTGCAATGAAACCACGAGGTATTTTCAAATAATATCAGTAAATCAGTACGAAAATGGTGAACAAGCAAATATGAGTAAATATATGCCGTGTTTCCAAACTATCCATGCTTTAACTTAAGGTATCTGTGTGCAAACGTCTGCACGTACGTGTGAAACTGAATTACATGTTCAAGTGCTGATCATTGGAGCATTTAAAAATTATGAACATTTTTAAAATTTTCATAGATTTTGTGACTGCTCTCCATGAGTTATCTATATTGAACTCTACAGTCGATCTCCGATGAGTTCAAGTTAAGATTTACGTATAAACGAATGAGTTGATTGTTCGTTTTGTCGTTGACCGTTGATTGACTTTTGAGTACTTGAATGGAGTACAGTGACCTTGTGGTCTTTTGTTTACATTTACTCTTTTTCTCATGTTACATAAACAATTGGTAAATAAAAAAACTACTGCAATAAACTCAAAAATACTATTTTAGGCCACGTAAATGCAAAAGAATGTTCACACGAATATTGTGTTTAGATACTTATTTATAATATGTATGTGCGTACATACATATATAATATATCCGTGAACAAGAAGTTAAAAAACAAATATTTAAAAAGTTATTTTTTTAAATTTAAATTAAGTTGGCAGATGTTAGCGCAGTGGTAGAGCACTCGCCTATAAAGTCAGGATCCGTTGGTTCTATTCCTGCCGTAAGACGTCTGATGAGGAGTTGTGGTGATCTCCGAAACAGCTGTCACTTCCACCATTTTTCTTTGTTGTATAACAAAATATTCAATTAATACAAACAAACCAGGTTTTAGTATATATATATATATGTATATATATAATTGGCGCTTTGTAACCGCTGAAGCGATTTTCGGCCGAGCTGCTCCTCCAATTTGTGGTTTTGCGTCTTGATGTTTTTCCAACAAATGGAGGGACCTACAGTTTATAATAAGCCGCCTCCGAACGGCTGATGGTTTTCTTTAGAGGAACTTTATTTCATGTCAGAAATACACTCGGAGGAGTTGACATTCCCCGCCGAGGGGCGACCGCAATTTGAAAATTTAAATTAATTTTTTATTTAAATTAATTTTCTATATTATATTGTATTTTCTATAATAATTTCGAATGGCAGTACGCGATGCTAACCACTCGGCTACAGCGGCCGCTTATATCTTAAATTATATCAAAAATTAATATTAATATATATTATATCAAAAATTATATATATACATATATATATACATATTATATCAAAAATTATTATATATATATTTATATATATATGAATTATATAGCATGGCCGCAAAAACAATTACAAAATTCATATAATTTGTTTAAATAGAAAAATAATAATTACACACCTAAGAAATGTTATATAGTAAAATGAGGCATAAAATTCATAAACAATTTTCGGAGTAAAGCTTAAAATAATTTGCTTTCGGTCTTCGTTTAAAGTGGTAAATTGCATAAGTATATTATTTCATCCATATTCTTATATGAGTAATCAGTTACTTTAATTTTTTAATAGTTTATTCACATTCAAAAAAAAACGTTCTTAAACCACTCTGTCATACTATAATCCCTCTGGGACCATTTCCTCACTTCATTTAGCCGCTCGTGGCCATACCTGTGACCAGTTCCTTTCCTATTCTATGGTACGTAGTTTTCTTTCACACCATTTTTCGATTTCTACTACGTATTAATTAAAAAATGCTTTATTTTGAACAGACTACAATGGTTGATAGATGGTCCCCTACGGCAATTTCAACAAGTCGATTATGATATAATATTGTTATGCTAGTTTTGTCATCTCTCAGTGAATTGCCCTTACGTTGATCACATAGGCCGTTTTCGCAATGCTCAGTTAACTGCACCTTTAACCGGAGGATAACTAACCGACAGATAGGCTGATGTGAAATTTCCGTTTTCACCAAATTCTCTTTACTTAATTTCTGGTTAGTTTGATTGATTGTAAAAACGGGCCTTAAACTGAAAGATATCCTGCAAAAGGTAAGCACTAATGAAAAATTTTCTCTTCATTTATTCGACAAAAATCGAAAATTTTGTTAAATTAAGTTATAATGAACTTGTTTTAAAGTTTTTCATTTCAATTCCTTAGAATTTGCTGAAAAATTTGGTCGAGGTAACAAAATTTACCTAGGTATTAAAATTTACCATTCAGTAAATTTTGTTACCATTTCGTATTCTGAGCTCACTGTTACCCTGTAAATTTTGTTACCAGCGAAATAGGAGGTCGTTAGTTTGAGAAAAATAAAAAACCAAAGCCAAACCAAAAAAAGGCCTGGAATTCATTGAAGGTGAAGAAAAAAGTGCAAAAAGCCGTATTTTAAGAAGTTTTCGAGACCAAAAAGTAGCTCTTTCATTTGTAAAATAACGTTTTCATTCAGCTTTTTTTGTTGTCCAGGCATATTTTCGATAATTAGGTTCAAATATTTTTGATTTAATAAACATATTACTAAAACTATTATTTTTTTGTGCATCGTCTTCCATTTCGATGTGAATATTTTTCTTTTTACTTTATCAACTGGCAAAAGTAGTTCCATAAGGAGGAAAAAAGCAGTGCAGCCCAAGTTTTTTCAAACCTTGTAACCAGTTCGCCAGAATACCAAATTCAATTTCGGGTGTTACAGAAAAGTAACAAAATATACTTTACCGGTAACAGTGAGAATAGGACTGTTACTCAGTAAATAAAGGAAATTAGATAAATTATTTATAACGAAGAAAATGCAAATTAAGTTGGCATGTTGGCAAGTTGGTTGAATCGAAGGATTCAGAAAATCATCGAGGTTGATTCAGCAAAATCATAACATTATTAATAAACTTTCTTTGCCCAGACCCAAATGCCACTTCTGGGCAAAAAAACAAACACCGATAAAATGTTATCGTGTTTTACAGTTTTACATCTCTATAATTGGTTCTGTTATGATTTACTTATTATTTGTTATTCTTTAAACTTGCCTAACATTTTGACATTTGCAACTGTATTGATTTGATTTTTTTATAATTTCATAATTCCAGTGATTACTTTGGCCTTTTAAATAATATAGAGTAAAGCGCCACATAGGAGTAAATTGTGCAAATTATTGCTATAAATATGCTAAAGCGACAGCGTTGCGAAGATTTTGACACATTTGTACCGCAAACCAAAAAGCTTATTAGCGAAAAATTTGTGGATCAACGAGATGAAAGCAAAATGAACAAGATTCACCGTTAGTAATATAAACATTCAAAGTATTTCAGTAATATATTCCTCTACCATACTTGCAGAAAAAACAATTAACTTACTGTTCAAAGCAGCGCGCGATAACAAATCCTTGAATCGCGGGCAATCGAAAACCGAAGAGGATGTTCCACTATGGCAACAGGTTGTACTGTGTGGAAATGGAGAAGTATTATCGAAAAATGTTACCGACCTTATTGTCGATATATCTTTGGAAAGCCGAAGATCAAAGTGCTGCCATCGAGATGCTTTTGTACGTAGTGATTGTTGTAATTGTTCACAAGTGCTCTGCGAATACTGTGGATATTCCTGTGCAGAATGTGGCGTGTTCTTATGCGTCAGTTGTGTGGCTTTATTGTAAGTATATTTTTATTCGAAAATTTTGTGTAGTAAATAAACAGATTTTTACTTATTATTCTTTGCAGTGGTTGCGGCAATGTTGACCGACCAATTTGTGAAAAGTGTGGATTATTTCAACGATTATGATATAATTAATTCTCTAATAGTAAAAAACTTTTTTATAAAGATATTTGAAAATTGTTGAAATTCTAGTTCTCACTGTTATACTAAAATTGAAAGTTAGCCGTCCTAACCGAAATATATATTTATCGAAAATTTCTTTATTCACTGAAAACCGTGTGATAGATTGGAGATTCTTTGGGAAAGATTTTATAATAATTTGGTAGTATATATTTGATAAAAATTTCAGACATTTCTAAAATTTTACAGAACATATTCGTGCTTATGAAATTGTAGAATACAACATTACATTCTAATGTTAATAAACAATTTACACTTTGCCTTTAAACTTGTGATATTTTTTATGGTCCTTTACATACAGCTCGTATACCTGCCTTGCAGCTTCATTAGAGCAACGTAGAATAAAACGACCAACTCGGTGGTCACAAATACCAATTAAAGCATGGCACACGCTATCAATATGGGTTTTGATCTAAAATAATATATAGATAGTGGGATTTATAGAAATTTTATTAGGAAAAAAACATTGTAACAAACCTTCGGATATAACGTTGTAGCACGCTTATTAGCGACCATTAAACTAATAATGAAAGTGAGCACAAATGGCGCTACACGTTTGACATGTACGCTATGCGTAGCTATCAATTGCATTATGGCCTCCAACTTCATTGCCAACTCGGCTAAATCCTCCAACTCATTGGATGATAAAGCTGCATCCTTTTGACGATCACTTTTATACCAAACAATTGATTGTATGAGGTCCTTAAATATATGCATAAATTGAGGTACACGATCCATAAGTAGAACATGCCTATGACGCAACAGACAGCTGTACAAATCACTCATAGCACAATGCAACTGTTTGAAAACAGTTAAATTGTCTTCGGAGAGAGAAAAACGTTTTATATTGATGTCCATCAGAAATGCAAGAATGTTATCTAAAGTGTCCATTGAAATAGGTATCTGAAAATGTTTAATTGTAATAAAATATTACATTACTGAATTTTCAATTTCAAACAAACAAACTTGAAGTGATAAATAAATTTTAATTAAAAAATTAAAAACTCATCTTCATTAAATATATGTATGTACAAATATAGACTCATTCATGTATCTATAATATCTGCACCATTTTAGTGTCTAAATGAATTAAATATTAATTTTTTTTAATTCCCCATTCATGTATGTTGTCGCCCGGCTTAATTTACTTACCATTTTGTTTTCAACTAAGGATTTTTGTGCTGCTAATAAGGCCAATACTTGTTCCTTATCCACAAATTGTTGTTGCTCATTTTTTGAAAGGCGCAGTACGATATTACAAGTGATCGATTTAAATTTATCGTTAAAAATCTAACAAAAGAGTACAAAAGTTTATATTTAAAGGTAAAACATATGCGAGTGTGTAACATTACAAAAACGTCAATATACTCACAGCACCCTTGATTGTACTAAATGAACATTTGGCTATCAACTCTAGACAACGCAAAATATTTCTATAATCCTGAACGACATCCAGATTTGTAGCAAGACTCTGCAGAGTTAACAGAAAATCTTCATTAGTTTTATTACCGATAATCATTTTCACAGTTGTCTCTGTCGTTTTCACAGTATTCGCTTCATTTAAACTTGTACTCTTCAAGTCGGCATTCAGTTGCTGCCAATAATGACTAAGTACAAACTCTACTTCATCTTGATCCAAATGCAACAATTGTCGATGATTTAGCGCCACTTGCAAAAGGCGTATGGCAAATGGATTTTTATAGTCCATCTGAAAAAGTCAAGAATGCAGCAAGTCATTTCTTTACAATCTTGAAAAAATTATATATATAAATTTATATGTGTACTCACTGAGTGACCAATATATATTTTACAAATTCGTCGAAAGTCTTCAGTCACCATTGCAGCCTGCTTATCTACATCGTTACATTTTCCATTTGTCGCATTTATGAGTAAAGCATTCGAGTATGGCGCGAAACCAGCTAATGTTTTTTCGACAAATTTTTTGTCTTTCTTCGCTTGCTGATCAGGTGTTTTGTCGGCTTCCTTTGCATTGTGTTTATTGAAATATGCATACACATATTTCGAGTAAATGGCTAAAATGCGTTCAAAATGTTTACGCATGCGTTTAGCGCTGGGGCCATTAAGTGCCGCAAGTGTTTCGATAGCCAGCAACAGAAGACGACGCTGTTCATCGCTAAGTTTACAGTCGGAATTCTGAGCAGATTCAAAATTTTCAGCTAACGACGTAAGAAATTGTTCGCTACCTTTCTCTTCTGATTTAATGGTGGAAAATACAAACTCATAGAATGGCCAAGAGGTAGCAACAGGCATGACGCGTAAAATTGTTTCTAAAGAGAAATATTTAAAGATTGGCACATGTTGACCAAAATGTAGAAAGTCTGTGAAGAAAGATCAGTTTTTCGGATAAAATAATTAATTAAAAAATTGATATTTGTTAAAAAAAAAAATAAAAATTTTAAAATAAAAAAATTGAAAATCGAAATACAAATTTTAAAATAAAATATTTTTTTTTGTTAAAAATATTTATTTTTGTTTAAAAAAATAAAATAAAGATTACGTTAATAAAATTAAGATAATAGACTTTTGCTAACAAAATTCTTTAAAAATATTAGATTTTTGTTACTACAATTATTTAAAAAAAATATTTACATTCATATATCAACGTTTATTATTTTTCAATATGTATTAAAATTATTTTTACCCACCTATAATTACGTCAAATACTTCCGAGGCATAATTTTTGTTTTCTGTTGCATTCAAATCGCAATAAAATGCTATCAAAAATGTGAAAATTATGTTTTTACTTTGCCTTCGCAGATATCCCAGCGGCAATTGCCGGCAAAGTAGTATAAGTTTTTTCATCTCATCGTGTTTTGGTAGCTTTTTCACATTATATTCATTTTGAGCATGAATTTGTACAATATTTACCAATTTTTGTAACTCTTTTTCAGCAGTATTTTGTTCTGCACACATGCCCTGGCTTAAGTTGTCAAAATTACCTTTTAAAGTAGCTAAAATTGATCCTTTGGACGTAGATGCAAATGTTTGAGCTAAGCGAGCACAAAGAGCACCCGCTATAATTTCTAAAGAGCCCAAGTCCTCTGCCATGGCGGCAATTACGGATGTTTCATCTAGTAACTGTTGTATTTTGTTAACCTTCGCTTTTGGACTCAATTGACTAAGAAACCACTTCATACTTGGCTCTCTTTGCAGCAAGTTCTTTACTTCGCCTTGCACACTATTGTCGAATGTTGATTCGGATTCTAATTTTAAATCGGTTTTGTCGTTCATCGATTTTAAAACCGATTGTGCTTGCATACGTTGCAATATGAGGCGATGGCACAAAAATTTGCCCTGAGATTTACCTAATTTCATTACACGTTTCTGAAGTGACGACCACTCTTCAGTACTAATCAATGTATGTAAACATTCTGCATCAGGTAATTGGTTTCCATTAAGCCCATCTGGTTGATAAAAGTTAAGTAACAGCTCGAAGTTACTAGCATGATAAACACACTCAAGTAGCGCGCTTAATGAGCGATCATTGTGCTCTTGCGTGAGTACTAAGCTTTTGAATTTAGTGAGGACTTCTTTGGTGATCCGAAGTTGTTCATTAACTTCGGTTGCAAATTTATCATACTGCTCCGCCAGCCGGCACCCGTTAAAGTATTGACAAATTAACGCGGCGTGGAGATCTAAGAGAAATTGATTATTCTCAAGACATGCATTTTCAGGATGATTTTGTAACTTCTGTATTAATTCTTCGAGAGAATATAACAATGACTTCCAAATTACAAGTGCAGGTTTTGAGACTAGACCAGTTATTAATTTAGAAAATGCAATGCCCACGCTATTCGAAGGCCAGGCTGCATGCAAATAAGGAAAATCTATGTATAGTCCACTGTTTTCGTCAATGTTTCTATCTGCTGACAACTTATGGAAATCTTCGAAAATAATATGGATATATGTTATTTCGTCGTCTAACGTTACTCTGGGAGGTTTTGATTTCTTGGCATTTATTTCTACTCCATCCACAGCTTTACGTTTACGATTTTTTTCTACTTCGTGAGTTGAATCCATATCATATTTGTTTAACCATTCTTTAAGACTTTTGAGCATGTTAAAAACTAGTTTCTCAACACGACTTAAACGACGAAACATATCCATTAGCGACACCAGATATTCGTCAAACAAGGTGTGCTCTTCATTATTCTTTTTCTCAGCTACGATCATCCAAGTTGTTATCTGCAATAAAATATTCACTATTTAATATTAAATTTTTTTAAATATATTACCTGGAAAATATCTTGCTCCAAAATAAGTGGGTTCAGACGCAGAGCAGCACATAACACTAATAAAACTTCACGCAAATAATGTTGCTTGCATTGTTGTATGCATATGAAGAGTTGTTCGCCAAGATAAGTCAAAGCAGGTTTTTGATTTTCCAGTTCCATTTTGAAATTCAAATTGATATCATGTTTCCGAAAAATTTCCAACGTATAAGCTGCCGCTGTGAGCATTATTGAACGTTTCTGATTGTGCTTTTGCTCAACTTTCTCAACTTCTTCTGTTAGTTCTTTAAAAGCATATTTCAACAAATGCTGTACAAAACTCTCTACTCCACGTCTGTTGACAACAGCACATTCCAGCGTTAGAAGTCGAACATACAGTGGCAAGTTTATCACACGGTCTACAAATTGTTCGTCTTGTAGATGGTTAGTTAAAAGACGTTCCAACTGTAATAGCTCATCAAAGAAACATATAGAATGAGTTCGAAGTATTAGCATTACTCGCACAAGTGGCTGCAAAATATGTAACCTATAAGATTTGTCATAACGTTCCATATCGCCTGTTCTTTTAATATGATCTCGTAAATTACTAATGACACTTGAAAAGAATTCCGTTTCCGTCGCATTGCTCAATGTTTTTTTGGCAGTTGTATTTATGTACATCTTTGTTGATTCAAAAGATGTTAAATATAATTCATAGTAAATAAGTAATGATGAATAAACTTCAGCGTGTAACTCGTAGTCACCACGGTACAAATCTTGTAAGAGTTCAAAGTCGCACAAAAGTAACAAAATCCTTGCCCAATTACATGTTCTTTCTACACAAGCTTCTTCTGCTAACTTATCAGATAAACAAATCATCATTTTTATGAATTTCTTTTTGACATCTTGCTCTATAAGTCCTGGCTGGGCACGCATATTTAAAAGTTCTGTGAATTCCTCGTAAGGAATTTCGTTCACTGGTAAGACTGCTGCTTCTGTGGATAACCATTCCAGAACTAACTCATATTTACTTGAAAGCGTGAATTCAGCTGAATTCCAAGCATTTAATGCGAATTTGAAATTTTCCAAAAACGATTTTTCCTTTCGTTGCAACCATTTCAAAAATTCTGAAATTGATAATAATACATATACACATTAAATTATTATTCATAGAGCATATTTTACCTTTTTCAGTTGTCATTTTTGCGTTTGTTGTATTAATAGTTAATAATTGGTTAAAATAAAAATATCCTATTAATTCCCAAAAATATCTCATTCAAAGCAAAGTGAACGTAAACAAATTCTACACGTGCATGAATGAAAACATATGTCCGCTGCGGTTCCAATATCGGTTACAGTAAACTCTTGACAACCAAAAAATAAGTTTCTTCTGCAATTATCTATCAATAATTTTTTGGCTATAGCCATATGAAGAAAGCGTGATTTGATCATCTTATTTAAGATTGGTTAAATCCCTAATGACATACTTTATATGTTTTAGAAATAAGTTTACATATCGAGTTTAACCGGTTCCAGTTTTATGCCAACCAAATATAATAATTATTAAGTTCACATTCCGGCAAATACGGCTTGTAAACAAAATGCGTCAGAATTTCTCACATAAAACGATAAAATCACCGAAAGATAAATTGTATATCGATAAGAAGTTTTCCCTTCCAATGCAATTTTTATTAACAGGCCTATTCTCACTGTTACCGGTAAAGTAAACTTTGATACTTTTCATTAACACCCGAAATTGAATTTGGTATTCTGGCGAACTGGTTACAATGTTTGAAAAAAATTGGCAGCACTACTTTTTTCGTCCATGTCAAATTACATTTACCAGTTGATAAAGTAAAAAGAAAAATATTCACATCGAAATGGAAGACGGTGCACAAAGAAATTAAAAAGTTTTAGTAATTTGTGTATTAAATCATAAATATTTGAACCTAATTATGGAAAATATGCCTGGACAACAAAAAAAGCTGAATGAAAACGTTATTTTACACATTAAAGAGCTATTTTTTAGTCTCGAAAACTTCTTAAAATACGGCTTTTTGCACTTTTTTCTTCATCTTCAATGAATTCCAGGCCTAAAATATGACTACCCATTTTGGTTTTTGTTTTTTCTGAAACTAACAACACAAATTCAAACAACAGATATTTTTATTTTCTTCCTATTTCGCTGGGAACAAAATTTATATGGTAACAGTGAGCTCAGAATACGAAATGGTAACAAAATTTACCATTCAGTAATTTTGTTACCTCGACAGAATAGGCCTGTAAATCTGTTCGGTGGTAAATGTCAGTAAGACTTAAGCCCGTTTTCACAATGTCCGATTAATTTAAACTGCAACCAGAGGATAGCTAACCGCAAAGAACTTTATTTTAATAATATTAATATACGTTCTTTGCTTCTGGTTAAGATCTAATCGCCACTCAATGTTGGCCTTAAGTTAACTGAAACTTAACTGATAGATGCGCCTTAACCGGATATTGATATTTTATGATACCTTTCCGATTAAGTTAAGATTAAAAAAGACAAAGAAAGAAAATTGCTGAGTTTTCACTCAACTTGAATCAGTAAAAATTAGCCAGTATTTCAATAAAATAATATTATAGAGCATTTTAATTAATTAATTACATTCAAAAATCATTGTTAAGAGAAAATTATGTATATAGGTATTATTTGTCGCTTTGATGTTAAGGAAGGATGGCTGAAATACGAAAATGAGATTGGATTTTCATGAAAGCCGGCAATATTAACTGAACATTAGTATGAAATTTCACATAAAATTAATCAACATTATACAAAAAAAAGAACATAATTGAATTATATGCCTTTATTAAACATCAACTCTACCCTTCAAAAGTGTAATCTAATTACATATCTTATCATTGATCATTCATTATCATTAGAGTCAATCTCAGCTTCTTCAATACACTCAAATATCTCTTGCATTTTTCAACTTTATCTGCAAACTCCATTATCTGGAATATTTATTAGTAATTAGATACATATACGGATAGGCATATGTATATGTCTGCATACATATATGCAAAGAACATATATGAATAAGAAGAAATATACCTTCTTTTGTTTTACCATTGACAATGCTCCACTTTTCGGAAAGAAGTGTAGTCTTCCTGTTAATGTCCGGGATTTCAAGTAAATATAACCATAAATAAGATTTTTTTAATAAGTCATTTTCTGGTCCAATTCCCGGAAGAAGAGTCTTCCGCGTTGATCCAAGCAAAAGGCTACTTTTGTACCGAATTTCAAGTGAATCGAAATATAAATACAATTTTTTTCGAATAGTTCAATCATTGGTCCATTTCTCGGTGATAATAGTAGTCCAATTTTTTCGAATGAGTCAGTCTCTATTAAACTTTCCGTAGAGAAGTGTAATATTCCTGATAATAAATAAATATACCAAGTAAATTTAACCATAAATAAGATATCTTCGAATAGGGCAGTCCTTGGTCTATTTCCCGAAATTTTTTTCTTGAAAACTTTCCCAGGAACCAGAGAAACAATGACAAAATTTTAAGTCAATCGGTCAGTAACTGAGATAGAGATTAGTGGATTTTTTCAAACGGACATAAGATTGTTACGTGTGGTTTCAAATAAAAGTTAAACTCTTGGTTTAAATTTTTTTTGTTTGTATTGATTTTCCGATTTCGATAAATTACCGATAATAATTAGAGAAGATGATTGGTAATGAAAATGAATTACCCACTTTTGGGTAATTCGTTAACAAAAATTTATATGGCGAATTGAGCAATTCAGTATTTATTGTAGCAGAGAACTTATAACCAGAGCACTTAAATAACTTATTTTAAGTTCTCTGATTAAGCTTATTCTAATGTACATATGTACTAGTGGTTGGGAAATAAACTTTAGTAAATATTATATCTTAAAATACATTTACTTTTTCCAAACATATTTTGATTTGAAATATACTTTTATCCTTGGGACTTCATTATAAAAATTTCGTAAACTTACTTCTATAGGATATATGTGATTAGCTAATTGTGAATAACATGCATACAACATTTCATTGCTATTAATGATATTCAGTAGCATCGTTGTTAATTTTGTACACTAAAAAATATGTCTTTTTTTACATATGTTTTAATACAATATTATGCTTTTTATTCTATTTAATTTTCTTCTTTTATAAGACCCTCAGTTTTAAGATTTGTAATCAGTTTTCTTAATGTTATAGCATGAAAGTTGTCTTCTTTGTAAATTGTAACACTGTCACATATAATTGTACTGCCATTAGGAATAAGCTCTTCCAATTTCTGCACCAACTTTGTTTCACATTGTTCTGGTAAACCTAAAAGAGTATAATTATTTGTATGTATTTGAATTAAAACTGTAAAAATTAAATTCTGAGCTTCAACCTTTAATTTCGCAATCAGACGTGTAAATTGGAAAAGTAAATTGCGCTGGATAGCGTCTGATGTCATTGACGTGTATCATACTAATATTTCCATAGTCAAGGAATATAATGCTTGGATATCCATCACCGACAATTTCCAGACAACGCCCACGATACCACTTCCCATCAAGCTTATATTTGGCAATGCAAAGTTCATCAATACTAAGAGGGAGAAAGAAACACGCAAACAAATATTTATAAAATTATAATTTTGGGTTTGCTATGTCCGCTTACCGTGGAGTGTAGCACTGCTCCTTCAATGAAGATGCATACACCTGTAGATCTTTTTGAAATTTCTCAACTTCGATAGCCCAATCCTTCGTAGTGCAAGATATACAACCCGTACAGAGGAGTGAATTATCCATAACGACCAGTTCAATGTTGTCACCTTCAGGTAACTGTTTTTGTGGTAAGTACTATAAAATAAAACAAACATATATATAACAGATGTATATAAAATACTTCTTCTCATATTGAAACTTACATTAGCGTAAAAGGCTTCATCTGTATCCAATGGTTCAATTGGTTTGCAGAGTTTGATAACCATCTTATTGAAATTTTGATTCGTGGTCTCATCAATCAGTTCCACCTTATAAATACCCTTGTCGCTTATCAAGTCACTTTTTTCGTCAAACTTAAGTACTAAATCAATACCATTCAAATAGGAATACATAAATTTTCGTATTTCATCGGTCATATACATTTCAGGTACATCCTTTAAAATGACCGGTTCGACGAAACGTCGTACATTAACGAGTTGAGGAGGCGCTTCATATAAATCTTCAAGTTTTCGTGCATCCAAATTGCCATAATCCATGTAAACTATCTTTATGCACTGCTCATTGTCACTATTGAGTATCATAGCACGATGAAACTGATTCTTGAAATTGGCGATTACAATTTGCCCGCAAATTGGTGGCTTTGTTAGTTTTTTCAAACTCTTTCCAGCACTTTGTACCTCATTGATAAGTTTGAAGAACGCGAAATTATCTTCATCAGCTTTTGATCTTATAAATACTATATTTGTTTTGCTTATAGCGGTAAGTGTAACCAAATTTCCATTGCGTAGATTATTTTTTGACAGTGCTTCAGAAGATTCTTCCTGATTAAGTGGCGATAAAAGAGCAACCGAAGATGACGCAGTTTTTGGCGAGCTCTCCTTTTGATTATTAACTGATGTTGATATATTGGTTTGTTCCTCTTTTTTTGGTTTTAAATCATTTAATCTATATAGAGTAAAATAGCCATTATTATGCATTATATATATTTTTTTAGCTTCTATATTACTTCTCCTTGCCACAAGTTTGTCGATGTTTGGGCCATGCCTTGCGCTGACATTCTAAACCACAAAAAAATTCTCTGCATCGCGCACAAACTATATCACATGGACGGTTACAATTTTCGCATTGTCCAATGTTTATAGGTCTGTTGGTCTGTCTGCTCTTATGATTATTTTCGTATATTTCACGGACTGGGTCATAGGTGCCCAAAGATTGGAGGGATTTTTCATCGATGAACTTCCTGGATTTCTCGGGCATTCTGTAAAAAGATGTATAATCTGACCAAAAGGAGAAAATTTAAATAATTCGCAAAAAACAAACTCAATATATGCTCGGCCGGTATGATATTTGTATTTTGAAGAGTCTATATCGATTTTTGTGGTATTATCCGTAATCCCTGCCCTTTCGAGGTCATGTGCATCTTCAGTAATTAGAAAATGACGTTGCGGATCATTACGCCGCAAAAACGAATCTTTGGAGTCATAAGCTGCTGAATTTACAAAAGGTGTGTGCTTGAAATGTGGTCTTGGTAAATGTTTATCAGATGAGCGGTAATTTCTGAATTTGGTTTCTGTTAAAATCTATAAGGTTTTTAACTATTTATTGATGATATACCTGTTTTCAAAATCAATTGCATTCCTATCCAAATTTGCTGGTTCCACATTCTCTTCATTATCAGAGGGTATAGGTTCTGTTTGCTGTTTATTTTTTTGTTTGCCAACAAGCACATGAAATCCATACTGATTTTTTACTAAAGCTCGATAAACTGCTTCCATTTCACTTTAAGGTAAATTTATAACATATTATTTTATTTAATCCTCTATACATGAATGTGAATACTACTTACGCTACTGTCGGGAAATCAATAAAGAAGTAATCATTTTTCTTGCTATCACGCACATCACTTACACGACCATACCGAGTACAAATATTGTAAATTGCATTCTTAGTAATGCCTTCAGGCAAATGCTTAAGCACTAAATAGGGTACATATTTTGTAGCGGTATCGCCATTCGCCTCCTTCGCATAAGCTGGTTGTTTTCCACCTCTTTTAGCTTGTTCGGATGGCTGTAAAGCCGGATCTAAATAAGCGCCAGGACCGCTACTATAATTATTGAACCGAGAATTTGTATAATCATCCTTCATTGGATTCCATGCATCAAGTAGTTTTTGTACTTCATTAACCGCTTTGTCGTTCGACATTTTGTGTACACAAATCAATTTGCATCTAAAATTGAAAAAAAAATATTCCTAAAAATTTGTTCATATAATTGAATGCAAATTTTAAAACTGAAATAGACATAGACAGGGTGTGTAAAAGATGATATATATTTATCGATTTCAAAGTTAGTCGTAAACAAATTTTATGTTATATTTGTTAAGTTCGCAGATGCGGCATATGCATTCTTCAGTAGGTATTGTCACGATTTTTCTAAATTAACATAAGATCATTTCCCGAATCCTTCTGGTTCTATCACTGGATTGTTTGAAGCAAATATTCTACTACTCTGAAGCGTGAGCCAATTCAATTACAGTTCTCAATTCGTTTTCCTTCTTATTAATATACGTTCTTTCGTTCTTTGGTTACGCCACATTCGGGCAAATAGGATTTTAAAACAAAATGCGCCAGAATTTCCTATAAGCGATAATTCAGGAAATCGATAAATTGTATATCGATAAATAGTGTTTCATTCCTAAGCCATATTTATAATTTGACGCCATATTCTTTGCCATATATTACAGCAGTCTGATGGTGCATATTTTGGCGTTACAATTACATATTCAAAAATGGCATTGAAATTGAATCGTGATGATACAATTAATTTAATCCGTATTTATGGAGAGTACGAGTGCCTCTGGAATTGTCGAAAGAAAGTTTATAGTAATCATGTTTTAAAAAAGGAAGCATGGGAAACTATAGCCAATAACTTCGATTCGGATGTGGCTGAGATCAAAAAGAAAATCAAATATTTGCGAACAGCTTATGTTGCGGAACGGCGGAAGTTAGAGGAATCAAAGAAAAATACCGCTAATCCATCGGAATTCTATCAACCTAAATTATTTTATTACAACGATTTCAACTACTTGGACAACACAATTGTGCTAAGGAAAAGAGATTTCACAGATAAAGACTATGAAGATGATGAAGAATTATTGCCGAAAAAAGAAATTTCATATGATGAGGTAAGTTTCGTTACTATTTGCTTGCTTGATCAGAAATACCGAAATCTAACCATTTACAGTTAAGTAATGAAACGAATGAACGGTTGCAAGAAAATGAATCCGTATGGGAAAAGTGTACGCCTGAAGATTATCTAGATGAGGATTTCCAACAACCGCAGTTTAAAAAAGTTAAATTAACCTCGCAACACAGTTCAAATTCTCCACTTTCAACGATTAACTTTGAACATTACTTAAATGATGGTATACATAAGCATAGCAAAAACTCGTCGCCTGTCGCTGAAGATATGTACTTAGCTTTCGGTAAAAGCGTTGGTTTACAATTGAAACATTTGAAGACCGTTAATGCAGCTAAAGCTATGGCACAAATTCAGGAAGTGTTAACAAAATTTGCTATTTCAGAAGCATAATTTCTAGTAGGGTAAAATATTACAGCTTTGAATTTAAACTAATTTCACTTAAATGCAAGCCAAGTTTCGATCACACTGAATATTTATTCCATTTACATATATTCGGTAAAGCTTCAATGAATTGGTACAACATATTTACATCAACCAACAAATACGAAATAATTACCGTGTATAACTTATAAAAGTGCAAAATCTGCATACTACATTATAAAGCGATTGAAAAATTTCAGCTGTGATTCATTTGGACCGCTTTTAAGTTAGGATCATTTGAACGTGCCATTTTTGACTTAATCCATTCATTTGCGTGCATACGTTTTATATGTACGTACATATTTGACCTCGAACGACATTCCTTTGAGCAATGTGGACAAGAATATAATTGGGCGCCTGTGTGTGTGGCCATGTGCTCCTGCAGAATTAAAAAAAAAACGTAAATTTCGAATATCAAATCCATATGATAGACAAACCTCCAAATTTCTAGTCTCTTTAAATGTTTTATCACAAAAGCTGCACTGCAAATCAAACTTTTTCTTGTGCATATACCTAACATGACCTCTTAAGGCGGTGCGTGAAACACATTTGCGTCCACAGTATTTACACTCTGCATTGGTTGTATTATGCTTAAACTGATGAAGTCGATGTACGTGTTTATTTTTAGACCATTCTCCACAAATATCGCATTGCACTGGTGGTTCTATAATGCCTTGATGTTCTAGGACGTGTCGTTCGAATGATGGCTTAAATTTGAATGCCTTGCCACATACGTCACATATATGGCGGTGCAAGTCTTCATGTATAGCTTCGATGTGTTTTCGTAATCGTTGTGCGTTAACAAAGCTATGTGAAAATATAATTTCAATATTATTTCTTGTTCAGGGTACCTTATAATATTTTACCGTTTATCGCAAATTTCACAAGGATGTTCTTTTTCTTCGCTATGTTTTTGAATGTGATTGTCGAGACATTTCTGTCCACGAAAAACTTTAGAACATATTGAACAGGATACGGTTTCGTGAATGTTCTCCTTTTTGGAATGCATAATTTTTATGTGGCTCGCCAAACATTTAGTTGACTTCAACTGTTTTCCGCAAGTTTCGCATCTGGAAAAAATAAAGTAAAACTATATAAATACAACCGCACAATATTAGTAGAGTTGATCATTACTTAAATTTACTGGGATTAGTATGCCACTGTATATGTTCAGCTAACAAATTTGGTTTGTAAAATGTGTTACCGCAACACTTTACATATGCCGTTGTTTTATGTTTTTCTGTGAAATGCACTCGCAGTTCGCTGTAATTTTCCACACATAAAGTACATAAATCACAGTTCAGCAACATGCCGTTTTCAATTATTTCTTCGTTGCGTTTTGCAGCCTCTTTTCTCATTTCCTGTTTTGCCGTTGAGGACTCCTCTTCTTTACATTTCTTTTTTATTTTTCTGAATCGTTCCTTATTTTTGGCTGCTTTTTTAATACCCTTTGGAGATTTCTTTCCAATTTTTTCTTTTAAGCTTTTTAATGGAATGTCTTCTGAAAACGTTTAGTGGAAATAAAATCAAAGTTAATTGATGTTAACATTTTAAAATCATATTTTGGCGCTGCTTTTTCAAAACATTATTTTACCATCAAATGAGTCGTTGTCATCTTTCCAATCATCTTGGGAGTCTGTGTTTGCGTCCAAATCTAACTTTGTAATAGGTGCCACATCAATGTTTTCCGTTATATTAGTTAAGTCACAGTTATTTTCGTCACATTCTTGCTCTATAGATATATCTTTTAAATCTAGTAGTATCTCTTCTTGACTATCAGTGTTTTCTCCGGTTACATCAATAAGCATCGATGTATCTTCTTTAATTTCGCTGCATTTTACTGCGAGAAATTCACTGCCCAACGAACTTTGTTTTGATTCGATAAAAAGCCAGAACCCATGGAATTCCTCCAAATGGTCGCTGCAGTTTTCGCAGAGTGAAGTTGATATCGGATCGTCCTGCGTTATCTGCAATTATATAGTCTGTGCACTAAACGCTTATGAGGTGGCAAGCCATAGGCACTACTTACCTCCAAATGGAAGTACTTTGTTATTAATTTAATAAGTTTACCTTCTGTTTGAACAGATTCAAATAAAGATATGTTATTTTCCTGTATTAAACTGCGTAAACACAGTCGACAAATCATTATTTATATGAAACAAGAAATCTACAGAAAAATGTTTACAGCAGATTCACATATGTTTTTAATATGCTTGTTCTTTATCTTTGATAAGTACACAGTCACAATTGTTCTGACGAAATATAATATATTTTGCGAATAATAATTTCCATTAATAATGTGCGTAGTTTTCAGCCAGAGGCAGGTGTTCTCACTCCACACAAACCAAACGATTTATATATTAAGTAAATTAGTTTAAGGTCTTTGTTATAAATCACCAAAAATTCCTTCATTACAACGGTTTTGGGCGTAAATACGAGCTTATATACTTTTTATCGCCATTTGATTAAAAAAATCGATATTATTCTACATATTGTGAATGATAAAAGGCAAACTTGCTAATTTAAAAGCATCCAACTTTGCGATAATCAAACACCTAAAGCGCCATTTCGACTTCTTATTAACGGCTATAACTATTTTTATTTTGTGATAGTGTAGATCTTTTTGTAAAATCTACTGAAGATGTTAGTATAGAATTCAATACCCCAAAAGTTCTTATTGTAAATTTCAAAAGAAAGTTGAAGTGTAAAGTTTTCGTATTATTTTTTGCCACTGAAAGACCAATTTACATACAAATATAGAATTTTTGGAAAGAGCTTCCCCGCATTATCATGGATTTCGAAGACGCTAAAGAGAATATACAACCATTAGCAGCTGGTAGGAATGCCAGTATTTTACATGCCTCGTTGCGGGTGGAGTCACCGCAGGAGTTATTAGCTCAACGTCGCGAATTAGAGCAGGCTATTCATGGATACAATGGAGATGATCCACTAGAACCTTGGTATTCTTATATTAGCTGGATTGAGCAAAGTTTTCCTTCTGGAGGCAAAGAGTCTGGCCTAGAAGAGGTTTTAACGAAATGTTTATCTCGTTTCGAGAACGAAGAAAAATATTTCCAAGATAGGCGTATGATTAAATTGTATATGAAGTTTGTGAGTATATGAAATTATCTTATGGAAACATAATTCGATTTTTGAACATATGTGTATGTACGTAAATTCTGTAGATTGATAGCCATCAGCATCCTATGGAATGTTATCAACAGTTGTTTAATGCAGGAATCGGTACAATGGTTGCAGATTTTTACATTTGCTGGGCATACCATTACGATTCATGCGGCAATACCCGTAAAGCGGATGAAATTTTTCGTAGGGGTATTGCCTGCCGTGCACAACCGTTAGATGAATTGCAAGAAGCCCATCAGCATTTTGGCTTCTCTGTAGCCCAACGTTTGATGTATCAAGACGATGAAGATGTAAAAGAAAGCACTAAACGTCAATTTGAAGAGAGACGCTTAGCTTTAACATCTCTACGTGGTCATCGGCGAAAAGCAATTGTAGGAAGTATACGGACAGGATCTGCGGTCAAGAGTCTTGCACCGGGCACTGTTCAGGTACAATATTTAATATTTTTCAATATTTTGGTCTCATTCTTCTTAATATTTTCTTATAATACAAAATATTTCTACAGTCTGGCGCGAGTTCTTCGAAACAAAGTAATACTCGCGTGCAAATTTTTCAAGATGAAAATGCTTGCCCCAACTCGCTTGCAATTGCTGCTGAACCCGAAAGCTCACAACCTGAAGAAGTCAAATCTGTTGTTCGCTCAATTATTGACGCGGCGCGAAATCAAGAAAATCTGAAAGAACCAGGCCCTTGGAATAAAGCACACGATAAAAAAAAATCGGGCAAACTCTTCGGACGAAATGCAAGGAATATCGATTTAGGTTTTAGTATACACGAAGATGTCGAAATGGAAGATGAAGAAAATGATAACTTCAAAAAACCATTGCAGCCGCCTATTACAGATGGAGAGAAAAATTACAATAAACCTTTTATGTATCCAACAAATTTTAGAAGTAAAAATATGCCTCAAAGTGTATGGGTTACTCCGGTTACTATTGAAAATGAGTCAGATCCCCGTACTGTTCCACAATATAATAAATGTTTCATGTATCCCCGACCTAATGTGGAGTTCCAACCAGAAGAATATCGTGCCTTTTGCTGGTTCAAAAGGCGTGGAATATCGAATGAGTTTACTGCAAAACGTAATACATATTGGTGCTGCAATGATGTTAATGCAAATGTGAGGCAATATCCAAACTTTGCTAAGCAGTCTAAACCACAAAAGTTGGGAGAAATAGACACCTATTACGAACCTGAAAAGAAAAAAGAACTTGTGATATGCTTTACTGAATTATATGACTCCGCTGAAAAGGTTGAATATCAATGGGAAGAAGTGATGGCAAAGCGTTTACGTCGAAATAATACAATATTGATGGCAGCCGATATGGATGAGACACATTGTGGTGTGAATGAACGAGCTCAACGGCGCAAAAGCTTCTTTCCTTCTCGAAAGTCAATAGCTCCAAGGCCAAGTATAATGCCCGTGGAAGCTAAAAATGATCTTGTTCAAAATGAAATCAATAAGCCACCCACTCAAGCAACGAATTCAATAGAAACAACCACAAAGTTAGTTTGCGCCAGTGCACCTACAATGAAATCTTCATTGCCTTTCGAAATTTTTGAAGATACATCTCCTTCAATAACTCACCCACTTGCCAAAAGTGATGTTTGCGACGTCCTTGTTGGACAGCAAAATGAGATTACAGCAACGGTTGCTAACAGTGATTTTCAATTCAAAACACCTGCTCTACCGTCAACAACTAGTTCCACTACAGGATTGTCAAAAGCTGCAATAACGAATAAGTTAGGTTTCGAAATTTATACTGAACCTTCCATTAGGGAGTCTGTACCAAGTCCACTTACCACAGACGGTGCTGTGGGTGGAGTATTATTTGACCCTGAAGAAACTTGTTCCACACAGACTTTTAACATATTTATTAAGTCTCAGTCGGTAAGCACGCCGAAAATGATACAAAAAGTTGCACCAAGACAATTTGGTCCAATATTAAAAGTAGTGCCGAATCCACCAGAAATTTCAACTAGTCCAATTTCGACACCTACAGTGGAAAACAATGTTCGCGATGAACAGGAAAATATTCTAAAACCGGCAATTGAATACTCGCCTCTGACAATTAAACAACTTTCCACTATTTTAGAGACTTCCGAGCATGGCACCACTCAAGGAACATGCACAACAGGTGGTACAACAACGAAATCGTCAAGTAGCACATCGGACGGTGAAGGAGAGCGTGAGATCGCTACACGTATCTTAATGCCACATACCGATTTAGAGCCTCTGGAAGAGCAGTCACGTGAATCATCCACTATACCGAATGAGGAAAATAGTAATATTCGAAGTAACACAACAACACAAAACAAAAGTACACACATCGAAGCGCCACTTGATTTGCCAACTAATACACCACAAATTGAGTCCGCACCGCCGGCGCAAATGCGTTTAAAATTGGGTTCGGATGAGCAAGTTTTGCCTTCAATGCCTACAACTGGTTTTAACTTTTCAATATTCGAAGATGAACAGACTGAACAGTTAAAAAATAAACACGCTGGTAATTTTACGCGTATTGACGACCGCGAAGACACTGCAGCTGGTTATGCTATGCGCAGCGTTCGCTTTCAGGAAGATAAGACTGAGACTATTCATAAAATGCTTTCTATAGTTAAATTTCAAGAAGATAAAACAGAAACAATAACTAAATTACCATTGGCAACAGCTGCTTTGCCCCTTTGTGAAGCGGAACAAACTGGCACAATACCGAAAATTACATTGGATCCACCTGCTTTGCCAGCAGTAAAAAATGTTAGCTCTAATTTAGATGACTCTTTTGAGTTTTTCGGACAAACACCACCGGGTAAAAGTATACTACATCCAAGATACGAAGTTTCGGCATTTAAGGAGTGTATGGATGCACGTACACCACTGATGTCAGCTGCTAAGCGAGAATGTAAAATGAAAACACCCGACGTGATGCTTCTGAAAGCTCCTCGTTCTATACAAAAACATGTAAGTGCAAATCCCAGATTAGTTTCTGTAATTTATTGCTATCAATATATGTATGTATACTGTATGTATGTGCGGCCGTAGTAGCCGAGTGGTTAAATAATAGGAAATTTATTTTTCTAATTACGGTCGCCTTTCGGCAGAGAATGTCTAGCCCTCCCGGTTTGTTCTTGTGCGGAGAAGTATTTCTGTCGCTATTGGTATAAACGATTACAGTATTCTTCCTCACTGTCTAACCTGATGAGATGCGATGACCGGCAGTGAGAAACTTTCGATTACCGCTTCTCGTCGCATCTAAGAAACCAGAAGAATGATTTTCTCGCCTTATTTTTAGTTGTTTAAATATGTTTAATAAGCCGATTCGCAGAAGAAAAACATTGCGCTATCTATATTTTTTTATTTTTGAAGCTTCCTTCATCGCTGGAAGGTATCTCCCTAATCGCATACGCCGACGATTTCTCGATATTGGCGTACAGCCAGAATATTAATAATCTTTGCTCAAAGGGGAACTACAACCGCTCCGATCTATCCTCACTGTACGACACTTACAGCTCCAACAAGCGAAATCTACGTCCATAGTCTTTATCAGCTGGAGAAAAGAGTACTTGTTGTTGTTGTTGTTGTAACCGCAAAATTATTCCCCAAAGTACTTTTTGGGGAATATTGCGGGAGTGACAGTCCTTGGCCGGATAAAAATCCGGGTCGTTCCGGTATAAAGACCCGACTATCGCGGGAACTATTGGATTTTAGTCGCCTCTTACGACAGGCATGCCTTACCGCGGATAAATTCTTGAGCCCCTAACCCGCAGGAGTACTGACTCGACCCCAATGTCAATATTGATAATATCAAATTTCCCAGTGTTGACCACCCAAGGTTATTGGGAGTTGAATTTGATTTCCGGCAGTCACACCGCAATAGGCATGACCTGGCGCAGAAAAATAAAGTTAGTTGCAAACATACAAAGCAAACGGCCGCCTAAAGGCTGGAAAATAGTCCTGCTTGGGAGGAAAATACTTAACTTTACAGACTCCTATTTGACATTATATCCCAAAACCTCTTATCATGACGATCTACGGCAGGACCTAAGCGCCATTCACAGAGAGTTTGGCGGTACCTTCATTAACTCTAACCACAACCACAGCAAAGCTCAAGCTGTCTCCGAATCCGAGTAATGCTGGCGAAATTAATCTATATATATACACGAATATGTTATATAAGGTTGTCAAATGGCCAATTCTGGACGCTTCTGGTCGGTTCGCCTGCTTTAAGCGGTTCAGTAGTTCGCAGTAGATGGTAGAATTAAGCGTATGGGAGCAGCTCATAGTGGATGATTCCCTTCCAATCCAATATACACGAATATGTTTATATATAAATGCCTAACTGCTGTCTGTCTCGTATGTATGCGACAATTCGTTTTTAGAGCCTGTCGTTAGATGACCAAGAGGCTTAGGAAGAACAAAGTGCAACAAAACGCACACAAAAGCAATGTCAAAAACTCACATTTGAGCCAGTACCGATCACGCCATCTGCATTAACAGCATTACCAACTTCACAATTCAATCACCAATTCGTCTAAAGTTTCAAAATGCTTTTATGAAAGACTTTTCCGGGTTTCAAGGGTCACCTGCTGTACCACTATTATCAATAGAAGCACTACACGTTTAACATTTTTAAATGAGTCTAGAAAACTTAACGACTCCGTTCATTCAAACCCAGTTCAAAGCTCAGGCAAATAAAAAATAAAATAAATAACATTTTAAAGGGTTTTTTTTCTTATTACCTATATTTGTTGGTAAAATTGTTATTTTTTTAATACAATTTTTTTTCTTTCTAAACAAAGCTAACAACCTCAACCACGAAAACACACACCGCCACCAACACCAAAGGAATTGCAATTTTTGAGGATGAAGTCGACGAATTGGCCGCAATAACAACAAAACCTGTTAGAACTATATCACCCAAGAAACCATTTAGTGTGCAAAAAGTCATCGGACCAACAGTGCCTGCTATGCACAAGGTAATAGCGCGGGAATCTATTTTGCCTGATTTCTCTTTTATCGAGGAGACACAACCAAAACCCTCGTCAACTATTGTCAAAACAAGTGCATTGGCCAAGGATGATGAAAATTGGATAGACATTTCAACCAATTCTAAACCGACTAACGCTGTTTCAAAGGAAATAAATGCCAATAGCGCAGCTGAGCAGAACGCTGCAAACGACGCAAATGAACAACAAGCTAAAGCGGACCTAAGCGATTCGTATTTAAAAGATTTCTCCGAAATTTTGGACACACAAGCGGTACAAACTGATAACAAGTGGCACAGGATGACGGCAATAAGTAAACCAACTGAAAAATTAGCACATGAAAATATAAATAACTCGTTTCTAAAAGACTTTTCGGCTGTTATGGAATCAAGATCCACCGAGAATGAAAAGCCATGGTTACAAAGCAGGTCTACAGCAGAGACTGCTGCGTTAAATATCATACAAAAACCCGAAACAAGTAAATTGACAGCTGCTGATTTGAGGAATGATGAACATAAATTAAAGTTTGATCTAGGTAATTCCTATTTGAAAGATTTTTCAATGATTATGGATACACAGCAACTTGAAAACCAAAAGGAACAACATACAACTCAGCCCCTAGCCAATCAACTGGAGATTCCAGAAACACAACCTGCTGAAGAAGTAAAAGATTTGCAACAAAATAAAATGTCTCCAAAAACAACTAATTCAACCACGAAAGCTCAATTGCACATAAATGAGTCCTATCTTAAAGAATTTTCAGTGGCTTTGGAAGAAAATCATGCACTCGAAAAAAGCCCAATTAAACGCACACAAGAACAATTTCAAAAATTAACAATTGAGTCAATACCAACTACGACAACTGCATCAACAGCATTACCACCCACAAAACCGCTAATGTTTCTAAATTCTTTTATGAAAGACTTTTCCGGTTTTCAAGGACCACTTGCTGAGCCACTATCTACCAAGAAAACCACTACACGTTTAACATTTTTAAATGAGTCTAAAAAACTTAACGACTCCGTTCATATAAACCCAGCAGCCAGCAATATTCACATTACCGAACTAAAACCAACTAATGCCATTCAGAGTTCAGGCAAATTACACTTCCTCGACAGCTCGCGCTCCAGCCTAGCTCATCCGCCGCTAACAAATCGTTTTTCAAGTGAAAAGTACTTTGAGTTAAACGCAGAGACCGCAATGTTCTCTACGAATATTAGCATGATTAAGAACTCTACTCTCCTGCAACAAGTTGAGCCTAGCGCCTTTCAAGCGCCAACGCCAATAAAAGAGAAGTCGCTACATATAAAAGTAGAGCCGGTGGACCAAGATCCTTGCAACAGCTTAGATATTAGTAAGAAGCAACAGCAAAATGTTTTCAAAACACCACCGCCAGCGATCAACGGATTACCGCCAAATGCGTCAGATGTTGTGCTGCAACCAAGAATGTCAGTAGCTTCAACTGGCGCTGTGCCAAAGCCAAAGTCAGCTATTAAAACCCGTGAGAGTAAAATACCACAACCCCTGAGTCATACGAAATCACATCACACAAACACCGATATTGTACATGTGGTAGAAGATTCCGTTACAGGCAAACCTGTTACCGATGATGAGGATGATGCGGAAATGAGCATTTACTTTAAGCAAACACCCAAAACTCCAAAAATTCAGCAGCACATATGGAATGAATCTTCGCCATCACCGAAAACACCCTCACAAAATGTATATGTACATCGAGAGGTTGATTTAAATGTAACAAATCAAATTATCGATAACGTAAATGTTGATCCGCATGTGAATCCTTTTAATGGTTATTTACAAGGTGCCTTTTTAGAACAAATCGACTTTAGCAACTATATAGCAGAATTACCCAATTGTATGATGGTTGGCCATGTATCACGTTTAAATAGCAATACTAAATTGAAAGTCAACGATATGGAATTCGATGTGCTAAAGTTAGTAGGAGAGGGTGCCTATGGTGCTGTTTATTGGTGAGCAAACATGCTTTCCTTAATGAAAACTTTAATATAAAAATTATTTTTCCTTCCATCTTCTCTTATAGTGGCACCGATAAGACTGGCAAGAAATATGCGCTGAAACAGGAGCGTCCACCTAATTTTTGGGAGTACTATATATGCCTAGAAGTGCATAGCCGGTTGAATTCAGATGATATGGTAAATAATTTCATTGAATTATCTTTACTAATTATATTTGGCATATTCAAATAATCCTTGTGCACCGAGAAGATTTAACCAATGTCGTCGTGTCCGCATTTACCTTTTCTCTGCCCGATTAGAAATATGAAAAAGAAAAAAAAGGAGGTATACGAAAACAAGTACGAATGCGAAAACGCTTGAACATACGAATATGAAACCAAACACGAATGCGCATGTACGAATACGACGAATACAAATGCACATGCGTATACGAATACGAACGTTAACCCGAATACGAATAATTTCAGATGGAATATTTAATAATGAAGTCATTGCGTACAGACATTTTTTTTTGAGTTGAAGTGATCCGTCTAAAAATTCTTTATAATTAAAAATGTAAACTTGTAAATACAGAACTCGCCTCCTGTTGTATTTAGTAGAAATATCAAAACACCTCTCGCAAATATATTTTGATTTACTGACTTTCCTTCTTTCCGTAGGTCTCTGCTTTTATGAGTATTGACTATGCGCTCATTGGCAATAATGCAAGCATTCTAATATCGCGGTTTTCGGTCCATGGCTCGCTCATTACGGTTTGCAATAAGGTAAAAAAACATACCTTACGGAATGTCGACGAATATGTAGTCATGTTGTTGACATGTCAGCTACTTAGCATCATAGATCATTTACATGCTGTTAACATAATACATGCAGACATCAAAGCGGATAACTTTATATTAATGGAAAAGTGAGTATGATGTCTAGTTATGGAATTAAACACAATTAAAATCTATATGAAAATATATTTGTTCTACCAATTCCAGGTTAGATTATAACAGCACTCAGTATGCAGTGCAATTGATTGATTTTGGTGTCTCCATAGATATGAAACTTTTCAAATCTGGCCAAAAATTCAATTATGTACACAATGAAAATGCCTTCAAGTGTGTAGAGATGCGTGAGGGCCGTCCATGGACATATCAATTGGATTTATATGGCTTAGCCGGTGTCATACATGTTTTGTTATTTGGTAAATTTATGGATATCGAACAACGCCCGAGTGGTATTTGGATGCACAAAACGCATGTGCCGCGCTACATTAATCGCACACTATGGGATACCATATTTCAAGCCTTATTGAATGTGCGCGATTGTGAGACAATGCCGAACTTACAAAATCTTCGTGCGCTCATTAAAGAAGAAATAGCTGAGAAGGAGAAATTCGTAATAAGAAAAATTGCCGAGTTCAATTCAGCTTTGAGCGCTTGAAAAAGAATAATTTTATTTTATTTTTTTTAGTTTTATTATACTAAAATTATTATACTGCTACAAATTTTGTATTATAATCAATTAAATATTAGTTTTACGTTACACACAAGTTTTTACGCTGAAGTTTTCACATTTCCTCAGCATAGCAGCCAGTGAATTTGAATTATTTAATTTAGTCTGATGTGCTTGATTGCGAGTGCTTAAAATTTTCTTTTCCGCGGCGCACATTAATCGATCCTTAATGTAACGGTCCATTTCAAAATCTGTCTCCTGTGGCACAATTTCATCGGGATTTTTAGTAGACGCGGAGTCGAGCGCTTTTATAATGAGACTGAGCAAAGCATGCGCCAGTTTGTGACAAACCTCATATTCCATCGCCTCGGGCGTAGTGTAGTAAATGGCATTCTGATTGGTGGGTTGTACACCGATCGCCAGTAAGATGTTGCAGAATATGCCACGTTGCATACGTGAATACGGTTCTACCAGTTGCGGCGGTATTTGCATTGTTGTTGCCAGTTTCGCTATGAAATTCGAGAACTTCTTAATCAACACATTCAGATATTGTGTGCGGCACTGACGTTCGAGTTTGGTGAGCATTTCGTAGTAAAGTTCTTGTTTACGCTTATAGAGATCCTCACGTTTGCGTTCTTTGCTCTTCTGGTTCTTTATTATCTGTTCTAATTGTCTAAAGCAAGTAAAAAATATTATAAATATAGTTCTAACTTTTGCAAGGGCAATATTTATAAGTTTAAAGATCCTATCGAAGAAAAAGTAGGCTAGTTTATCCGAGTCGCAATATTTTCATAATGAAGCATAAAAAATTGGTGAAAGCCCACGGTTTACCATCCGAGCGATAAACTTTAGAGTATTGTGTGAAATATTTAGGTTCAGAACTTATCAGTTGACTTCAGAACTGGTGGTTTATGCACCTTACTAGATATTTACTAATTTTTGCACTAACGGGAGCGTGTACGATGAAACGTTGTTGTAGCGGTTCACTAACCCCGCTTAGGTACAGGTTTTACTAATCTAATTCGCCGTGGTCATCTAGTGGGAGGTCCAGGAAACGAGCTGTTCCGACGTGATTGGACCAAAGGGAGAGGGCGGTTAGATGAGTCGGTTTAAGGGGGTATGTGAAGAGGTGGTTAGTGTCGTGCTCTTTAACTCGTAGCATAGATGCTTCCTTGTGCAAGTGATGCTCCGTCGACATCAGGACGTTTCCTGTGGCTGTCCTGAGGACGGTGTTCTGGTCATATGCGGAGAGGAGTGCAGGCTGTCTAGTGGCACTCCCAATATCTTTGGGTTGTTTACAGTCGGAATTTTACGTCATCGACCTTCACATGTAGTTCAAGCCTGTATTCCTTCGTCCAGCTGGTGAAGGGGCTAGCCAAAGATTTGGTCGGCTGTATTTTCAATTGTCGGGCAGTGAAGAAGTGAGAAAGATCGGCAAGATAGCAATTCACTTTCGAACAGAGGTAATCAATATCCTGGCCAGACGCCATTATCGTGCAATCATCGGCACACGAGGTTATGGAAACTCCTTCAGGTGGAGGAGGGAGTTTCGAGATATAGAAATTAAACAGTAGCGGGGAGAGAAGACACCACCCTGCGGAACCCCCTATTTAAATTTTCTGGATTTCGATGCTTCATTTCGGAATATTACCGAGGATTGTCGATTACTCATTTAGCTCATGACCGAGCTCTGCAACCCCGGCGGTAATGAGGATTCCTTTTGACAAATCTAGTGCTACCAGGTTTTGGTTAAGATCATTGACTATCTGGGTGTTTATGGCGTTTAGTTCTGTTGGGGTGCTGTGCACTTTTCGAAAGCCATGCTGATGTGCTGCTGGATGCAGGTGGTAAGTGAAAGTCGGGAGCAGCAAGACCTGAAGTTTCTTCGCTACTGGAGATAGAAGAGTTATCGGCCGATAAGGCTCTTCTTTGTTGGCTGGTTTCCCCGGTTTGAGTAGCGGGACCACCCTGCCTATTTTCCATACGTCCGATATCATTAGCGTGGTCAGAGACAAATTGAGGACATTGGTGAGAAATTCTGCTCACGCTGGTACGAGATGTTTTCGCATCAACATGCTTATTCCGTCGGATCCGATGGATTTGCAGGCTTTCGCCTTCTCGGTGACCCCCTGAACCTCTTCCCTGGATTTCTGGGATCGGGTTTTCGGAGGGTGGCGTGCCTCGATGCCAATACCGCCGCTGCTGTCGGAAAATTTGGGCGGATTTCCGCAATCCGACCTGCCGGAATGAAACGGGTGGTAGCGGGCACGACGACCCTGCGGAATAAACGTTCACCAGTAGAGACGTCTGGTGGAGTGGGGAGTTCACGAAAGGCGTTCGCGCTGAATTCCGCGAAGCCGGACAAGTTAGCTTTTATAAAATTGACAAATGTCCGGTGATCCGCGGAAATAAAGTCGAGATTTGTATGGGTAAGTGGTCCGATGCTAGCGAAGAGTTGCATCTGACTGAGAACTGACAGACTGTGCGGGGGACTAGGAATGCTGGGTAGCCCTCGCCCGGGAGGATGATGAGGAGTTGGTTGTGGGTGAGGAGGGATGTGACGGTTGGCCGGAGTCATGCTGTGGGGAGCTCCGTGAGACCGTAGAGGTCTGTTAGTTATCCAAAGTGGTTAAAAATGCTGAAGGCACTGCTGTAAAGGGTGGGGTTGCGCTGGCAACATGCGGCCACGTAACTTGTGGTCCACTCCTTATGGGCCTTAAGGCCTGAGCAGGTCTTAAGATGACTCCAACTATTGCACTGGGTCACACCTAAGGGAGTAGTGGAGTCTTTTCAGGCATTAGCAAAGAAGTAATCCCTCGGACCAAGGTTGGTTTCGACGCCAGCCTTGATAAGAAGGATTAGGAGCAACCCAGCTGCGAGGTGTTGCCCCGCTGGCGACCTTAAATTAGTATTACCTGTTGACCTAAACGGGGTTAGATCGCAGAAAGGGTGACAGCCCTTGGCCGGATAAAGTCCGGGTCAACTCCAGTACGTAGAACCGGCTGTCTAGAGAGTTGTATTATGAAACGTCAACAGCTGCGCTGGCAGATTGATGAGACATACCAGCTTAGAAAGTTATCGCTACATATACATATACCGATTGAAGTAGAGATATAGACTTGCTGTCTCCAATCGACAGATATAAAGACCCGACTTTTGCGGGAACTACTGGATTAAAGTCACCGATTACGACAGACATGCCTTAGTGCGGCTAAATTCTTGCACCCCTAACACGCAGAGGTCTCTTAAACAGAATGTAAAAAAGGTGGGTATATCGGCGCCATGTAAGTAAAAATTTTGCCAACTCCACTGTTCAGATCACAATTGTGCCAGTATTAGTCAGGACCCTCGTGCCACCTTTCGCCTGCAATGGGTGGTGATTTAACTCTGAGAGCGCCGTTCACTAGAAGAGAATTCAAGAAGGGGCACACCCTCTGGTGTAGGCGGGAACTTTGAGACACAAAAATTAAACAAAAGTGGCGGAGGAGACCTCATTAAGCCCTGCGTAAATGAGGAGTCCTGAATGTCCGATAATAGGACTGAAAGATTCACGGCCACTGATTATCTTGGTTTAATGGCGTTAAATGCACTTGTGGTACAGTGCACTTTCCAGAAGCCATGCTGATGTGCTGCTACGCTCAGATGGTGTTTAAAGAAAACAGTGCCTCAATTGTCTTCGCTATTGGGGAGAGGAGATATCGGCCGAAACAATTCCCCCTCGTTGGCTGGTTTCCCCGGTCTTAGTAGCGGGATCAGTCTGCCTATTTTCCACATGTCGGGTATTATTAAGATGGTCTAAGATTAAAAAAAATGTAACAGGCTAGAATGTCAAAGATTGTTGTGCACATTGAGGTCGCCTAAAACTAAACTGGACATTATCCTGGGCAACTAGTAACTTGAGGGATGATTATATTATTTATTTTGATAACCTCATCGAACGGCAGTTATGCTGAAATGATCTTCGTACGACTGTAGAAGGCTGTAGGTGGTTAGGGTTGCAGAAAGCTGTGCCGTAAAGGCACAGGTTGGATATCTCCAGCCATTGCAGTTGATACATTTTACATCAATGGAAGAATGGTAGAATCCTTTATGACCCATGGATAAAAACTGATCAGTCTGGCCAGGGTTGTGTTCGACACCAGCCAAAATGGGAAATTTTCGGAGCAAACTTGCAACGTTAAATGGTGATCGAAACAGAATAAGGTCACCGAATGGATGACAGCCGGATGATATCCTGCTCTACTCAGGTGTTAGGAATCGGATGTTGTGAAAACTGATTCAAAATTGTATCTTCACTTACTCTGTAGAAATAGCATTGTATTTCCGAGCAAGCCTTCTGACACGCTGCCGTCTTTCTTTAGGGGTCAATACTTTAGCATGTTCAAGATAGCTATCGATTATGAAGCGTTTCTGGGGACCAGCAATTTGATCAATACGTGGTTTAACATGAGGTGGCGGCGATGGTTTATATGCCATACGAGCAACATAGCTTTTTAGCATTTCCATATTTTTCAATTCCTTCTTTTTATCCTCCATCATTAGCTCCTCCTTTTCAGCTTCAATGGTAGATGAGGAGGATAAAGGTTCATCCCAATCATCAATCCCTTCGGAAGCCATTTGCCTTTATGCTTACTTTTAATTTAGACTTATTTTAAAAAGTTTAAGACGCCAAAATATTAGAACTTAAAATTTTAATAAATAAATTTAAGAAAATACACACAATTTTTTTAAACAAAATTTGTATATACACAAATTTTACCAATAGACAAAATTTGATTAAAACAGTTTTATTTATTCAAAATTTTATGCATAGCCAACTTTCAGGTACTTCAAATGTTTCGGAGGGATTCGGTGAATAGCTGGATTTATAAGGTACATGCCAAGTATCCTGTACTTTATGTGTGTATAGTAAATGACGAGTTGGTTCCTGCGATTATAAAAGTTAAACATTTCAGTCGGCATATGTACTGCCATTGTTATGCTAGGTTTAGTCTATTTTTCAATTTTATATTGATGGTAAAGTATAGGAAGAGAGTTTTGTTTTATCTTCATACTCTACCTTGACGATTATTCTGCCATCTTTTGTTTGTGTTATTAGGGCGTATTGATGTTCCTGTTGCCAGCGCCGAAATATTATACGTAAATCGTTTCCTAATAGAAATGCATGTGAACGCATCAAATCACGTGAGAAAAAATCAGTTGACTGGCCACTTTTTAAAGTAGCGTACAGTAAAAAAGGATCATCTTGCGAGCTGAAATTTCAATAATAATAATTTTCAATATAAATAATTACAATAATAAACTATTTACAGATTATTTGCGAGAAAGAGACTGGCATTTTTACGTATATACATCAGTGCATCTTTTGGCCAACTGTTCATATGCTTGCGTCCGAGTACAAGCACATATTTACCTTGACTTTTGAAATGCTTCACAACATTTACCAGCTAAAACTCAAAATTAGAGAAATTTATATAAAATCATGATCTTTAAGTAAAATAAGATGATAATTAAAAATTCTTAACAGCAAAAATAATCAACATACCAATGTGGCTAACGCTGCTGGTGGTCGCTTTGGGCCCATAGAGTAAGCTACGTTGAGACCATCGATGACGCAATCGTAAGGTGCAGTTTTCGTAACAAAACGCTTGAAGCGTTCTACTTCTTCGGGCGTGGATTTCTGGAAGATATCGTTGCGTATGAGTACCTTATTTATAAAGGAATTGCTAAGTTTAGCATACTCTGCGTCGCTGACGGAAATATCTCTGAGGTGTAATCCACAGTGTTGGCATATACCACGTGAGTCTATTTGCGTTGATTTGGCGTTAAATGAATTTTTTTGTAACAATTGTATTATATATTGTGCTACTTTGGCAGTTATAACTAATTCATGCCTTTCCAAAAATGAATACAATTTTTCTAAACTGCATTGCAATGTCACAGGCTCATTTGCTATAAACTTTAAATATGCTAAATAAGATTCGCATTTAGGTTCTTTGCCTTTTATTACAGTTTCTTCCAGCAAATTCCAACCGATCTCCAATTCACCTTCAATGAAAGCTTTTACTGTTAGCTCAGTAAGCGCACCGATGCTTGGTTTACTTGTGAGTTGCGCCATTCTAAGTAAATCTAAACCGGTACGCCATTCCTTTGTGCATACCAAACCATAAATTAAATTTTTACAAGTTGTAGCATCCAAGATCTCATATCGCTCTCTTATTTTACCATAAACATTTAAAATATCCTGCTGTTCTTCTGTCGATAGTGCAGAATCGTTTCCTCCACTCGCATGGTAGAACGCATTGTAAATACGCAGCAAACGTCCTATAGAAGCAAGATTTGGCTCCAGTCCACAACCGCGTAAATAATGCACATAGTTCTTGGCCAGTGGGAGTTGCTCCACACATCCACACAAACCAAGAATCATAGCATCTACATTGCTTTCGCTCACGTGTTTATATTTGGAAATTAGACTTGTACGCAATTCCTTCCATTCACTAGGGCTTAATTCACTTCGTTGCTGAAACAGATCCGTTTTCAATGTTTGCAAGTGATCTGTATGCGGCACACTTAATTGTGGACGCTTAAAGGCGCTTGATTTCCTCGTTGTAGAGCATGCTATTTGTAGTGACGTTGAAATTTTAACAAAATTTCGGTTTTGGTGAAAAAATTTTAAACTAAACATTTTATTTAAATGCACTAAAGAACAAACAGATTTGCAACGAGAATGGTTGAGTTACGAAAAAAATCAAAAGGTGTTATCGAACAGCTGATTTGTACCGGCAAGTGCTATACCCAGCATCAAAGGGTGCTAGGTGAATACCAAATACTTATTAATTAAACTAAAGTATGAAGTAGATAGAGCGCGAATTCTCATTTTGGAACATTCTGATAGAAGACAAGTGCGAGCAATCTGTAACTACATATAAAATTGTAATTTATTGAGTAATAAATAAAATTTGCTTCAGTTCAACAATAAATATTTAGTAAACCGATATCTGGGTTTAAATGTCAAAATTAAACCGATTAGTTATTCGTTGACGGAGTTGTGTGCAAATCTCTTTGCAAGCGGAAATTTAATAAAAATGCAAGTCATGAACAATAGATTTTACAATCAGCAATGCCTGGAATACTAGACTTGATGTAAAAATGGTCACGAGCTCTCCGTTTTCCATTGTCGTTCATTCCTAAAATTATCCAGCTTGGGCAATTCAAACATTTAAAAGCCTTGAGCATATCTGTTACAACCACTTACACAGTAGGTCGTGCTAAGGAGATATTTGAGTCCCATAAAGCGTTAATAGGAACCTTCTGCCAAAAACCGCTGAGTGGCTACAAGTTGGATCACATGTGGGATATACAGCCTATCTAACGGGTCTTCAGCATTGTTTCAAAGGCTTCTTTGTTAAGAAGTTATTGCTCTATGGATCTAAATACAAACCAATTTTTTATTAGAAAATGTAAAAGTAGAAAGCGAATTGTACATATATCCTTTCTGGCAGCTCCAGTGGACTGCTCCCTTACAATTTCTCGCTTTATTTTTACCAAACCGTTAATTAATATGTGTGTGTTAATATCAGTACGAAAATTAATTTTAAGTGTTGAGTTTTTACACAAGAGCCATAACAGCTGATTCGAATATCGGTTTTGCTTATCTTCGAAAAAAGTAAAATCAAGTCGGTTTCACAGCAACAATTCATGCAGATATTTATTTTCGATTCTGATAAATAATCGTTCTTTGACGGCTTCTAAAACACCCCTGTCTATTATTATTTTTTTTTTTGACTCCTGCGGGTTAGGGGCTTAAGAATCTACCCGTGGTAAGGTTTGCCTGTCGTAAGAAGCGACTAAAATCCAATAATTCCCGCGACAGTCGGGTCTTTATACCGGTTTTTATCCGGGCAAGAACTGTCACTCCCACAATATTCCCCAAAAACCAATTCGGGGAATAATTTGCGGTTACAACAACAATAACAACATTATTTTTTTCTAAATTGTACTTTGCTTTTTTTGAATGAGAAGTAGAACGAAATTTTTTTAAGTATGCCTTTTGTTACAAAAGAACTTGATGTTTGTTGTTTTCGCAAGTTTAAGCTAATCTCGTTTAAGTCAACAGGAAAAACCTTTCAATCGGAGATACACTTGGTTTACGGACTTAAGGACCGAATCGAGCGGCTAGGACTAAAAATCTTAATTTACCTTTGATGAGTTAATAGCTATTTGCAAAATGATGTTATTTATAATAATTTATTGCTAGACATCTTTAAACATTTCTTGAACAACAATGAAATAGTAAAAAATTAAAAACAAGTTTTACATGTTCAGCTCTTATATTTACATTTGCGTTCATGTAACTATTTTGTTTTTTTTTTTTTGCATAAGCTTAAAATAAACTGTTACGAATTTACCATGAATGCTTGCTTGCGTATTAAATCTCTAAACGTGCCATTTTGATTAGTTATTAGATCTTCATAACTTCCTTGCTCCACCACACTACCATTTTCTAAGACCGCAATTTTAGCGGCATTCCTTATTGTGCTCAATCTATGTGCTATTGTAAGTACAGTGCGTCCTTTGGACACTTGTTCAATGGCATTCTGTACCAACTCTTCAGATACAGAATCTAAGGCGCTTGTTGCTTCGTCCAATATTAATATTGCTGGATTCTACAAACGTTATATTATTATTACAAATATGACAAACGTTCAATGCTTATAATTGGTTTTCTCACCTTTATAAGTGCTCTAGCTATAGCAACACGTTGCCTCTGACCACCGCTCAGCATCATGCCACGTTGACCGACTAGCGTATTCAGACCATCTGGCAATTGTGATACAAATTCGTCAACATGTGCTTTTCTTATGGCATCTTCAACTGCTGACTCCGTAATTACAGTTCCAGGATTAAGACCATAAAGTATATTGTCACGTATTGTGCCGGAAAAAAGTGTAGGTTCCTATAATAAAGTTAGTTACAATTGTATAAGTAAGAAGTAATGTTGGCTTTATGCTTTTACCTGATTAACCGCGCCTATGTGACTACGCAACCATATTGGATTAAGTTCTTTTAAATCGACGCCGTCCAATAGCACTATTCCTTGTAGTGGATCGTATAAGCGCAACAATAATGTGGCTATGGTTGTCTTTCCTGAGCCACTACGTCCAACCACCGCTGTTGTTTCACCTGGTAGCAGCGTCAGATTAAAGTTATTTAAAATAATGCTCTCCTCACGTGAGGGAAAACTGAACAGCACATTTTCAAATTTAACTTCACCCCGAGGTGGGAATTTGGGTATTATGCCGGTATCCAGTGGTATTTTATATTCCCGGTCGAGAATTTCCCACACACGTTGTGCCGCCCCCACACCTTTATTCAACTCTGTATAAAAATTTGATAGTCCATTTATTGATATAGCTGAGTATGCAGCATATAGAATGAATGAGGTTAGGGCGCCAATAGTGAGCGCATCGCTTATAACCAGCGAGCCACCGTAATAGAGCACAGAAATTATTATCACATTGCCTGAGAAGCCAGTCTATAGAGAAAGTTTAAAAATTCACATAAATGTATATATTAATGAGGAAACATTTCTAGTTACTCACTAAGCCAAAGAATATCGAACGTGCTTGCACTTCCTTGTAACCAAGGCTTAGGGCATCAGCAAGTAGTAAATCGTAAGATTTGCTCTCTTCATATTCCTTACAAAAGCCTTTAACGGTTTTAACATTACCCAAACGTTCCTCAACAGATTTCGATATAATCGCAAATTTATCTAAAAGATTACGCGTAATATTGCGTACATAGCGACCGTAAATTATAGCCATACCAGCGACACAGGGTACAACGCACGTGCTAACAAGCGCCAGACTCGGTGAGGTGTATATCTGGAAGGCAATGATATTACTAAACAAAATGCTGCAGAAGTATACTTTAGTATTCAACAAATGATTTAATTAAACCGTAGAAATATTTATCTTCAGCTAATTTGTATGCCCTTACCATCATAGATGTGCCCGCTATTATCATGACAGCGGAACGCAGACCATCTGATAAATTTTGACTTAAGGAATTCCCAATCATATATGTATCATTCACTAGACGGTTAAGTAATTCGCCAGTACCTTTTGTGTCGAACCATCCTGTTTCTTGCAACAGCATACGCTTGTAGACTTTGGACCGCAAATCCCTTACAATACGTAAAGCTTTTGAAAGCTAGTTTATTAATCTATTAAAAAAATAAAAAATATTTTCCATACTTACATGCGCTATTGAAAAGAAAAACTCTGAAGTAATTCGTCAAACCACCAAGCACGAAAATACATAACAGTATGAGGGAAAAATCTTTCAACTTTTTCATGGTCTCCGCATTTGTTTCCTTTTTATCAAAAATTATGTCTAATATTTTACCCAAAGCAAAAGGTACACTCATTGTGATGGCTGAAGAAATTATCAGACAGCCCATTGCCACTAAAAAATGTGAGAAGTTGTTATAAATGACGACATTGAATCCTTCTGACATACCAGTAAGCACCAATTTTTCTGGCTTCGCCAAGCTAACTAGCCGTAATACATCCTTTCTATGTAATTTTACTTTTACGGTCTCAATTTTCTGTGTACCGTTGCTTGTATTTCCTTGAAATCGCGTAAGTCGGAGACGCACATTACCACCTATTGCGGATTTATGTGATAACAAGTGTCCGACTATTTGTTTTTGTATTGGACGCAAACTTTTCAGTGAGCTAAAGCCTCTATTGCCTATTGCAGGTCGCAGCAAACCAAACACAGGTTGATGCAAATGCCCGTAACTTAACAACCGCGTAAAAGTGCCTCTTAAATAGGCGCACTGTAAAATCATTTTGTCACAATAATCATTTAATTCAAAAAATAAAAAATATTATGAGGTACACCGAAAGTAGCTGAAAAATTACATATCACGACAAAAACAGCTGATATCACGACAAAAACAGCTGATAACACGACAAAAACAGCTGATATCACGAAAAAATAGCCGCTTCCGCAGGTTGCCAAGGCTTGAAATAATAAAGCCCTTAAAATAATCGATTACATTCGGTGCGACGAAAATTGCTCTGAAAATCGCAATTTGACTTTTTGATAGTAAATATAAGATATTATTTAGCGATTTAAGAGTCGTTTTATATGTGTCGGCCGCGATATACGAGTGCTAGGCAGTGCATACTTCTATTCGGAAGAAATTTTTTTTTCTAATAGCGGTCGTTACATAATAGTCAAGCCCCTTATTGAGTTTCTGGAACGAAATAAAAAGCTCTTCATGAAAACCATCTTCCGTTCCATTTGTTGGATAAAAATACAGACGCACATGAAAGTATAAAAGCTGTCCAACTCTCATTTTTTCGCATGTACATAAGTTATTAGCTGATTTTAATTTCGGTTCGTTTTTCAATCCAGAAGAATACGATTTAGTTTTAGTTGCTCGTAAGCTTGTGTAAAATTGAACTAAAACTGAGAGTAAACTCTATAATTACCTGATCGAGCATTTACTGCAGAAATACACATGAAACGTAATGCCAAGTGCTGAATTTCGTTCCCCAACACCAAATCGCAATCATATGTCATGTGCCAGAATTCGAAATCACCATATTCTTAGCGAACGTATTTTATATTCATTTAAAATACGTTTACTTCTTACTTTAAAATTAGTGTTTAGCGGAAAGTGGATGATAGCTCATATTTATTACTCACAGCTGACTGTTGGTCTTGTAGTTTGAGCTGGCAACGAAATCTAATCGAGCCCAAAGATAATAGAAAAGTGAGTAAGTTTCATATCATATTATCTTTGGTTCAGTTCATGATGCCTTAAATGTGTGTGGACGAGTTTCTCATTTTTTCCTATTACTTCGGTAATAAGCAGAAACAGCTGTTTCGAATTTTCATTTGAATCTAGATAAAATCGATTCTATTCCATCGCACCTCAAATCAGTTCATGTGATTTGCAATTTCCGTATCAAAATGAAAACGGGCGATTATACTTATCGTTCCAAGCCTTGCCCAGTTTTCGTTTAAAATGTTAGACAAAGCAAAACGTAAGGAAGAATTCAATTTTCATATTATCTCCTACTCAAAACTTTTCTGTATCGGTATGTAAAAAATATTAACAGCGCTTTTACTTCATTTAAGATTAACTGTTAAATTAAACAACTCATTTCTAATATTTTTTTATTTGAATGATTTCATTTAATGCATCATTCCTGGGGTTTTAATAAATGCGTACATTGGGATGTTGACTATAAACACATACAAGTAAATATTATTAAACATTTTTCTTATACGTACTTTAAGCTATAATAAATATTCTTATTTATCAATAAAGTCTTGAGATATACAAGAATACATCCAATTATAACTTACGGAAAGTTAATAAAATTATATTTAATTATTTATTCCTTTTATTATATAATTATATACACTTTTATTTTTTAGACTGAGCAAATTTCTTATAATTTTGTAGTAATCAAATAGAGAGACATATCGGAGGTCGATAAGTTATCGATTCACACAGGAAGAAGAATTATTATTATTTAATCTCATTCGGAAATACTTAGTAGCTTTTTTCCGTTTCCGTAAATTTTTTTTTCATTTTAATTCAAAGAGTTTGTAAAAGTTTGTTGATATATCGCACGTTAAATTCCGCATAAGTTTTCAGCTTCCTTTGAAGTTAATTTAGGTGCTTATTATTAATATTATGAAGAATGAATTTTTGACAACGCCTACATGCACAATCTATATTAAATTTTTTTGTTCGTTTTTCAAACCTGTTTTGGTTAAATATTATTCAAATTCTTGGTGAATTTAGATTGTCTCAATTTTGTCATCTTCGAAATCGAAATTTTAACTTAAAGAGGAATAAATAAATGAAGATAAACTGAAACTTGACTGGCCGGCTAAGTTAGTTAGGAATAGTAAGTAACAATAATAATAATTGTTTGCATTTTATGAAGAAAAACGCTGGTCATACCTAAAACTCAATATTTGTGCTTGCTTGCAAACGAATCGTTGGGCTTAGTAATCCTTGCAAGTTGCTGTCTCAAGATCTCGCTTAAATTGCTTTGAAAAATCAAACTAGATACAAAATATATTAAATTGCTTTGACCCAAAGTTTCGCTTCTAAGCTACTGAAAAAAACAATAGCGAAAATTCATAATAAATAACTGAAAATAAGAAAATTAACAATTTATATAATTTTTTGATAAATCTACGTGCCCAGCTTGTTTGTTTAATATGTGATTATATTTATGCAAATGTGAAGTTTCCTAGACAAAGGTAATTGATTGGGGAAGTCAGAATAAATTCAGAACTCTTTAAAGTAGTTTACAAGTAGTTTACAGTTATAAATTAAATTATGTAAAAAAATAACTTCTTGGAAGCTATAGGCTCTATAGATTTTAATAAACCTAATAAAGCATTCAAAGTGAAAATCAAATAAATGGCAGCGTGGTGATTAAAAAATCAACAACAACAATGAAGGAACCAATTAAAAAACGAAGCACAGTACATTTTAATAAACTAAGAAACCATTCAACGTGAAAACAAAATAAAAATTTAGTTGGAATTTCGTTAAAATATGTAAGTATATTTTTCGTAAATTTTCTTAATACAAATTTTCTGCTATTTACACAAAATCTGCTGAAAATTGAGATTTACAAACATTTTAAACTAGCTGAAGGTCATTTGATAACTCAGGTATTTACAAATAAACATCTAAATGGGTTTCGCTTAATAACAATATGTGTTATGGAAAATAGTGTTTGTGCATTACTTTAATATAAGCATGTTTTAATTTTTGGTTTGCATTTTTATCGACACTTTCGTTCAGCCAATTTTCAAATTCATACAATGTGTATTTTTTAATATTTTTTCCTTAAAAAACTGCACAATTCTTTTTTGTTTCATAATGCTTTTAAGTATTTTAATTTATTTAAAATAACTTAAAACTCATGTTCGCATATAATTTTTGTGGATTCTTTTTTGCAATTGATTTTTTTTACAATATTTCCTTATGATTTGTAAACGCAATTGGAAGTGTTCGTTAGTTGTACAAAATTAATTCGAAATATTACATACATACGTACAGTAAGCGTTGTTAGTCAGTAGTTTTACTTAACAGATAACTACATACGTACCTACATACATTACTGTTTGTTTCTTTATTTTCTACGCTTACACGCTAAACTTATCTCAATACTGTTTAGTATATTGTAGTATATAGTATACGTATATAAGTATATATTGTAAAGACATACATATAATATATAATTACATATGTTTGTGTAGTAAAAAAAAATAATATATGAGAATGATTAGTGAGCAATTTTGCCTTATGATTTATTTTTTTATTAAAACTAATCAAATTAATCCATGACTTATATAATATCGTATTGGCTTTTTCTTCTACGATGTCTGCTCAGCTATTCGAAAAGTTTAGCCTTCCTTGGCCGGCTTAATTGGTCGCCGTGGGCCATGCGATCTTTGCGTCGATGCGCTTATAAGCCAACATGCAGTGTTTACCCTTTGAAGCGAAACGAACATCTTGTGGACACTCGACGTCATTCAGCAACGTTTCCTCGCCATCGACAAGCTTGAAAAGTGCATAATCTTGTGGATTGGTTATGCGTGCTTTATGCGCAATAATGCGACACACTTCACGTGTAGTGGTGTGCGGTCGCACCGGCAGTGTACGCGTTTGCAACGAGCCATTACATTCGTCAGGTATAATGACGCGCAGCACTGAAGAGCAAGCGGGTAGCGAAGAGGAGCGCCACTGCAAAAAAAAAAAAAAAATAGAAAAGAAAATTGATTAATTAGTAATTGCAGCTTTTATCACATTCATGTGCATGCGCTCGCGCGTGCGTGAAGGCTACAAAATACTTACATCCAATGAGCCGGTGCCATTTTCACTTTCCGATGACATGAAGCTTTTGAGCACGTGTACAGCCGAACATAGCGCTGTCAAGTAATATCCCGCTTCACCGCTCAGCAAAGTCGGTTGCAATAGACCCCACATGAATTCAGCCTCTATCTCAGCGCCTACAAAACCACACTTGGCCACTACATAGACGAGTACGGGTAGGAAATCATCAGCGCCCAACTGTTGACCACGTGGACAGCCGGTGGCTTCGAAAATTGTTGAAATCACGCACAGAAATAGCTCCAACTTTTCCAGCGGTAGTTCAGCCTCTTGTAGGCGTTGCAATAATGCCGATATAATTTGCAAGGATGTTTGTGATGGTGGCGTTACGGTGGCGCGCATACCAAAATCAGCCGGGCAACGACCACAAGCGTATTTAACATTTTGTGCCAACAACTGTATGTCCTCCGAGCGCTTATAGTAGTCTACGAACATGCCGTAGAGATGCTCGCGTAGCGGCAGCACAACCAATTCGTGCATCACCGTCTCGAGTATAGCATCCAAATTGAGAAACTCGTCTGATTTGAGTCGCGAACGCGCCGCTTCAATTTCCTGATGGAATTTACCTTCGCCATGTTTCACCAAATAGTTTTTCATGCCGTTCATAAATTGACGCATATTGCGCATTACAACTTGGGGTGCTGCCTCCCGTGACTCCTTAGTGCAGCAGATGAAATTCTCAATGTTGCGTGCAAAAGTCGAGCTTGGATCTTGAGCGAGTTGGAGAGTGCAGGCGCGCACCAACTCGCCCGGACCGCCGTTTAGTGCGTTCAATTTGTTGCGTGGGTGACCTGTGGAAGGGAAGAGCGAAGGAAGAGTGTTAAAGTTTGGTGTATAATGAAGAGGTTAATAAAAAAGGGAAGAGAAAAAATAAGTAATAAGAGAAATGAGAAACAGATGTGCGTGGATATTAAGTTCCCTCGAAAATTTTGTTTATCTTTGAAAAAGTGTTAGACATTTGAACATTTACGTTTCAGTATCGTCGGCATTAGATTGACAAGTGCCATCAGCTCGTTTGCAATCTTTAATGCTCTTTACACTTGATGGAGATAGCGTCATCCAACACAGTTTCGGCGATTTTACGGTTTAGTTATGTATGTTCAACCTAACCTCAATCCAACTCACCACTTATTGCATGCCAAAGCGCCAATATCAGACGCTTAAAAATTTCGACACAAACGCAATTTTCTCTTTTTTCATCCATTGCTTGACATATTTTCCGATAACGTTTGTACAAGCGCTTATTTTGAGCGATCGTTAAACCGAATCCTTTAATTTCAGTTATATGACTTATATTCAACAAGATGTTTCCATGATCGTCGAGACGAAAAAACTGCTTAATATCATAATGGTCATATGCAATGCGTTGCGATGGATGACATTGGTCTACTGTACTTGTGATGAGATCATCTGCTGAGGAACGTGGTGTACCATCCCGATCGGGACATTTACCAATAGCGCCCATAATAGAGCTTGCAATGGCTTCAGTCTTAAGTTGCCTGCGATTAATGGCACAGTCTTTAATCACTTGCTGAATAGCAGGTTTTTCTTCGACGCCTGTGAGCGCCATTTGTAACGACGATATACTCGATGCTATGGTACTGACGGAGTTCCCATGAGTGTCATCATTTGATTTCGTACGTTTACATCTCATGTGGTTCGGCGATGTGTGTGCCTCTAGCTCTGCGGGCAATATCAAGCCCAATTGAATTTTATCCTTAAATAATAATATCGCACATAAGCGACTTTTCGCCTTTCTCTTGCGACAGTTTTTTGTAGTTACAGTATACTGTTTTGTGCACGTCGACGAGCTTGCGGGCTCATCTTGTTCTGTTATCAGAGGTGTGTCACAAACTGTGCTCTCCTCATCTTGTGCCAGTCTATGCTGCAGCAGTTCGTCTTCAAAATCGGCTGAGAAGAAATTCTTCAGACTAGCCGGATTTGTAACAAATTCCCACTCAGACATGAGTTCAAGAAATTCTGCTTCCTCCCTGTAGTTACGTACGTGATCGGGATCGTGAAAGAAAATCTCTGGATCCACAATTTCAATATCACTGGTAGCCAATGCGTGCCACGGTCGATTAACGACGGTAGTTTCGGGCGTACTACCTTGCTCTGACGTTTTCTTAATGCGCTTATGTCGCTGTTGTTCACTTCTGACTCTATTACGTAGGTTCGCGAGACCTTCGGATGACAACTTTTTGAACCAATTCATGATTTATACTATAAAGATTCTTGCCAGCAAAAACGAATTGCCGAAAACGAAAGTTTCTCATGGGCACACACGTGCGAGAGGTGCGCGCAAGTACGGCCTTAACCGAATATCAGAGGAGAGTTTAAAGCCACTATTACACTTTATTGAACAGATTTACAAACTTTGTTGTGTCGTTTTATGTGAGTCAGACCTTCGAAATAAAATCTGTTTTGACTTCGTAAATAAACATTTACTTCAAATGCACAATTATATTCAAGAAAAACAGCTGTGATTCAATTTTAACAACACATTATGTATATGAGTATATTCGCTCGCACTAGAACACAACGATCACAAAGTCGCAATGTACGATTTACGTACATACATAAACACTCTCAAGGCGAGCGGAACGAACTCTAAAACAGTACTGTTGCATGCTACATTATTGTGTGGACATTTTATAGTTCTCCGTACTCATAATCAGTGTCAATATCTTGTTGGCGCTCTGCTATGCTCACGCCGCTCTCAGCATTCGTCATATGCGCTATACTTGGGAGCGTGTGTAGCGAGGTGAGAGCGTGAACGTACGTTCATTTCATGCGTTACGATGTGCTTATCCATTGTGTTCAGGAGAGCACAAGTGGCGTAGCATTGTTCGCAGGTAGTCTGTATCGTTCAACCGATCATTTCCATTCTAAGGAACTGTCTGCGTGCACACTGCATTCTTCCTTCGAGTTCGCACACTTTCGAACTATACATGGAGGGCCCAGTCGCGTGTAGAGAGAATTCCCACATTATTTATTTTTGCTTCGCGTAATTTAGCACACAAATGTTGCGCATCAATGCGCAGGTACAAATGTCCTTCTGGGTTTCACATTATTGATGCTTTTGTGATCGTTTTTTTTTCGTTTTTGCTAATTTCAAGTAAATACAAATATTTGCCGCTCCAACATTGGATGTAAGTATTTTGTAGCTCCTAAAACCTCTGGTCACAACTAAAATCTTTTTCACGTCTTATTTTATTTTATCCAATTTCTGAAATCGTCATCTACAATTCGTACCAGCTACATAAATACATATATTATATATTTACATGTACAGTAAGCGATAACAGACTTTTGTCGGCAAATGTACTTGAAGCTTTAATCTAACTACTTACATATATATACAAATGTATGTATGTAGTTAACTTGCCTTTCATAAGGGTAATTCGTAATGAGATGATATGAAAACGGTGAGCAGTGAAGTCTCCAATTGTGAATACGTCAAAAAAAATAGATTTATTCTCCAGCTCCGCGTGTTGAACCGCACAAGAAATTATTTATAGCGGGTTGAGAAAAAATTCGATTGTTAAGGGAAGACAGGTCCGCCCGTAATATGACAAAATAAGCTACCAAAAATTATTGGGTTACCCAAAAAGTAATTGCGGATTTCCATATAGTCGGCGTTGACAAATTTTTTCAACGGCTTGTGACTCTGTAATTGCATTCTTTCTTCTGTCAGTTATCAGCTGTTACTTTTAGATTGCTTTAGAAAAAAGTGCGCGAAATTTTGTTTACATTTGTTAGTTTGGCGTAAATTTTAATATGGAGCCCACAAAGGAGCATTTTCGTCATATTTTACTTTATTATTTCCGTAAAGGAAAAAACGCGGGGCAGGTTGCTAAAAAGTTACGAGATGTGTATGGTGATGAAGCCTTAAAAGGAAGACAGTGTCAAAATTGGTTTCGCAAATTACGTTCTGGAGATTTTTCACTTAAAGACGAGCCACGTTCAGGTCGGCCAAATGAAGTTGATGATGACCAAATCAAAGCATTAATCGAATTGGATCGTCATGTAACTGAGCGTGAGATAGGAGATAAGTCAAATATACCAAAATCAACCGTTCATTATCACATAAAAAGACTTGGACTGGTGAAAAAGCTTGATATTTGGGTACCACATGTATTGAAAGAAATTCATTTAACACACCGAATCAACGTTTATGAATCATTGTTAAACGTAATGAATTCGATCCGTTTTTAAAACGAATCATAACTGGAGATGAAAATTGGATTGTTTACAACAACGTTAGTCGAAAACGATCATGGTCCAAGCATGGTGAACCAGCTCAAACCACTTCAAAGGCTGATATAAATAAATAAATATGAATAGTATTGTCTTCGGCCATGCCAAAGTATTTATACCTTTATCTTTTCCTCATCTATGAAAAATCGGCTGTATTCGCGGTGTATAAATAAATGTCCGATTTCGATGATTTTCAGTACCAAACTGGAGTTAGTTACAAATATAGACATAAGTGTATAGAAATAAGAAATTAATTACCTAAAATCCCATATTGTATATTAGTCGTGCTATTTTGACAAATGTTAAATACGTCTGCCGACCACGTTTAGTTGAAATATCTCAAAAGCTGTGGGACTAGTTTGCGTAAAAACAGATGGACATTCGAGCATGGCTAAATAAGCTCGTTATAAATTTCGTTGGACCTTACTTGTTTTTATTCTGATACTTAATTCTTCCGAACCAAAGCTAATATACTATTTCATGTTCAAGAAAGGTATAAAGAGGCTCTTTCAAATCAATCACCAGCGTAAAAAAGTCTTAACTCTTGGATATATGGGAGAGTGACACGAGACGCTTTTGCAGTCGGAACAAAAAGCTGGCAGAAGATTCGACAAGGAGCATGTATTAGCTTCTTTGCAAAATATGGTACATACATAAGTGTGCTTTGAATAATCCTATAAAAGAGGGATCCCACAGTATGGCTTCGAGCCTGATAATTTAAAGTTTTGTGAGAAAAGGCCTTCAGATTTTAAAAGGCCCTTCAATAGCATAAAGAGGAGACGTCTCTAAGACGCTAAATTTGAGCGACAAAACACCAGTATTGAAAGATTCGACGGAGGCCCCGTCGGTGGAAGCAGGAAGATTAAGTAAAGAGGAACCTGAATTCATTTGATGTCTCTCATTAGCACCAAAGCTATGAAAACAAACAAATATTGCGCTGTTGTTAACTTGGCTGTGTCGCGTAAGAAAGAAACGGAAAGGCTGCCAGTTTTTTACACAGCGCCAACAATACTATTTCAAATCTGTGAAAATGTGATCAATCAGGATAGTTTGCAATATACTTACAATAAATGGGAATTATAATCGACGAGTTTTCCAAGGTCTTACATCCAGAGCGTGAAAGAGTTTTTCAGAGTTTAGCGCACATTGTTTTGTTTCGTAAAAATATTTGCCTAATAATATTTACATCGAGACCAGAAAGTTCCAGGAAATATTTGTTTTCATATTCGCGGTTTGTGTTGTGAAGGATTTTAAGACCAAAAACTCATTCATTACCATCGATCAACCAGCATATTCACGGAATTTGGTCCCATGCGACTTTTTTTTTGTTTCCAAAACTCAAGTTACCACTCCGTGAAACCTGCTCGACTCGATTGAGGCCATGAAAGAAAATTCGCAGAGGGAACTGATTTCAACAGCTGCTGCAAACAAACTGGTTGACAGATCGATCATTTTTGTCGTAGTAATTTAAGATACTACTACAGTGCTATCAACTCAACAAAAAAATGCTGAAAAATTTAATTTAATTTAA